ACAGTCACCCTTACAAACTGCCTGTAGTTTGTCAGGACTTGACACTGATAACAAGCCCAAACAGGGGACAGTCTTCTTTCTTGTTTAGAAGCTCTCTTGCTTTCAAATTGTGTTTCTTGGAACACTAGTGCTCCTTAATTAGAAAGTCAATAGTTGCAGGAATGGTTCCTCGAAATAGAATTTGTCAGCTATTATTTCTCTTTAGTGTACTGCTGCTGAGAGCGGTTACATGGGGCAACAGTAGGTCCAGCGTTCCTTGCCAACATCCATTGTAAACTGTCCCCTAAAGCATATGCCCCAGAACCAAATGCAGAGTACAGGAAACCCACAGCGACGAGGTTCAACAAAGGGTAGGTTTGAAAACACTGATCTAGATCTTCCCAAAGATACAAATGATTCGGTTTTAACATGTGCGCTTTCCTTCGCACGGAAACATTACCAAGGACGGCCACAGATTTTCATTGCCATAAGTAAACTGGGGCAGATAAGATGTGTTCCAGGGGGGCAACATTGCTACTGTGATAATCCCCTACTCCCATAAGAATGTTGAGGAAAGCCAAAGTTTTCTGAGATTCATCCGAGGCATAAATTAAAATGCCTAATTTTAGACATTGCAAACTGCCCCTCTCGTGATTGGTTGCTGGCAGGAGGTGGGGTAGCAGTGTCTGTTGCAGCTACACAAGGCAACTGAACCCCTTTACTGTGATGACAGACCTCATACTTTATGAGCACCAAACTTGGCAGGGTGGGGAACACGACCCTCCAGATATTTGCGGACTACAGCTCCCATCATCCCTTGACCATTTTGTGTAGAGCTGATGAGAGTTGGAGTTCAACAACACCTAGAGGGCTATGAGGCCCCTATCTCTGCTTCACCAGAACTGATATATCCTTTTCACCTGCAAGCAGCTGATCAGCCATGTGGAGAAAGAAATTGCTCGGCCTTAAATACTGGAGCTTTGGGCTCAGCTGGCTAATGAGAGGGGGAAAGGAGAGGAAGACCTCATTGATCCGGAAGGGAAGGGTCATTTCCATAATGCTAATATCTGTCCAGTGTCTTTTTGCCGCTCTTCTATTAAAACTCTCCCCATAAATGTGACGAGCCCAAAGAGATGTCACACATTCTGGGGCAAGACTGATGAACCTACTACTCCGGTAGCGCTATGAAAAAGCAACCAGGGTGCTTACAATTTCTGATTGCAGGGTGTGTAATTTGGCAAACCCAAGCCTTCGATTGAGAAAAGTTTTCTTCTTTTTTGCGCTGCCGGAGTAGTTGTGGGTAAAGGGAGCTGCAGGGTTGATAATTAGACTGAAAATGTAATCCTCTCATTCCCATACAGGCTAGTGGATGAGCCTGCTTACCAATCTATATGATAAATCCCCTCCAACCTATTTAGCTTTATACTGTGTAGATTCTTCTTACGGTGCTTGGAGGTGGCACACGAACTTTTCGTTCACACCTTTGCCCTGCTCTTCCTCATTCCCATTCCTCTACACCCTTCCAGTGTGTTGGTCTACATGATGATTATATAAAGTTTGAAGCCCTGAGCTATAGGTGTCAAAAGTAACTATGGAATGTGATTTAGTCCTCTTGTGGGTGCTTTTCTCTTTACTTTCTTCCTTTCTCTATCCCCTTCTCCACTCCTGTTTTGGCTCAGTGGAAAAGGTGAGGACAAAGACTTGCCGCTTGCTTGGACTCATGATGATGTTATCCGTGATTGCGCTATTAGCTGTTTCCTTCTCCCTCCCCTCCCTCCCCCCCAAAATGGATATAAGACTTTTCTGAAGTGTGGAATTAACTTTCTTGATAAGTAGGTTTAAAAAAAAATGCACAATGTGGTACTGTTTCATAGTTCCTAGATGGTTGTATAAAAAAAAGTTAATGTGGTTTGTGTTTTTAAAAGGAAAAAAAGTGATTGGTTTATTAATCTGTCTTTTTCATTATTACAAGCTTTGTTTTCCAATAACTTCGTGCCTGCTTCGTTGTTTTGCATTTTGTGCACAGTAACTGACCCTCCTTGACCACTTGGTTCTTGAACATATAGATGATAATAACGCTGGCCGCAACCTACCTGGGAATAGACTGTTCTAGACCTGGGGACAAGAAAAGGAACACCTTCAAATACAGCTTTGTGGATTCAGATAACCCTACATTGGATAAATTCCTGTTGTTTTATCTATATAGTTTTTATGCTGCTTTAATAGAAAACCTAAGTATTCTATATAAAAACATTTAAGAATACACCATTCAATAAAAAATCCTAAATACTAGCTAAAAACAGAACTTGATATCACCTAGGAAGCTGCCTCATTCTGAGTCAAGACAGTTTAGCTAGTGACTCTCCCACATTTCAGTCAGGGGACTCCCCAGCCCTTCATGAAGATGGAGATTGAACATGGAGTCTTCTGCATACAAAGCAGATGCTCTTCCACTGCCCTCCCGAAAAATAACGCGTGTCACATCTTAATTAAGTCCCTATGGGGAATTTCTATGTGCTAGCAAGGTTACTGCTTCCCCACTTCTTGATTGCACCCATCTGTCTCAAGAAAAAATGAAGTGCATCTGTGGGGGTGAAGTCCATTAGCAGCACCAAAGGGACCTCCTTGGACAGTGTGCGTGGCAGTTCTGGGCTGCCTAGACGACAAGACCCCCCCCCCCAGCCTCACTTATGCGGTCCAAAGCAGAGCAGAGCAATACGTTTGGCACCAGCTGGGCTGCAGGAAGGATCTGTACAGGGCAGGGATAAGAAGCACGATCAAAAGTGGTGACTGCACATCGTGCGTTTCGATGCAAAAGGCTCCCTCCTCCTCCAGATTGCAAAGGTTGCCATGCAAGTTGCTTGTCATTTGAACTTCAGTGAGCAGGGCTGGCTCAAGAATTCTTGGTACCTGAAAAATGGAGTGGCAACTGATTAACATGAGTGCAACGCTCTGGAAAGTTCGGCTTCGCAAGCCCCATTATAGTGAATGGGAGCTGCTCTGCACCCCGTGGACTGAATCCGCCTCTCATTGATCTTTCTTAATGATGCTGAAAGCGAACCTCCCGAGGCCGCACGAACACTTTCCATTTAAAGCACTCCTGCACCGTTGTAGCAGTTGTGCCCCCATCCCAAGGATCCTGGGAAGTGTGGTTTAAGGGTGCTGAGAGTTGTTCGACTACTCGCAGAGCTACAATTCCCAGCACCCTTAAACTACATTTCCAGGATTCTTTCGTGGGGAGCCCTGACTTTACAAGGTAATACAAGAGTGCTTTGAATGAGTGTTAAAGGTAAAGGGACCCCTGACCATTAGGTCCAGTCGTGACCGACTCTGGGGTTGCGGCGCTCATTTCGCTTTATTGGCCAAGGGAGCTGGTGTACAGCTTCCGGGTCATGTGGCCAGCATGACTAAGCCGCTTCTGGCGAACCAGAGCAGCGCACGGAAACGCCGTTTACCTTCCTGCCGGAGTGGTACCTATTTATCTACTTGCACTTTGACGTGCTTTCGAACTGCTAGGTTGGCAGGAGCAGGGACCGAGCAACGGGAGCTCACCCCATCACGGGGATTCGAACCGCCAACCTTCTGATCGGCAAGTCCTAGGCTCTGTGGTTTAACCCACAGTGCCACCTGTGTCCCAAAATGACACATGCGCTATTAATGTCACTGTAGTTCTTCTGCACCATGGGCAGGCATAGGCAAACTCCGGCCCTCCAGATGTTTGGGACTACAATTCCCATCGTCCCTAGCTAACAGGACCAGTGGTCAGGGATGATGGGAATTATAGTCCCAAACATCGGGGGGGGGCAGAGTTTGCCTATGCCTGACCAAGTGGAACGAGTTGGTGCAGGATTGGCAGCTGAAACAACCAGTTCTGTTTGATCAAACATAATGGAGCAAAAGCAAAGGGGTTCATTGGCTATTTCAAGGAGTGTGAATTGCCAAACATTGATGCATTTAACTGAAGAGGTCAATAATAAACAACAAAACTTGTAGGGAATTTCTGCAGGATGGCAGTACAGTGGTACCTCGGGTCAAGTACTTAATTTGTTCCGGAGGTCCGTTCTTAACCTGAAGCACCACTTCAGCTAATGGGGCCTCCCGCTGCCACCGCGCCGCAATTTCTGTTCTCATCCTGAAGCAAAGTTCTTAACCCGAGGTACTATTTCTGGGTTAGCAGAGTCTGTAACCTGAAGCCTCTGTAACCCGAGGTACCACTGTATAGGGCACTCCCACACAAGCCATTTGCTGCATATTTGCAGGGCTCAAGGTACTCACTTTGGGGGAAGAATCCATGTGACATCACGCTTGAGGTATAAAGGTAAAGAGACCCCTGACCATTAGGTCCAGTCGTGGCCGACTCTGGGGTTGCGGTGCTCATCTCACTTTATTGGCCAAGGGAGCCGGCGTACAGCTTCCGGGTCATGTGGCCAGCATAACTAAGCCGCTTCTGGCAAACCAGAGCAGCGCACGAAAACGCCGTTTACCTTCCTGCCGGAGCGGTACCTATTTATCTACTTGCACTTGGATGTGCTTTCGAACTGCTAGGTTGGCAGGAGCAGGGACCGAGCAACGGGAGCTCACCCCGTCGCGGGGATTCGAACCGCCAACCTTCTGATCGGCAAGTCCTAGGCTCTGTGGTTTAACCCACAGTGCCACCTGCATCCCATGCTTGAGGTATAGACATCCAAATTTCCCCCCTTTGAGATAAAAACCACTGACTAGCACTGTTAAGACTGGTACGGACATGAAAACCGAACACAAGCTCTTTCAAGGTGGAACTACAGTATTCCATTTTGGGAGGGGTTTGTTTTTGATGCATTATGCGACATATGGGGACGGGGGTGTTCTACTGCCACACCTCCACGGGCCCAGTTTGGCACACCAGAGACATTTTATTTCCAGGAACAGCCACAGGATAACAGCTTTTTGTTTTCTAACACCCACCCTCTTCTTCGGTACCAGAGGGGGAGAAGGACTTGTGCAACGTCAGAAAGTCTAGCCTATTGCTAGGTTTTTTGTTGGTCTGCAAGTTCCAGGGCCATTAAGATGATGATGAAAAAACAGTTCCTGGCAGTTTTATACCCCAGCTGAGTCATTTGTGAACCTTGCAAAGAAACAGAGGAGGGATCAAAGGCCTTCGGAGTGAAATGAGGTGTCCCCCCCCCCAATTTCTACTTCTCTTCCTTTCCCCTACTCCCAGGAACCAGCACCACTGCCCCACTGCAAGGCAGTACGGGGGTGGAGGTGGGTGGGAAGTGTGTTAACTCCTCAGTCGCTGGACCTGTTGTTCCCCAGGAGAAGTTTCCTCCTCTGTGCTTCTCCAGATCTTATTATACCATTGGCCAAGGCAGCTCTTTGTCCTTCCCCTCAACAGTCCCAAATGCCCTGCTCAGCCTGCTGCACCTGTCAAGGGAAAGGAGAGCAGAGCTACAAAACGCCCCAAGGTGTTGCTGCTGCAGAAGATCTGGCCATGTTTTTTTTTAAATCTACTATATAAATAAGATGCAGTGAAAGTGATGATGAATTTGATCCAAGCTTCCTTCCAGACCCTGACAGATATACAGACTCTGACCAAGAGGCTGAGCCAGAAAGCCATGGTGGCCCTGGAATCGACAAACAACGTTCTGGTGGAAGCGCATCAGTGGTAGAAACAGCGCCAAGAAGAAAGAAGATGGAACTCCGCAAAGAGGACTCGTTTGCAACGTTAGATACAGGTCTTTCCCTTGCAGAACACGAAGCACTAATATTACATCTGCTCAACAACCAAAGCTAATTTCTCCCCTCCCACTCTTCTTTCAAATCTATTTTTGTCTTTGTTATCAGAAAGGCACCCGGCCAATTTGGTTGCCAGTAAATATTGCTACAGACATTTCTGAAATCATGGTCTTTCCAACGAGTGGCTCTTGTCCAGGTTTGTTACTTTAAATGTTGTGAGGATCCTATGCCCTTTTAAAATGTGGGGTTTTTGGGTGGGGTGGTTATTGTTTTTATTTTGATTATGTATTTTGTGGTTTTGTATTTCAATTTTATTCTGTGAACCACTCTGAGACCTCCGGGTATAGGGCAGTATATAAAGTGGTGGTTATAGGCATAAGTAAAATAGGCATACTCGGTCATATGAATGGCCCGCTGGTGTGGATGAAACACTGTGGATGCCAAATTATAAAATTCTGAAAGTTGTGGGTTGTGTGCTGCTGCCCCTTATTCTGATAAAAGGGGAGTGAGAAGGATAATAACATTCAGCAGAAGGCGTGTGTGTGTGGATGTGCCCATGGAGACAATTGTCCTTTTCCCTTGAGTACGTTTCAGCGCTGCATAAAGTCACAGTGCATGCACTGCAAGACCAAATGCTTGCTTTATTCAAACAGCAGCAGCAGCAAAAATTAGGACATCTAACTAACCATCTTATCCATGCCAGCTTTAAATTACACAGCGACAACTCCTCTGAACATGGTTGTAATCTTCCCCATTAGCCGGTCGCACATGTCCTCTGTCAAAAATAGTCTCTGTGCAAACTCCAGTCACAAATCAGCCCTTGGTTTTCTTTAGCCTGATGAGATTTGCAAAATGGGCAGAGTATACCGGAAATTGAAACATTCCATTCTGCTGCTACAGCGGTTAGCCCAAAAAAAAAGAAAAGGGGGGGAAAGGGGGGGGAGGAAAGGAAAGGGGGAAAAACAGGCCTTGCGTTTCTAGTACACTTTACCAGGACTTCTATAAAGGAGTTTCTGCTTAGGCGAGCACTTAAAGACGACAACAAAGGTGATGCTGAAGTCAACAGCCATGGATGGGGCAGAGGTGGATTAAAACAATTTCATAATCCTAGCGATTTCCCTTTTTTGATCGGGATTATGAAACCAATCATGAATATCAAAAGCTGCAGCTTAAACCAGCGACTTGGGACAGATGCCCTGCAGCTATGGACACAGCAAGAATGAAGAGCGGAGGATTCCTTTTCATTTAGGGAAAGTCTCTCGGCCCTTCTCTTCCCATTCCCCTTTCCGGTCACCTTACCGGCTGCTGGGTTTAACTGGAATGGCTGCATGATCAATATTCAGGTAGGAATTGCTTCTTTAAAACATCCACGGCGGTTTGCTGATCCGAAACAAAGCTAAAGACAAAACTATGCATTTGGGAAAGCAAGGAAAGGGTGTGTGTGTAACTTGGGGCATTTGTGTGAGCAGTGTTTTAATGCTTACAGGCAGCTATTGTTCTATTGATCCCAAAGGATAACAAGCTCAAAATTTAGAGGTGCACAAAAACCTTGGATTGGCATTTTCTGTGCAGTACTGCAATTCAAAATCTCTTCTATATCACCACACACTGGTGTAATAAAGCTGCCTGGTTTTTCATCATAGGGTAATAATTTTTTTTAAAAAGCTTCCTTTGCTGGCCTGCTGTATCTTTGGTTATCTTATGCTTAAAACATGTTTGCACTGTGAAACAAAACCCCTCCGTCAGCATCCAATGTATGCATCCTTCTCACCAGATGACGTCTTCGCCATCTTCAGTGTTACTCTTCGGCAGCTGTATTGGGAGTTAGAAAAAGAGAATGTGCTCTAAGAAACTTGGATGGCTGTGGTGCATCTTCTGCCCCATTTGACACCCCCAAAGTAAGAGTGTTCTAACCAGAATCAGAATGAAGACAGCAGGATCACTTTAAGAAAAACCACACTTGCAAGTAATTTGCTGATATACGGGTGGTTGTCCGCTGCTTTTATATGCTAACGAGGGAGCAGTAAATGTGGTGCTGTTGCCCTGTGGCACTAATAATAATTATTTTATTATTACAAATCCCATCAGCCCTGGACAGCACAGCCAATGGTGAAGGAGGATGGCTGTTGTAGGACAATAACAGTGGTCACGACATCGGAAGCCAGTTTAAATTGGTTTGAGAGCTGGTGTAATACAGTGGCTAAGAAGCTGAGCTATGAATCTGGAGGGCATTGGGTTTGAATCTTGCTCATTTAGCCTGGTGCGTAAATAAGCCTAAGCACCTGCAACAACCATGTATTCTTTACCTTCCTTTGCCTCTATTTCTCCTGTGCTGGAGTTTAGACTGTAAGCTCCTTCGGGCAGGTAACTGTCTTATTGTACTCAGTAAACCACCATGCGAATGGAAGGTGCTAGATAAACAATCACCATTCAGGGAGGTAGGAAGCTTGGGTGAATTTAGCAAGGTGTGGGGAGAGCCTTTCTAGACTGGTCCTTTTTGAGGAGGATTCGCTAGGAGAGTGGGGGAACCTTGACAGGCTAAGACTGTAGTCTTAGGTTTCAGAACATGTGCAGAGTTCTTACAAGAAAGATGTTCTGAGAGTGTGAAAGTCTTGACAGGGCTCATCTTTGGTTACCTGGAAAGGATGGTTCCGAGGAGGCAAAAGGAACCAAAGGGGCAACTTACATAGTTATAGGAATTAGAGATGGAAACTTCTTCCTTAAGCAGAGTATAGGATCAGTGATGAAATAAACTCTATCTGATTTAAGTGGTTCTATGAGCCAAAAATCTACCGAGAGGATGAGCCCACCTCCTTAATGATTCTGCACTTCCATTAAAATTTGTTGTTGTTGTTTAGTCGTTTAGTCGTGTCCGACTCTTCGTGACCCCATGGACCAGAGCACGCCAGGCACTCCTGTCTTCCACTGCCTCCCGCTGTTTGGTCAAACTCATGCTGGTAGCTTCGAGAACACTGTCCAACCATCTCGTCCTCTGTCGTCCCCTTCTCCTTGTGCCCTCCATCTTTCCCAACATCAGGGTCTTTTCCATTCTCTTCTCATGAGGTGGCCAAAGTATTGGAGCCTCAGCTTCAGGATCTGTTCTTCCAGTGAGCACTCAGGGTTGATTGCCTTCAGAATGGATAGGTTTGATCTTCTTGCAGTCCATGGGACTCTCAAGAGTCTCCTCCAGCACCAGAATTCAAAAGCATCAATTTTTTTGGTGACCAGCCTTCTTTATGGTCCAGCTCTCACTTCCATACATCACTACTGGGAAAACCATAGCTTTAACTATACGGACCTTTGTTGGCAAGGTGATGTCTCTGCTTTTTAAGATGCTGTCTAGGCTTGTCATTGCTTTTCTCCCAAGATCCATTAAAATAGTGTGAGTCATTTCAAACCAGTTAGCCTGTTGTGAGAAGAGAAAATATTGGTTAGTGAGTATAATGCCGCCGCTCCCCCCCCCCCGCCCAGTTTTGTGGAATACAGCTTCCATCATCCCTATAGTTGAGGATGATGGGAATTGTAGTCCACAAAAATCTCTGGAAGGCACTATTTTGGGATTTGTCAGGGGGCTGCTTATCAACTTTTCAGTTGACACAACGCTGGGAAGAATCGCATCAAGAACAAAAGATTCCAAACCATCTCAACAACCTGAACTATTGAGCCAAAACCAACAAGATGAAATTCAGCAGGGATAAATGTAACAAAAAATTAATAGGTGAGGTGGAATTGGGGAAAGAAACCTGGCTTGGAAGCAGTACATGTGAAAAGTATTTAGGAGTCTTCATGGATCAGCTTGTGAACCAGCAGTGATGATCATAGAGGGGCAGTCTTACGTTTCGTTAACACAAGCGTAATTCCAAGATCAGGCGAAGCAATAGTTACGCTATGTTCTGTGGTGGCTGGGCCACATCTAAAGCCCTGAGTGCCACATTTTAGAAAGGACACTGACGAAGTCAAGGATGTCCAGAAGAGGGCAACCAGAATGATAAGGGGTTTGGAAACCAATGTTCTATGAATGGTGGAAATAGGAGAGGTAGGACTGGAGAAGATTAAGGGGAGACAATCTGCAGGGCTATCACACAGAAGATGGAGCAGACTTGTTTTCCCTGTCGCTCTAGAAATCAGGACTAGAACCATATTGAAGACAAGCTGGTTCCAGCTAAGTGTTAGGATAGCCTTCCAAATGGTAACAGATGTTCAGCACTGGACTGACTGGGAGATGGTAGACTCTTATTTGCATTTAAGCAGAGGATGGATGGCCATCTGTCCGGGGTACAGGAGATGCATTCAGCATAGAGCAGGTGGTTGGATTAAGGGGTCCCTTCCTACTAAACATTTCTCAGCCTCACCCAGCCCCCATATATGCTTGCTACGTGTCTTACCAAACAGGGGGGTCTGGAGGATTACAAGATAACCCACACAAAGAGCTTCAGTCACACACAAAGCTATGTGAACTTATTGTTTGCAGCCTTGGTAGCAACACGAGGCCACTGCGTATTCTGGGTGCATCCATAAGGCTCCTAGGCTACAGCTGCACCTATAGCTTAAGGTACATTTCTTATTATCACAGTTGAACTAGAAAAAACTCCAGCATTACTTATTACATTTTGTAGTTCTGCAGTAGCACATAAAGGGTGGTCAGATCTCTGGACAGAAGAGAACACAGAATGCTGCTTTGTCTGCCTTGCTCTTCTTATTGTGCACAAGGGAAAATGGGCTGTTTAGGAAGTAACTAGGGAAGTATTTAAACAAGAGATCAATATGAATTCCCTGGAAGAAATAAAGAAAAGACTCCTGACCCCAAATAGCAGTCTTTGGATTCAAAGTCTGAGTTATTGGTCCGGAAAACTAGCAAATTTTAAGCCTCACTAGGTTCAGGACGTACCAGAACGTAGATGCAGGGAAGATTATCCTGGGAAGCAGGCTTTCATCTTTCTCTTTCTACAGCAAGTGCTTTAAATAAAGGCCCTTCCTTCCACGGACTAATCACATCCAATTGTAGCCTTAGCAGTGCTTTTGTTCCTTGCTTGCAGACAGCAGCTGAGAGGGGGACGCAATTTTGGAAGAGAGCTGTTAACTTTGCAGGGTTGCAAGGCACGTCAGGAGCACTGTTCTACCCTTTGTAGCCAATACTGGTCTCCAAAGGGGCCGGTCGACTCTGGACTTTGCAGGCTCCGGTTCTGCCAAGTTCAACCTGCCACATGACAGGCTCTGCCCATTCCTCTTCATACTCTTAACTCTTCTCCTGACCTTCCAGTTGCCTCCAGGCTGCCATTGACCCACCTCTTTCTGCCAGCGGAGGCTGTTCCATTAGGGCAATTGGTGCCCTGCCCTGCCAATCAGCTTCCTCCTTCTCGGGCTCAGTGATGTGCTGTAGAACTCAGGAAAATGGGGACAAAACTAGAATTACAGTTGGCTCTCCCTGCCATTTATAATAATAATAATTTATTATTTGTACCCCGCTCCCATCTGGCTGGGTTTCCCCAGCCACTCTGGGCGGCTTGCAGCAAAGATTAAAAATACATTAAAGTGTCACACATTAAAAACTTCCCTGAACAGGGCTGCCTTCAGATGTCTTCTAAATGTTAGGTAGTTGTTCATCTCTTTGACATCTGATGGGAGGGCGTTCCACAGGGCAGGTGCCACCACCGAGAAGGCCCTCTGCCTGGTTCCCTGTAGCTTTGCTTCTCGCAATGAGGGAACCGCCAGAAGGCCCTCGGCGCTGGACCTCAGCGTCCGGGCAGAATGATGGGGGTGGAGACGCCTCTTCAAGTATACTGGGCGGAGGCTCTGGCTCCACATACATGCTGGGCTCCCTGCTTTTTCTGCCCCCCCCCCCAATCCCATGGACACCCCCCTCCACTGTTTTCTTGCTCAGTCTATTTCTCTCCGGGCTCCTCCAGCTTTGCCAATGGGGCCAGTACTCACCATTACTTGAGAAGATTGGACTGTGGAACTCCCTGCCAAGAGACTGGGAGGCCTCTTTTGTCCCTTCTCTGACAGCCTGTTGCTGCTGTGCAAAAACATGACAGGCAGGCGCTTAACCTGCCCATCTGTTCTTTTTCATTCCCTTGCCTTGTTCGTGAAAGTCTTTTATCTGCTGCCTCTTTTCTTTGCTGCTGCTGCTGCCTTTTAATTTTTTTTTTTTTGTTTAGCAGGATTTACGGTAGATTGTACACTAGCTTGAGCATCTCTTTGAATGGAAAGGTAGCATCTTCTTCTGTAAATAATAAATAATTTTAACATTTTATCTTAAGCGTCTCAAATTGCTTTCGAGCTTATCCGTTTTAAAGCATTTTCAAAGCTCTTACACATCTTATGAAAATGTCCAAAAGAAGGGCATCCTTGGATTCTTTTGCTTTTGCTTTTATCTTGTATTCCCCCACCCCCACCCCCAAACTGCCCTAAGAGCTTTGGATGAAGGGTGGTGTACAAATTTAATACATAATAAAAATAATATCCAGAGAGAGAACAAGAGAGCTGTGCCTCTGTATGTTTGGGAATAATGTCGCTTTTTTAAGAAGCTCAGTCCTACGAACAAATGCAAAAGCTGCAGGCCGCATCCTTGCAGAGCCCTGAACTTCGGCTCAAAGCAAAACTCGGAGTGTATAAATATGGAGAGACTCACCTGGCACTACCATTACATATCTATAGGTGCAAGGAGAAAGCATTCTTCTTTACCATGGGAGTAGACAGGATTTTGTTGGGGTGGGGCAGCCTTTATGTTGGGGGGAGGGCAGAACCAAGTTATGTGCAACGCAGTTGATCAGTTAAAGCTAAATAGCCAGCTGCTCTCTTTGGCGGTATCCTGAGAATGCCCTCGCCCATCTTTTTAGGACCACTATTCTTTGAGACAGAAGCATCCCATCATTATTATTTTTTGAATTTATATACCGCCCTATAACTGGAGGTCTCGGGGCAGTTCTTTCCCTGGGGAGCTTTAGATAAAGGGCAGAATAGTCACAGCAATAATAATTAGTAATACTAATAATAATTCTTTTTCAGCCCCCCCCCCTTTTCCTCCTCCTCTAGAGAGCGGCATTTGCATCATAACAGTAGTAATATTAGTAATAGTAATAATAATAATTCTTTTTCAGCCTCCCCCCCCTTCTCCTCCTCCAGAGAGCGGACTTCACATAATAATAATAATAATAATAATAATAATAATAATACTTTTTCAGTCTCCCCCTTCTCCAGAGAGCGGACTTCACATTATTATTATTATTATTATTATTATTATTATTATTCAGCCTCCCCCCTTCTCCTCAGAGCGGACTTCGCATAATAATAATAACAATAATTCTTTTTCAGCCTCCCCCCTTCTCTTCAGAGCGGACTTCGCATAATAATAATAATAATAATAATAATAATAATTCAGCCTCCCCCCTTCTCCTCAGAGTGGACTTCGCATAATAATAATTATTATTTTTCAGCCTCCCCCTTTCTCTTCAGAGCAGAGATTTAATAATAATAATAATAATAATAATAATAATAATAATTATTTTTCAGCCTCCCCCCTTCTCTTCAGAGCGGACTTCGCATAATAATAATAATAATAATAATAATAATAATTCTTTTTCAGCCTCCCCCCTTCTCTTCAGAGCGTACTTCGCATAATAATAATAATAATAATAATTCTTTTTCAGCCTCCCCCCTTCTCTTCAGAGCGTACTTCGCATAATAATAATAATAATAATAATAATAATAATAATAATTCTTTTTCAGCCTCCCCCTTCTCTTCAGAGCGTACTTCGCATAATAATAATAATAATAATAATAATAATAATTCTTTTTCAGCCTCCCCCGCTTCTCCTCCGGAGAGCGGCCTTCGCCTCCTGCCTCGTCGTCCCCAACCTCCGAGGCCTTTTCCAACTCCAGCCATCATCTCCCTGAGAGAGAGAGAAGGGCGCATTCCTGAAGGGCAGCCAGCGGCCGCTGAGAGAGAGAGAGCGAGAGCCAGCCCGCTTCCTCCCTCCTCCTCCGCCATCCCTCCCTCCCTCCCTCCCTTCTCCGGGGTTTCAGGAGCGAGCAGCGGCCTTCCAGCTTCGCCCCCCTCAGCCGCCTCGCCAGAGCCTCGGCCTCCCGGCCGGCCCAGTCAAGACCGGCCAGGCCTGGCGCCGCGGCCTAGTCGTGAGCGGGAGCGCCGGGCTCGCGTTCCCCGCCATGCCGCTTCTCAGGTCCCAAGGGCGCAGGGGGCTTGGCCTGGCTGGGGAAAGAGGCCGAGTGCTCCTCCCTGCATCTTGAGGCCCTGCTTTTTTGCGTGCTTTTTGGGCGCCCTCGTTTCCTAAGTGTGTGCTTTTTTAGATATATGTGTGTATATAAAAGGATATTTATACGTGCATCTTCTTTGGGCAGCCCTGCTCCCTAAGCGTGTGCTATATATATATATATATATATAGGCGTGTACAAAACGATATTTGTATTGGCATCTTCTCTCATGAGGAGGTGAGCGAAGTGAGAAGAGACTCCTGGTTTTCTTCAGGGGATGCCAAGGGCTCAAGAAAAGTCCCTTTTGCCTTTCTGAGCGGCTGCTCCGTCCTTTCAGGTCTTCCGCTGGATCCAGTCGGTGCAAAACTCTCTCTTTCTCTCAGGTTTTGGATGGATTCGCGCAGAGCTGCGATTCCCGGACTCAGTTGCGCAGGCTGCAGCCGTGCCCATTTCCCCCTCGAGGAAAGTGAAGGGCAGCCGGCCGGAGAAGGCTTGGTGAGCACGAATCTTCTCCGTTTGTCTCTTTGGATTGCAGATTCCAGGGGGTGCTCTTGCGGGCTTTGCGCTCCCTGGACTTGAATGCATGCGCAAGTAGAAGCTTCCTACTGTGGCAGTTGCAAATGATGCTCTTGCGGGCTTTGCGCTCCCTGGACTTGAATGCATGCGCAAGTAGAAGCTTCCTACTGTGGCAGTTGCAAATGATGCTCTTGCGGGCTTTGCTCTCCCTGGACTTGAATGCATGCGCAAGTAGAAGCTTCCTACTGTGGCAGTTGCAAATGATGCTCTTGCGGGCTTTGCGCTCCCTGGACTTGAATGCATGCGCAAGTAGAAGCTTCCTACTGTGGCAGTTGCAAATGATGCTCTTGCGGGCTTTGCGTGTCCTGGACTTTAATGCATGCGCAAGTAGAAGCTTCCTACTGTGGCAGTTGCAAATGATGCTCTTGCGGGCTTTGCTCTCCCTGGACTTGAATGCATGCGCAAGTAGAAGCTTCCTACTGTGGCAGTTGCAAATGATGCTCTTGCGGGCTTTGCGCTCCCTGGACTTGAATGCATGCGCAAGTAGAAGCTTCCTACCGTGGCAGTTGCAAATGATGCTCTTGCGGGCCATGCGCTCCCTAGGCTTGCTTGCTGACTTCAATGCACGCGTGAGTAGAGGTTTCCTACCATGGTACAGTGGTACCGCTGGTTGCAAATGGAGGCCCGTTCACAACATGAGCAGAACGCAGCCCGCGTCTGCATGTGTCGCGATTCGCTGCTTCAGCACATGCGCGTGATGTCATTTTGTGTGTCTGCACATGCGCGAGCGGCGAAACCCGGAAGTAACCCTTTCCGGTACTTCCGGGTCGCCGCAGGATGCAACCTGAAAACGCTCAACCTGAAGCAAACGCAACATGAGGTATGACTGTACTGTAGTTAGAAATGATGCTCTTGTGGGCTTTGCGCTCCCTAGACTTGAATGCATGCGCAAGTAGAAGCTTCCTACCGTGGCAGTTACAAATGATGCTCTTGCAGGGTTTGCGCTCCCTAAACCTGAAAGCATGCGCAAGTAGAAGCTTCCTACCGTGGCAGTTGCAAATGATGCTCTTGCGGGCTTTGCGCTCCCTAAACCTGAATGCATGCGCAAGTAGAAGCTTCCTACCGTGGCAGTTACAAATGAGGCTAGGGCTCAGATGGAGAAAGTGAGGCAACAGCTGCTGGCTCCAGAATTGGGTTGTGTGCGAGCGAGATGGTGGTTCAGCAAGGCAAGTTGATGGGTCCCGAACCTCAAATGAAGTTGGTTTGAAACCAAGAGCTCTGTCTCGTTGCTCTTTCTACAGCAGTGGCCCTCAAAGGGTGCGGTGTGCCACATTGGTGTGGCAGGAGGACGGGATGGCAAAAGTAGAGCATCCATACTGTGTAGCACCATCCTCTTGCATTTTTCATTGCAGGGGTGGTTTCTTGGAAGAACTCTCGTTCTTTCCCTCCCGGTTTGCTGTGATTAGTGTCCCTGAGCCAATCCGGGGGCAGCTATGAAGTGTTTCAGAACGCCCCCCAGCCAATCACGTCATTTGTTTGTGCGGTGCAGAAACCATGGTTTGTAGCGATGCGTGAACATGGCCATAGGTTCTCTGCTTTGAAAATGAGGATAGCGATTGACTGTAGCTACACGCAGCTTGCATTGGCTTCTGACACATTCTCCGTTAAACTGTGTTGCCCTGTTCTAAATCCAAATTGTGCATAATAGGCAGTGGGACGGTGCAGAAGTAATAAGAAAACCGTTCTTTTCCATGCCTTTGAAAAGAGCGGCATGAACGTGCCTGTTGCCATGGGTACAGTGCTCCTTTTTCATGCTTGCCTGCTTGTCGCCGCTGCAACAACCCAGTAGAGCAGCAAGCGGGAAAAGAAGCTCTTAATTCCATGGCCCCCTCCTTTGCAAACCTTTTTCCAAGCTGGAGTATATTTCAGATGTTTAAAGCATGCTGTGGACATTGTTGAGATAGCTTTGTTGGAGATGGCTGTGGAAGTTGATAACTGGGAGGGGTGCAGCTGAAAATGTGACCCTGCAGCTCTGTTTTGCCCCCTCCCTCAGTGCTGTAGCATCAAAACAGCAAGTTTTGTAGTACCGTTTTATTTCCCGGCCAGATTATCCATGGATTGAGGAAATCCAAATATAGCAGGTGGAAAGTGTGGATTGCCGCTTGGATGAGGAGGATGTTTTGTAGATGTGACAAAAAAAGAAACACAAGATGTTTCAAATCCACATTAAACTCCAGTGCTGATGAGACCTTACGAAGGGGTGAGTTGCTTTTTGGGGGGTTAATTGTGCCCAAAAGCACCACTCCTGAGAAACAAGAAAAGTAACTCAGCAAGACCCCAAATTATTCTTCCTCCTACTTACTGTGTTATGATTTTGCTGTGAGACATTGTCCGAATCAGAGAGTTCTGACTAGAGAAAGAGAGAGATCTCTCTCTCTAGTAGAGAGATCTGCACTATCTGTTATTTCTATGTGATGGAACATGGAAAATTATTCTGTGAATTCCTTACATCTGGAAAGCCAACAGTTGTACTAAGCTCACCGTGACAGCTACTAGTTATGATATAGCAAGGCCTTCTCTATACCATGATTTTGCCAAAATTAAGGGGGGGAACCAAATTTTTGCTATTGGTCTGAATATCTTTTCTTCCAAAGACTCTCTTTGCTTTTTTTAAAAAGGAAGTTTCTGGATAGAGTTCATACTGTGTGCGAATCACTTTGTGAAATCTCAGGAATCAAGTGTGGGTCTGAATGAGGTGCAAAACAATCAGGATTTGTGTGTGTTGTGATTCTGCAGGCGTGCAGTAAAAACCCTGCAGCGTGGTTCTACTTGGAATTAAGGCCCATTGAATTCAATAAGACTTGCTCCAAGGTAAATGCATTTAAGATTCCAGCCATGAAATGTGGCATGGGATGCAGAATGGGCCTTGCTGAGGTTCTCTGCTTTCATTTGAAAAACAAGGAAGTTTATTTCCGCCGCTAATAGATATACGCTTCAAAGAATGGCTGCTTAAAAACCAGAGTGCTGGCTGAATAAATGACCAGGTGGCTATGAGCAGGTCTCCAGTGCCCTGCAAAACTCCTTGCACTTTCATATGACTGAGCAAAACCAGAATATATTAGGCAAAATAATAAAACTGAAGACTAAATTATGTTAAATTGCTGTTTGCTCTATTTACATATTGCATGTAGACTGTAAGATTCTGCTTTTCTTGACAGAAAATCTGGATTATGATTTGGGTATGTAGTAAATATGACCCTGGGAGTGACTACAGAGTGGGCCTTTAATTATCACTGTGCTTCTTTTCTGTCCCCATGGTTGGAGAGAACAGAATAAATGGTGTAAAATTGACGAAATACATAAATTTGCACAATTTAGGCAGGATTTATTTTGTGCAGAATTTTGGTTATCTTGAATAATTATGGATATTTGAGTACAGAGTATGAAACCCTCTATCTGGGTCCCTCTTAGGTTGGCCAGATGCAAAAGAGAACAGAGGTATTGCACCTTTGATAATTCCCAATTCTAGACAACTATTAAAGGTGCAGGGCCCCTGTCCTCTTTTAGCCAACCCTGCCCCCTGGTAAGGCCCTTCAGACAATGTTCTCTTGCCCAGCAAACATATTGAAACATCTGTTATTGTTTCCCCCACCAAAAAGGTACCTCACCACCTGGAAGTGGGAGCATGGAAGGGAATTTTGCTACTGAAAAGAGAAGGACGCTGAACACTCTGAAGCAATGTGTCAGGAATATTCCTAGAGCGAAACAGCCCCCTGAGAACATTGATGATACAGGGGAGCATTGTCTCAACGGGCCATCCTGGGTTCCACTGGGGCTGCTGCGGGATACAAGCAAGGGCACGTCTGTTCTGGAGTCCAAAGTTAAAGCTCTGAAAGAGAAGAGGAGTGCCGTCCACAGGCAGGCGGAGGCAGCACCCCAGGAGCGGGCTTCTCCCAAAAAGGCCAAGGCCCGGAAAGGGAAGCCGCTGACGGAGCCTGCTCCTCAGGATGCTGTGGTGGAACCTCAGGCCCAGATCCGCACCTACCTGACAGATGTGCTGCTGGACAGCACTGACTACCCACGTCTCAAGCAGGAGGGATCTCAAGGGACAGTACGTACAAGCCTGCTTGTTGACGAATTTGAACCTCTGAAGGGGTCTAAGGCGGCAGAAGAGCCTGCAAGCATGGGCTGGAGCTCACCTGAGGCATTCCAGAGGCTTCCAGGAAGCGACAGGATGGATAAAAGGGGCTCGTCAGGAAATGCAAAAAGGGCATCGCAAAATGGCCTCTGTGGGGCCAGCTCCTTAAAGGACCTTTCCTTCAACCAGAAATATTTTGAGGATGCAAACGGCAGAGAAGAGCACCTGGTTCACGGTATGGATTTTGAAAGTGGTCCTTTTCTCCACAAAGACGACGCCTGTGGGGCGGGAGCAACCGGCCGCCTTTGGCGAACCGAGAGCTGGGACAGTCTCTGCAGCGGCGGAAGCAATGCCAGCACCCTGTCCCTGGCAGAGAGAGTGGAGAGGAACCGGTCGATGCTGCAGGAAATGTTGCAGTTTAATAGCCATTCTTTGCGGGAGCTGCATACTCTGCGTCGTCACAAGAAGGATGGCCCACGCCATGGGAGAGATGGGCCCAGTAACGGTATGTGCAATCAGGGTGAGGAGGTTTTCAGAAACCGAACAGGATTTGCAACTTGGATGGGTAGTAGTGGGGAGAAATACTGTAAGAGCTCAGAAAGTACCATATTTTTTGTTCTATAAGACTCACTTTTTCCCTCCTAAAAAGTAAGGGGAAATGTGTGTGCGTCTTATGGAGCGAATGCAGGCTGCGCAGCTATTACAGAAGCCAGAACAGCAAGAGGGATTGCTGCTTTCACTGCCCAGCGATCCCTCTTGCTGTTCTGGCTTCTGAGATTCAGAATATTTTTTTTCTTGTTTTCCTCCTCCAAAAACTAGGTGCGTCTTGTGGTCCGGTGCACCTTATAGAGTGAAAAATACAGTAATTGTGGGGATGGGCTAAGATTTTTGTCACAACAACGGCATGTGAGAGGGGGCTGAATAGGTTTAACCCTCCCCCCCCCCCCGCAATATCCCAGCAAAAATGTCCTCTTCTCTGCTACAGTTAGCCCCAAGAAGGAAGCTTCCTCTGGCACCAATGGGAACCAATTTCCTGGGGATAATAGTAAGCACATACTCTCTCAAGAACGATAAGTCCCAGGATTCCTCAGTTGCTGCTGGTATTTTCTTTGCACTGGCAGGAGGAGCCTGCAGGTTTTGGCTGCTGGCTGGCAGCAGGAGGGAGGGACAAGTCCCATAATAATCAGGGACATTGAGGTCCCAGGGCAGTAGGAGCCAAGACTATTAATAGGATTTGCAAGCCCAAGCATATATGTGCGTAAATGAGTTAGGCCTCTGGTCTTCGGAGTGCAACAGTCATTAAATTTGAGAGGCCAGGAGCAGTTTCTCAAGGACGTTTATCGCCCATGGAATAATTACTATATATGTATGCCATGTCTTGCAGTCAGATCAGACCTAAAGAATACCAAGAGCCCATTCTTTTCCCCCACCCAAAAAGCAGACCAGGTATACAAGTTTGTATAAAGCCTAGAGTAGGGTGCTTGGGTGATGCAGAATTGGGACACTAAGAGCAGAATAGGGCCCAAATCTTTGGGAGTGAGGAACACTGAATATAAATAGCCTTTTCTCTGTGTGAGATGTGTGTTTTCACACACACCATGCTGCATTTCATGTGGCTAAAGTATACACAATAATAACATGTGCTTCTCTTGTCCTGTGTCTACAGAGATTCTGGCAAATGATGTAGACTGGGATTCTGGAGTTTCGTTACAAGATTCTGAAGGCTACCGGTAAGAGTTCAGTGTCCTCATTCCCCGGCTAAGGCAAGGAGACACACTCAAAAAATGCTGATAGCCATTTCTAACTTGGGACTTCACACTGGCGTTGACTGCATGTTTGCAGCTGTTTGTGTTCCCATTTGATTTGTGGTTCCCCAGATTCTTTTAGGAAAAAGATGTGCTTTAAATGATTGGTTCTAATCCCCACCCGCCAGACTGCTTGAATATTGATGAGGGTCAATGCAGACCACTTAATGATTTTTCTGCCTGTTGCAGCAATTGCAATACACCATGCTAGATGGTGTACGATTTTTAATAGCATTTTTATAGCTTCTTTCATTTCTTATATATTGTATTTTCTAGAATTCAAATTGTAATGCAATAAAATACGAAGGAAGAAATAAAAATACAATTAAAAGTCAGTGAGAACATATGGATATTCCATCTCCCATCTTCAGCCACAAATCCACAGACGTGCCACAGACCGCACTTTGGGAACCGCTGCTTCAAATTACGCTGTGGATGCGACGAGAGAGTGGTTTGCTTAAAGGCCATCGTAGTTGGTTTGTTGCTGAAAATAACAGTACCGCCCCCCGGGCAGAACATCTGGGAAATTTTGAACTGAAATTACACAAGGGGCTTCTGCACATCATCGGGGGAGTGTTTTCTCTGTAAAACAGCAGTCGGCTTCATTGTGCTGCTGCTCCTTCCGAAAAACCTCAGCAGAGCAAGATGCGAGCCTCCGTATGTGCGTCGCGAGGTATGCAGGCTGCAGTGAAAGAGTTAAGCTCAGGCCAGCTGAAGTGAGTCTGTGAGCGGATTAAAATAATCACGAAGATTAGGGTGAAGACCAATAGGGGAAGGGTTTGAGCGATAGGCATGTTGAGTGTGCAGAGAGAAATGGGTCACATGGTGAAACAGTGAAAGCTTTAAGATGGTGGACCCCCCCCCCCAACCAACCAACCACCCACCCCTTTCCTTTTCTAGTGTGGCAGTGCTCAGAAGACGGGAAGGGATAAAGAAAACCATTGCAGGCTGATGTTTGGCGCACCAGCAGCGATACATTGGGGGGGGGGGCGCTTTGGACTTTGCAACTAGATGGAGGGATTGCCGGCTATTCACATCCTATGAGGTCTGGTTTCTGCCTTAAGGGCAGCTTTGGATTGAAAGGACTGCAAAAAGCCACCCTCTGGGTCTCTTTGTTCCAGCCTGCCATCCCTAGCTCATGTGGAGCTCTGACCCTCCACCTCCTCCTCCCCATTGCTAACCAACTCCAAGGACCTCCCAACAACCTGTGCCATTCAAAGTTGAAACCCTAAGCTCTGGTGGTTTCCTGGACAGGCCACCGGTGGCCTTTGTCCCCTGCTAATGGCCCATCCAGCTAGCTCTGCCTGATCTGGCTTAGCTTGTTAGCATAAGTAAATCTAGGGGTGTTGCACGTTTGGCAAAATTTAACCAAACCTTGATTAATTCTAGCCCTCCCCCTAACTCATAACATCATTCCAGGTTCAATCCCTGGCATCTCCAGATATGTCTGAAAGAAGCAGGATTGGGAGAGAATTGTCAGTCAGTAGACTAGAACTTTCCAAACTGTGTCTCTCAACATGTTAGTGTGCAGCTACAGTGTAGGTGTGTTGCGCGAACGCTCCCTGCGCTCCTCCCGGGACTGGAAAGGGGTCGGTTTCAGCATCTTGGGCTTGCCGATCAGAAGGCCAGCGGTTCGAATCCCCGCAACGGGGTGAGCTCCCATTGTTCTGTCCCAGCTTCTGCCAACCTAGCAGTTCAAAAGCACACCAGTGCAAGTAGATGAATAGGTGCTGCTGCGGCGGGAAGGTAAACAGCATTTCCGTGTGCACTTGACACGGTGTCCCGTTGCACCAGAAGCATTTGAGTCCTGCTGGCCACATGATCCAGAAAGCTGTGGACAAACGCCGACTCCCTTGGCCTGAAAGCAGATGAGCGCCGCAACCCCATAGTCGCCTTTGACTGGACTTAACAGTCCCGGGGTCCTTTACATTTCCTCCCATTTACTGTGTTGCTAAATGATGCATGTCTAAAAAGTGTGTCACCAACGTGAAAAGTTTGGAAAGCTCTGCAGTGGACCATTGGTCTTCAGCTGGTGGGTCACTGGTGTGTCCCAACAGCAGCACTGTATCATTTTTAAAAATTAAGAAATTGGTCCCCAAATGCATGCTCCGTCTGATGGCGAGTCCTGCGTTTGGAAAAAAAAGGTGAACACTGGTGTAGACAGTCCTGAGCTACATGGACCAAGAATCTAACTGAATATAAAGCAGCTTCTTAACCCATCTGGTGTAGTAGCTTTAGTCTCTCATTTGCAGGGCAATCCTAATGATGTTTACTCAGAAGTAAATTTGACGGTGCTTACTCTCTAGTCAGGGTGAATAGAGTTGTATATCTATATTGCTCAGTCCTGCTCGACCTGGAAGCTCACTATTAATATTGAGTCAGCCACTGCATCTCTGCTTACGTCTGCTATGCAAGGATGTTGCAGAGATGAAGCAGACTGAAAGAAACCCCTGGACACCACTCTGAGTTCTTGGAGGAAGGGCAGAATACTAATATCTGTTTAAGAACAAACCCATCATTTTTGCTTTTTCTGTATCTGTAATTATTCTCTGTATGGTTTTTATTGTGTTATAAATCACTTTGGGACACCTCGTGGGAAGCTATTCATTAAATAAATAAAGACTGGTGCAGGTCAGTATTTATCGAGCAACACAATACCCTTTTCAGGGGAACAATTAAAGCAAAACATCTCATCTAGGCATGGAGAGTGTGCTCCCTTGCTTTTTTTGTGGGAGTGGGTGAGATTACTTCCTGAAGCGAGAAGATCCTTGGCCTCAAAACTCATTGGGCAAATGCTCCCTGGATTGTTTGTTTGTTTGTTTGCCCTTTTCTTTAAACCAGAGTGTCTCCGTGAGTCTTGAGGTGACATACTTTGGGAATGTGGGAGCAATTTCGTAGAGAAGACCTATTGCCCATTATATGGATGTTGGCTTCTTAGTCTTGCCCTGATCTGTGGGGAAACTCAGTTCTTCAGGTTTATTTGGCGCAGGTGTGCTTGAAAGGCCAGAGCTGGCCCCTGGTAACACAACTAGTGCTGTGTTCAGAAGAGGTGAATTTGCCAGTGGTGGGCAGCTGCAGGATGCTTCTGACATCATAAGTGCCAGAGATTTATCTATCTATCTCATCATCATCAATCTGTGTTGTTGTTTTTTTGAACAACGTATAGTCTTCCACTCCAGTGTTTTGGGTACTGCAGAGCCCCCCAATTCTTTTAAAAATGTGTATGCAAGACTGCTTGGGACTCTCTTTGGTGGGGATGGGGGGCATTTTTTAAGGAACTACCAAGTACATCTTTTTACATGCTGTCATATGTAATTGAACGGCTTCTTTTAGTCTGGAATGTACAAATTTCAGCCTTAAATGCTTTGACCTCCCTGCAGCTTTTCATCCTGGCTGCGTGTCTAGAAATCAGTTTTGAGATGGATGTTACCAAGCTGGCTATATCTTGACCTAAAAGATGCCACCTAGTGTGAACTCAGGCAGCTGCAGGGGACCTAAACCCAGCCTCTATGAGTGTGTTGTCTCCCCACCACACTGCTGCCACCGTCACTGTTAAACCACTCTTAATCCTTGTTATTTTTTTCCTAATCCTCCGCTGCTTCCTTGCTCCCTGCTGCTTTGCCTGCAGGGCCTTTGTTCCCAACCAGGAGCTGGAGCTGAGTCCCAGGCATGAGCAGGCCAAGCAACTGCTGCAGAGAGCTCGCATGAAGGCCAGGACGAACCCGCTCCGAGCAAGCCATAACATCCTGCCTCAGGAAAGGAGGTAAGGCCAGTGATTTATCCTGCTCTGGGCCCGGGAGGCAGATCAGGGAAGAGGGCAGGAAGGAAGGATCTGTACTGCGTTTCCTGTCCAAAGCCCTCCATTCCAGCTTTTGCATTTCTTGCCTTTTCATCTTTCACACTTGTAAACCGCCTGTGCTGTTCGCATCTATAGTTCTCCACTCCCAAAATTCAATACACTGCCAACCGTGTACCTGTCCGCTGTGCTTATTGAATACATTTGTACCTAGTGCTAGGGGATTTTCTGTCAGCCACCCCCCATTGGGGGAACTATATTGTCTATCTTACTTCATCTCATCAAGGTGTTAGCACGTACTGCCTAGTCTAAAACTGTGGTTGTAGTGAGGTGCTATGCCAGCTATCAAGGAAAGCACCCCAGGAATTATAATGTGTGTTGATTCTGGACCAGGAAAACAACAACAACGTATGTGATGAAAAACATAACTTTCGATTGAGATGCAAACATTTGATGGAGTGAAATCATCGATTCTATTAATTGCAGTCACACCATTGATATGACTTTGTTGTTGTTGTTTAGTCGTTTAGTCATGTCGGACTCTTCGTGACCCCATGGACCAGAGCACGCCAGGCACTCCTGCCTTCCACTGCCTCCCGCAGTTTGGTCAAACTCATGCTGGTAGCTTCAAGAACACTGTCCAACCATCTCATCCTCTGTCGTCCCCTTCTCCTTGTGCCCTCCATCTTTCCCAACATCAGGGTCTTTTCCAGTCTTCTCTTCTCATGAGGTGGCCAAAGTATTGGAGCCTCAGCTTCACGATCTGATTGATATGACTTAGGCATCCATAATTTCCAAAACAGGGACTAGCTGGTTCCTGTACAGAAATGTAGTCATGAATATAAACGTAAGAACATATTATATGGCAAATTCACTTGACCGAACTTTTTAGAATAAGATTTAGGGGGAAAACGATGAGCACCGTTGTGACAGCTAAAAGGTCTTTCAGCATAGGAGGGGAAACATAACTTGACATGGGTGTTTACAAAATGTGTGGCAAGCTGCTGGATCTCATGGGAAACTGAATTCCTGGCCACTGTGCTGTGAAACCGTTGTTTAATGCTAAACAAACCAGTGTGCTGATCTTTTGTTGTGCAACAGATGAGGGTATCGCTCACTCTCACATGGCCAGCACACCAAAGATTATTGTAAGCGCTAGTGGAACACATTCTCCATCCCCTCTGCCAAGCACACTGGCAGCTTATGCAGAGTTATTGAATCTGGAGGATTATGTTGATTTTATTTCATGACAACAAGAGAGGCGCCAGGTATAAGATCTTTGCATCAAGGCACACTTGTGGTGTTTGCTGAACAATATCATACATCATCTCTAGAGTAAAACGAAAACATAACCTCCACCAGCAAACTTTCCCCTGTCTCTTGCATTGTTGCTCTATATTCTACCCTTCCTCCTATGCTCTGCAGGAAAAGCACTTTTAATATAAATAGCACAGGTGCTCCAGATCCCATAGAAAATGATCACATGGATCTAAGAAGCGTACGTGACTGCCAGCTGGGTGTCTTGGCCTAACTGAAATCTGACTTGGAGATGTAGCCACTCCTAAGACGAAGGCTTGCATGTAAGGAGAGCACTTGAAGTTTTTCCTATAGCTGTAGGGAGCTAGAATAAATCAAGGAGTCAGTGGGGGCCTGACATCAGCAAGTCCTCTTTAAGAGCGCCATCTGGTTACTTGTGCAGTTGCTGTGTGTTGAGCATGAGTAGTATCATTGCTGAGTTATCCAGTCCCGAGCCACCCTTGATTTTAAAAGAGTAAATCCATCTTGCCGATTTGCCGACACATGCTTTTTTTGAGACTCTGAATCAATTGGCTTTGCACAAGCCTGTTGGTCAATCTTAACCGGTTCCTTGGATCTTCCCCTCATTCAGTACACATCCATAACCTCTGAGCGGCCCTTCCTGCTAGAATGAGAATTCAGCCGCAGAGAGTATTGGCACAGCATTGGGATCCTGGTGAAGGAGATGCCAGGTTCCATGTCCGTGTGATTCTCACAAGGCAGTCAGGATACATGTATCTTGCTGAATGGATCTTGGAAGAAAGGAGATAAGTTTAGGCCATTGTTTCTCAAACTTGGGTCCCCAGCAGTTGTTGGACTACAACTCCCATAATTCCTGACCACTGGTCCTGCTAACTAGGGATGATGGGAGTTGTAGTCCAACAGTTTGAGAAACACTGCATGCAAGCAGAGAAGTTACAAGTACCACCTTGGTAAGCGTCCTGGGTGCTCATTAAGCCAAGTGGTGCCTTCTGCCCAGCATTTGGAGGCAGCTCAGTCGGAGGTAAGGATGATCAGTGTGAGCAGGCCCACAGTCTTACTCTGTCTGTTGTGTGCCTCAGGGATGGCTGCGGGATCTCTGCTGCAGACGCAAAGAACTTTGCTCTGAAGGATGGAGACCCCCACGCCGGCGGCAACCTGAGCGACTCGTCCAGCGGGGAATCCAGCAGCGAGCAGCAAAGGAAGCGAGGGCCGTCCCCGTCCCGAGTGCGTTTTGAAGATGAGTCTGCGCGGGATGCCGAAGTCCGCTACTTGGAGCGCCTGCAGCTGCGTCAGAAGCGGGTGTTGGATTCCGTCCTCCTGTCTCTGGGCCGTGGCCCGCTGGTCTCCAAACCGGACCTTTCGGATTACATCAACGGTGAGCTTCACCACAAAGAGAGCGGCGGCGGCAGCAGCAAACCAGGCTGGGAACAGCAAGGCAGCAGAGGGCGCTCCGAGAAGAGGAAGCCTCTGGTGGTCAACGAGGAAGGCAAGTGCAGCGCTTGTGGGTCTTACGTCAGGAATTTGGCTGCCAGTCAGAACCCAGATACCGGAGCAAAGCAGACTGTAAAGAGCGTGCATCAGTCTTGCAACATCCCCCGAGAGACCAAGGAGCTAGTTCGGGCCAATGAAAGCAAAGAGCTCAATGCTAGCCAGGAGGACTCGCGAACCAGGGCTTTGGGTCCCAAAGGAACTCCTCTGTGGATCCTTCCTTCCCGCCAGCGTGTTTACACAGAGCGCATCAAGGAGACGTACATAGGGGAAGTGACTTGCATAGATGAGGTGGATTCTGCTCTGGACAGCACCACAGATACATCGGACAGCTACAGGACGGACAGCGAGGAGGCTGGTGCCAGCAGCCAACGGTCAGTGGTCAAAAGCTCCCGGCACGGTGGGCCTGGTCTGGATCCCAGGCCATTTTCCCCTTCAGAGGGGGAAGCCAAGAACAGGAAGGCCAACGGGGAGAGGCCCAGAGCAGATGGCAGCTGCCGTGCTAGTGGAGGGGAAATTGAATCGAGTGCTAATCAAGCCAACAACTGTTCCTTGAAGGGGGCCTCTGAAGTCAGAGATCAGGTGACGAAAATGGCAGCCGGTAAGGCAGAAGCCTTTCCCAGAAGCAACCAGCCAGTAGATCTGTATCAACTGGTGAAGAAAGGCAGGATGCAGGAACATCCAAAGCTGTCCAAGGCCACATTAAAGCAAGCCGCACCCACCTCCCACCCTCAGCAGTTGCCTTCCCATCTGGTCCCTGATGGTGCCGCAGACTCCGTCAACAAGAAGCCGGTGGAAACTTCCAACCGAACTCGTAGGCCAACGAACAATTTAAGTCAAGCCAAGCAAGAGCAGGGCCCTTCCCAGCAGCTAACTGAAGAGATGAGTGCCGGCTACAACTTTGCTTACCGAATTCCTGCCCCACCCACCACTGGAAAAGCCCATCCTTCCCCTATGCCTTACAGGAGGGCTGCTCTGAGCGGCAGCCACAAGCTCACTAGCCAGGATCCTGGGCGGGTGGACCAAGCCAATGAACTATCAATTTACTCGGCCTCCCCTAATAGCTTCCAGAATGTGTGTGTGTCTGGACAGGAGGAGGAGAGTGGCCAGCAGAGTCCAAAGATGCTCTCCAAGAACCTGGCCTTGTCCACCAACAACTGCAACAACACATATGCCAAGCACGAGCCAAAAACCTTAGTGACTGCTACAGTGAAGAGCAGAGAGGAACAGCCCCAGGAGAGACAGAAGCTGGGGAAAAATCAAGGTAAGAGGTAATGTTGCCCATTGGACAACTGTAGAGAGGGCATCATGGTAGGCCGTCCAGCAAGGCAGTTCAGAATTTGTACTCTAGATAATTTGTGCAAGTCAGATTGATTTATTCAGAGTTATTGAACTTGCATGGATTTGCTTATTTTGCATGCCTGACCCTGACTGTGAATACAGTATTTAAGTTTTTCCGCAAATTTTGATTAAGGGTACCTTTAGGGTGGGTGAAAAGGAACCAAGAGCTAAGCAAAGGGGGGGGGGAGCATCCTCCATGAACTTCCTTTTAAAGCAACCTAAATTTTGGTGGTCATCACAGGATCTTGCAGCAGCAAATTTCGAGGTTTAATAAGGTGGCATGCGAATAAGAAAAAAACCATGGTGCCTTTGTGGGTATTTCCTCTTGCTTTCCAAATCTGCTGTTGCAACCAGGACTAGAAAGCCTATTTTCAGGGGCAGGGAATGTGGAGACGCCCAAGATGCTGTCCCAAACTGGGCACCTGTGAATTGCAGAAGATCACCTGTTTTAGCGGACGAGGAATGCAGATGAATTACCTGTTTCAGCATTAAAACATAGTTCCAGTTACCAAGCAGTTACAAAACACCTGAATAGTAGTTATGATTTCTTTTATATGAAAAAGAGCCAATAAACACCTTGGTTTCCAGGTGTCAGTTGGAAATTTAAGTAGATCTTAGCGTGCCTGAAAAGTTAGGTTTTTCTCAAAAATTAGCAGGCTTTAATTAAGTTTAGTCACATGTCATATAACAGAGACAGTTTCTGGAAAACCCCATTTTCCACTAGATACAAATTCCTCACATCTTGATTCAGAATGGGCATGCTTGTTCTTCCCTAGTTCTTTCAGAAAATTCTCCAAAAACGCTTTTAGCAGGCTCATTCTTTCCAAGTAATTCCCTGCAGATGTTTTTTGCTCCTCCAGAGGAGCTAAATGAGCTCTATTCAGCAGTCACAACCAAATGGCGCACTGTAGTCGTGCTGTTGATGTAGCTTGTGTATCGTTTTTGTGGACATCATAGTTGCCAAACTGCAGCGAAGTGCCTGTTGCACAAAACTTCTGCTTCTACTGGAGATGTGCTTTAGTCAGACCTTAGCATGAGGGTGATGGAAGGCACAAAGTTTGGTCGCTGAAAATGCAATCGTTCAGACTTCTCTTCATGATTCAGAACCTTACTTTCCCCCTGCTCCGTCTTTAACCCATTTCTGCAAAACCTGTTTATTTAACTTAAAAGGTTAAAAGCCATTACGTCCTCACAAGCAATTGCATTTGGGGTGTAAGGAGTGAAGCAAAGAATTCGCAGGGTTCTCAGCACCCTCACCAAACTACAGTTCTCTAGCTTTGGGGTGGTGCATTGGGGAAGCGATGGCAGTCAGATAGTACAAAACCTAAGTGTGTAAGGGTAAGATGTACCCTTAGATTTCCAAAGCCGGATTCCTACTCTAGCCTGGGCAGCATCTGATATGAGATGGGGTGGCGGGGAGAACCACATTTCTTAATAAATAAGAATATGCCCAGGCACATTAGCTGATGGTGCAAGTCTGTTTTTTTAAAGCAGAGGCCATTGGAAGTGTCTGTGTTGTTGCAACAGGTCCACTGTCTTCCTCCGCCCCTGGTGTTCCCCCTATTGCTGCCAATGCCATCACTTCTGCTGCCATTAGTCTCTCGCCAACAAGGGAGGAGACCAACTTGACAACCTCAGCTCAGCCAATCTGTAGGGAAGCTCCAGCTGCTGAGGCTCCAAAGACAAAGCCATCGAGTGCAGCCCAGTGGTGAGTAAACATGCCCCGCCGCACATTGCCATGAAGCGATGGGTTTGGGGGGCAGCCGTTAGATCAAGCCTTCCTTTTCTAAAGTCAGGACCCGCAAGGGGCGTCTGGCGGCTTGTACCTCCGTTCCGGAATTTCCCTTTTCTCCTGATGGAGAACTAGTCACAGCTCAGATCTGATAGCATAAGACCTTTCTTCAAACCGGTGATGTGGCCAAACGGTGTTTCATCAGTGCATTGGGAGGGTTTTTCTTACTTTCCTTTAAGTTGCAAGAAAGGAGATTCCAGTTCAGCCTCAGGAAGAACATTCTGATGGTAAGAACTGTTTGACAGTGTGATGGTCTCCCTCGGGATGTGGTGGACGCTCCTTCCTTGGAGGTTTTTAAGCAGAGGTTGGATGGCCACCTGCCATGGATGATTTAGTCGAGATTCCTGCATCACAGGGGGCTGGACCAGACGACACTCAAAGTCCCTTAAAAAAAAAGGTAAAGGACCCATGACAGTTAAGTCCAGTCGTGAATGACTCTGGGGTTGCAGCGCTCATCTTGCTTTACTGGCCGAGGGAGCTGGCATTTGTCCACAGACAGTTTTTCCGGGTCACGTGGCCCGCATGACTAAGCCACTTCAGGCAAAACCAGAGCAGTGCATGGAAACACCATTTACCTTCCCGCCGGAGCGGTACCTATTTGTCTACTTGCGCTGGTGTGCTTTCGAACTGCTAGGTTGGCAGGAGCTGGGACCAAGCAATAGGAGCTCACCCCGTCGTGGGGATTCGAACTACCGACCTCCTGATCTGCAAGCCCTAGGCTCAGTGGTTTAGACCACAGCGCCACCCACGTGAGAGGGTCCCTTAAAGGTAAAGGTAAAGGGACCCCTGACCAGTAGGTCCAATCGTGACCGACTCTGGGGTTACGGCGCTCATCTCACTTTATTGGCCGAGGGAGCTGGCGTACAGCTTCCGAGTCATGTGGCCAGCATGACTAAGCCGCTTCTGGCGAACCAGAGCAGCGCACGGAAACGCCGTTTACCTTCCCACCAGAGTGGTACCTATTTATCTACTTGCACTTTGACGTGCTTTCGAACTGCTAGGTTGGCAGGAGCTGGGACCGAGCAATGGGAGCTCACCCCATCGCGGGGATTCGAACCGCCGACTTTCTGATCAGCAAGCCCTAGGCTCTGTGGTTTAACCCACAGCGCCACCCGGTTCTTTGAATAAAATGCCAGCTCTTCCTCTCCTTCGGTGCTGCAACCTTTCCTTCATCCAGATGCAGCCAGGTCTGCAGGTGCCCTCTGCTCTCTCAGCCTGGGCTGTTCCCTCTCGCTGCCAGTTAGCACAGCGCTGTGGCGCTGCCAGCTGGCTCTAGACCTTGCCACTCTCCCTGCTGCTTTTGCCCTCTCACTCCCCACCCCCACCCCTCAAATCCGCCTTGGCCTGCTTCTCCCTCCCTGCCAAAATCTCCAGACAGCTGTTGCTATGGTTACCTTTCTGAATCAACGGAAATTTAAGGCTTTTCCATCTTACCCAGGGATTATATCGGAAATGCTGTAATGGCGCACAGTATTGTTTTCTCCAGTAGAAAGTTTTTAGAGAAGTCCAGTTTCATACTAGCCAAATTTAGCAGAGTAAACTGTTGCGCACAATTCAGTTAATGTTGTTATCTAGTTATTTGACATGGTGAGTAAAGTAATTGGATCATATGCAAACTTCGTATAGCGTTTGCTAGAAGCATGGTGGTTTTTAAGTGACTGCCATGGGTGCTTTCCTTCCCCTCGATTTAAAACGTCATTGCATTGTGGAATCGCAGAGTTGGAAGGGACCACGAGAGTCATCTAGTCTAACCCCCTGCAATGCAGGAATCTTTTGCCCAACATGGGACTTGAACACACAACCCTGAGGTTCTCCAGAAAAGGGGAGGTTATGTCTGATAAGTGAGGGGTGGGCATCCCTACACATGCCCACGCCCACACAAACATGCACACACTGCCACCTGTCCTAATGATAGCTTATTTTTGCTAGTCTGTAGGCTACAGCAGCCAGATCTCAAAATTCTGTATGCATTCTTGAAAGCCCCGGGTTTGGGCGCACCCTGATAAGAAAACAGAATCATTGGCAGGATAAAGCAGCTCATTTTTCAGCCGCAGACAAAGTCAATGGGGTACAGGAGAGGTAGAGGAATTCTGAAGCAGGAATGGGGAGAAGTAGGAGGAGCACATAGAACATGGATTGGTAGGTTATGGTGTCTCTCTGTCCTGGATCTTGTGGACCTCCCTTAGGGTCTGTAATAGGATGCATCCCTTCCGCTCCCTAGTTTCTGTGGCTCTTGGGCTTGGCAATCAGAAGGTTGGATGTTCAAATCCCTGTGACGGAGTGAGCTCCTCTTGCTCTGTCCCAGCTCCTGCCAATTAGCAGTTCGAAAGCAGGCCAGTGCAAGTAGATAAATAGGTACCACTGCGGTGGGAAGGTGAACGGCGTTTCCGTGCACTCTGGTTTCCATCACGTTGTTCCATTGCAGCAGAAGCGGTTTAGACCTGCTGGCCACATGACCTAAAAAGCTGTCTGTGGACAAATGCCAGTTACCTTGGCCTAAAAGCGAGATGAGCGCCACAACCCCATAGTTGCCTTTGACTGGACTTAACCATTCAGGGGTCCTTTGTCTTTGCCTTACCTGTGGCTGCATATCCATGTAAACTTTTTCACGAAGCTTAAATATGCGTTGTTGCAATTTATGCCATGCTACTCTTGCCTCTTGTTTCCTTTCTCCTTTTCTCTCTTCCGTCTCTACTGTCAAAATGACCACAAGCTTCTTGGGGTTCTCTCGTCCTTGCTTACCTAACCATGTAAAGTTTCTTCCATACTGATTCGGCTATAGAGATAATAGAGTCCTGTGGCCACAATAAATAAAAAAATCCTTTCATCATCATCATCATTTTTAATTTGTATACCGTCTTTCTATTTTACAATACTCAAGGTGGTTTACAAGCTGAAGAAACAAAAATGTACATCTTATAACAATCTATTGCAATACAAAAATGTGATAATAAAACATAACTTTAAAATAGGCAACCTCCATAAAAAAGTAACGTTCAACAATCATTAGAATAGTATTAAATAATAACAACAACATATAAAAGTTAAACAGAAATCCACTCAACAGTTACAATAAATAACTTCTAAACTATAATCAGTAAAACAATGGCAAGCCACAGTGCATAAAATAATACAAATTGAGAAGCAGAGACTAGAGGGTGGGCCAAGGCAGGTGGAAGGTGGTCTTGCCTGATGAAGTCTCTCCCCTCACAGTTCTTCCTCCAGGACCAGCTCCCTTATGAGGAGTCAGAAGGGAAGGCTTGATACGGTTATCTGGACAAATGAGATTTTCTGGTTAGCATTCAAACACAGAAACGTTTGCCTTCAAACCAGCTTGCTTGCTTCTAGGCGCTGAGGAGTTTCCTCAGAAGTGAATCTACACATGAGGGGACCTAGGGGGTCTTTGTAAGTTGGCCCCCACCGAGGGCGCAGGCCCAGGGGAGCACAAAAATCACGTCTCTCCACTCTGGCTCCGAGTGGCTAGGAGGGAACCTAGCAGAGGCAGACAGGCAGGCAGAGGGACGACAGAGGAGGAGGAGTTGGGGCAGGCAGAGCAGAGCAGACCCCGACACAGAGGAAGTCGCTGGCAGAGCACAAAAGGCGATGAAAAACAAACCTTTTGAGTTTCTGGTCCATAGTCCCTCCGGGCTTTGGAGGCTCTGATACAGTTCCTTGCCTTGGGTGCAAGGGAGCCTAGGTATGCCCCTGGTTCTACAGGAGGGGATCCCCCAAGTTCAAAATGCTTTTATTCTCGCTTCTCATGTTGCTTTCATAAAGGCGCCCATAACCACGTTTCACAAGGCGCACTTCCTCATGCTTAGAAATGGAATGTGTGTGGCTGGTGTGGACGAGACGAGACACACATACAGTTCAAAGGGAATGCCGCTCCAAGTTTCTGAAGTTCAATTTCGTTTTAAACTTGTTAACTCATTAAGTGCATCATGCGGGCCTAACCGTTTGGCCAGAATAATACGCAGAATGAGGAGCAAGCCAGGTGCAACGTTTTGCATAAGCAATTAATATGCATTTACTTAAAAGAAAACAGAGGCTGCTGGGAAGCAAGCAAAATTTGGACCACTGTAAGTTTGAAAGGTTTTTAAAAACCCTTTTCTCCCCGTCTCCCCTCCCCCTCTGCCCCCCCGCTGTTAGCCGTGGAAGAAAGATACCATTGGGACAGGTGAGGCAGCATCTGTCAGGAGGTGGCTGTATCTGACAGGGCCCGTCTTCTCAGAGGAAGACAGTATTGCCTGGTGAATTGAGGATTGTGGGCGTTTGCCTGCTGCTAAGGCTTTGTTACGAAGGCCCCTTGCATTTGAAGAAGGTCTCTGTAAAAGCCGTGATTTCCTGTGGGTCTTTGTTGCGCAGATTGAGAAAAACGGGTCTAGTAGACACATGAGAGCCAATGTGCCCATTCATTATTACTATTACTATTTTAAAAGTATGAGACTCCATTCCGCCAGTCTTCAGCCACTTCAGGCTGTGTGTGCATATTGGCATTTTGAATGCTGAAAGAAAAACTGCTGTATCTGGGCATGATAATTTGCCTTAACTTTCTGCCGGATGAACTTAGGGGGTTTGTTGTTGTTGTTTTATGCTTTTAAAATTGGAGAGCTCCTAAACCAGGGGACACAATTTAAGGTTAGTGAGGAAGAGTGGGGAGAATACAAGGGCAACCAGTGTTCAAAGACCTATATTTGGACATGGACATGTGGTTGGAAGGGCACGTGGCTATGCACTGAGCATACATTTAAAACACATGTGTCCCTCTCCCCCAAGGAATCCTGGAAACTGTAGTTTTACACACACACCCCCCAGCTATCATTCCCAGCACCCTTAGCAAACTACAGTTCTCTGGATTCTTTGGGGAGAGTGAGTGTGCTTTAAATGTGCTTAGGGCGTGCACAGCCTATCTTTAAGAGCACGTGTTCCAATTCTCTTCTTTCATAAGGTCAGTCTCCCACACTTTTTACCCAAAAGGATTTATGCCTTTGGCTTCACACCTAATACCCTTTGTCCCAGTCAGTGTGCAGATTGGTTGGCCGCAGATATAGGTGCTGTCATCATTGCGTGAGAAATAAGAGATGGGATGGGAGATAGACTGCATCCCTTGCCCTCCTTCCGTGATGGTCCTTGATTCAGACATGAAGACCCCTGCCTGCAGTCTCAAATTGCATGCAGGAAAATACTAATTTCATGAAGCTGAGCATCTAAGGGGGAAAGTCTGTGGTCACAGAGTGGCATCATTCCGTTCCTTGGCACCTCTGCAGCAAAAGCCCTGAAAGCCCTTCAGTTTTAGAATGGAACTGCCGGAGGGAACTGCACTCTAGGCCTTTTGGTGGCCTTTGCTGTTTTTGTTTGTTCGAAGCCTTTGAATGCCTTTTAAAACCTTCCCTCGTGTTTTATTACTGTCGTTTGGTTATTGTGATCTCCGGCAAACGGAGCTGGGAGTTATCCCTGACTCTTAAACTGGCCTGGCGGACTTCTTTTGCCTTCCAGCAAACCCCTGGAGATCTACCCGGAGCCAAAGAAGAAACTGTTTGCCAAGAAAGGTGGCTCCTCTTCCTCCTCTGGACTGAAGAAGTTCTTCTCCGCTCTGAGTCAGAGCACCAAGCAGAGGCTGGGCAGGTTCCGCTGCTACAGCATGGAGCAGATTTGTGCCCCGGAGCCGGGAGCTGCTGCGCCCACTGAGGAGCCAGGCCCAGGCGCCACCAGCACACCCAAAATGAAGAAAGCGCCTTCCCTGCAGTCCTTGCAGCTGGTGAGTCCAAAGGGTGCGTCTCATGATCAGAGGTCGGATACCTTTTGGGGTGGGGTGTGTGTGTGTTGGATCTTTGCCCGGTCCCACCCCTGCAGGCCAACTTTGAAAGGTTGGCGGGGCGAACCACCTGCACAGCCAAACGGCTTCAGCTCTCCCACCTATCAGCTGAGGGCCTGGAGAGCTGAAGTTCACTTTGTACAGACATTGGCTGCACAACTGAGTTCTTCCCTGTGGGAACTGCCATGTGGAGCTGATGCAGCAGGCTTTGGTTCTCCTGCCAAAGTCTGCTTTCCCTTAGGAGCGCCCTTAAAGGCTCCCCGTTGTGCATCGGCAGGCTGTGTCTCTACCTGTGTGACCTCAGACGTGGAGAAGTGGAGGAAGGCCTTGAAGGCCAAATTTGGCCTTCAGGTCAGAGGTTTCTCCACCCTTGTACTAGGTGGCTTAGATCTGGGACTTCAAGAGACAGGAAAAACTCAGCCTACTTTATGTAGGGCAGCGACTATCAAATTGTGTTCAGGGGTGACATGGTGGGGAACCTCTCCTCATAAGACGGTTTGCCCCTCTCCACTGATTCCCTCCTCCCCCATCTTGCAGAAATTCTAGAGTCTCCAAGGCAGTTGGACAACTCCTCGTACGCGTCCTCCTGCCACCAAGCTGGTGCCAAACGTCTTGCTCTGCTTTCCTTTGGACCACAGCAGGAAGGCTGAGAGGGGAGACTTGTTGTCTGGTCAGCCCAGGACCTCCACAAACACTGCCCAGGCTTGCACCCTGCGGAGGTCCCTTCAGTCCTGCTAATGCAGTAGTTTGACTTCACCCCCAGAGGCACACTCCATTGTCTCTCAAGGCGGACTCATGCCCACAACAACAGCCTTTAACCTTTTCAGGCCTGGGAAGCATCTTTTAGCCTAAACGTGTGTTTAAGGTTTTTTAAACGTATATTTGTGCGGTCATTGCGCTGCTGGCAAGGCCACCCTTAAGTCAGGCTGCGGCCCAGGAGTGGGGTTGCAACCCACCAGCTGAAGACCAGTGTTTGTAGTTATTCTCTCAGTTCCCCAGTACAATGGCGAAGCCCTATAGTTCTGGCCAGAATCCCACGTTGCACTGCCATACATGCCCTACCATAGAAGCAGCCAATTTGGTGCCCTCAGTATGCCCTTAGGCTGCAGCTTCTTTGTAAATTCCAGTGCAAACTGCTCCATGCCTCCCGGACTACTGTGCAGATTAAAAAGGAGTTATAGCCACTGCCTTTCATATTGTCCAAACATTCAGTCAGATCCAACATATTTGGGATTGGAAATGACAATTGTTAGGCTTTCTTTGCCCGGTGTCTGCTTTTTTTAAAAGTAGAATCCCGGGGTTAGTTTTCTCAGCCCTTGCTCTGGCTCAGCTCTTTCATTCTCCCGCTAGGTGTCGCCATTCCGCCAACCAAGAAAAGCCTCTTCTGTTCAAAATCTTCATTCCTTACTGGGCAAGGCTGACCGGTCCAGTCTCTATGTACTGGGGGAACCAAAGGAGGAGGAAGCTGCTCTAAACAGGTAACGCTGAAAATCCTAAATCTCCCATTTTTGTCATTTCTTCTGAAACACTGTGAAAGCAGATTATGCTATGCCTGGTTATTGCAACATCTGGGATGCCGTGTTTGACCTTACAACTCACTCACACTAGGCTGTAAGCGACACATTACATATGCAATAGTATCATTCAGAATGGGAGCCAGCGGGTGGCCTTTTCGGCAATAAACATGGAAGAACAGACCCAATCCTGCCCCTGATCATTGATGATATATGTTCTGAAGGAAATTGGGCATCTTAAAATCTACCTGCCCTGTGGGTGAACCAGCCTATTTCTGCTCCATGTCACTTTTGCACATGTTCTTTTTCATCCACATTAAAGGTAAAGGGACCCCTGACCATTAGGGCCAGTCGTGGCTGACTCTGGGGTTGCGGTGCTCATCTCGCTTTATTGGCCGCGGGAGCTGGCGTACAGCTTCCGGGTCATGTGGCCAGCATGACTAAACCGCTTCTGGCAAACCAGAGCAATGCGCGGAAACGCTGTTTACCTTCCCACTGGAGCGGTACCTATTTATCTACTTGCACTTTGACGTGCTTTCGAACTGCTAGGTTAGCAGGAGCAGGGACCGAGCAACGGGAGCTCACCCCGTTGCGGGGATTCGAACCGCCGACCTTCTGATCAGCAAGTCCTAGGCTCTGTGGTTTAACCCACCCGCGTCCTTAATCACGTCCCTTCATCCACATTACTCTGCTGCTAATTTTTATTTTCAACAAAATTCACATTGGCTTGGTTTCAGTATAACTGGCTGGATGTTACGTGCTTGAGCATTGGGTTTGTTTGTCGCCACCCTCTCCTTCCTTCCTTCCTTCCTTCCTTCCTTCCTTCCTTCCTTCCTTCTCCCGTGTTACTGCTAGGAAGCGATCCGAAGTTTCGTTTCCATTGTCAAACCTTAAAACTGTAGCTAATTTTAACTATGGTTTACAGAAACAAGCTTCGTAGGCTGCAGAATGAAGTTGCTTCATTTCCCTGTCACATAATTAGGACTAACCGTGGTTTGCCTAGTCGGCAGGTTAAAACTACATATAATTTAACAGAAGCAATAGCCACACTGGAGGAAGAGAGGGAAAGTTTGTGCACACAATGCTAAGCCCACGTTTAGAGTTGTGTCCGAGTTGGGCCATTTAAATATGCATTTCCTGCTTGCACCAGTATTCCTTCCTCTTCCCAGGAACGCAGGTGCCCCACATCGCCGTTCCCTCAGCGTGGAGGACATTGGCTCCCCCAACTTGGCGAGAACCGTCGGGCGAGTGGTGGAAGTTTTCCCAGACGGAACAAGCCAGCTGGAATTGCAGCACCGCCCAGAGGGCAACTTCGGATTTCGTGTCTCATCAGGAAATGGCCGTCCTGACACAGGTATATGTTCAGCGTAGAGCAGAGGTGCAGAACGTCAGGCCCTCTGTGCTTCTGTTCCTGGCACCTGAGCTTTTCCCAGGCCCCACCTTGCCCTGCCCCCCCCAGGTGTTTTTGTCTGGCTGGAGTGTGTCCTTGAACTCTGATGTCAGGCACAGAATGTCCAGAGTGAGGAATTAGCTCTTTGTTGTCAACAGCAGACTTATAAGTTAGGGAAAGGCATGTCCATCAGCCCTTCGTCTCTCAGCTACTCCTAGGTGTGCACCTGTTCCTGCTGGGAAGCAAAGACAGTTGAAATACTCCCCAAACATAAAGGCTTCATCCCTGGTCTCCCATAACTCCCAGTGCATGCACTGTTTTGGGGTGCCCTGATGCGCAAGAGTGCAGCGCAAGCAGAAAAGCAGATTGTGGAACACTCCCTTGTTATGTGAGAGTCCGACTCAGCCATTTTTTTTAGGCTAAGCCTGTCACAAAGTGGGTCAGATGGCGGGAATAATTGAACACAGATGTTTCCACGTTCTTTTCCCAGGCAGGCTCCTGAGAATGTTGCAATATTTGTGGACTAAGATGACAAATGTTTTTCCTGGCCTTAAGCACTCTGGCTCCAGGAATTAAGTGTTTTCATTGCACTGCCCTGGACTTCTCAGATACCGTCCCCACGCTAAGAGGTTTCAGATATTATTTGGGGTACAGCTGGTCCTGATCAGTGTCAGTTCCTGGCTCCCACTTCTCCGGAAGCTCTTGTGTCATTAAAGAGGTAAAACCTTTCTACAATATATTTGGAGAAGATTCTCCCCAGCCCTCATCCCGTTCCTCCTATCCAAAACTTTTTCTCTTGTGCACGCCTTTGGAATTTGCTTCCTCTGCCCAGCTATGAAATACATATTAAGCATAAACCAAAGCTGGAGAGGACTTGCTTGGTCATAGAATCCGGACTGTGTCACCCGTCCATCTTTATTCAGCACATTGCATGAATTTTAGAGGGTGGGGAGGGTGCTGCAGAGTCCAGCCCCCTCCCTGAATTTTCTCAGAGAAACTTGGAGATAGAGGGATAAATGCTGGCCTCCCTATGCCCCCATCATCACCACCAAACATGGTGTGCCTGTTCACACTCTCGGTTTCTGTATATGGACTTGTTGGGGGGATGAACTTAGAATGCATAATCTAAGAGATGCAAAAGGCACCTGCAATTCCAGAAGGGAAGGGAGTGTTTGTAAGAGCAGAACCAGCATGCTGGCTACACTTCACTTTGGTTTTGTACCTCGTTAGGAGGGAAATATGAGGAATCTCCAACCACGTTTCCCCCCTAGTAAATGCTAATGTTGGCCTTTTGCAGGGGAGAGTCCTCTGCCTGCTGGTGCTGCTCTTACAAACACTCCCTTCCCTTCTGGAATTGCAGGTACCTTTTCCATCTCTTAGTGCATCTGAATAGTCCAAAAAGGGGTAATTCTGAGTTTCTTCCATTGCTTTTACTGTGCTTTTATCAGCAGCCTTTCTGGGCAGGGAGAGGTTCCTTCTGCTGATGCATGCAGGACAACTTGCAGGATTTTGTGGGACAACCACAAAGCCTACTAGCTGATAGGGGCATAATCCAGGCACTCCTGCTATGGCCCATGGCCTAGTAGCAGTCTTTGAAGTATGGCTACTCAGGGCTTTATTCCACAGAAATACCTGGAGATACTGGGGGTTGGTCCAGGGACCTTATGTATTTAATAATTTAATAATTTATTACGGCCGTAGGCCCATACAGATAAAAACAAGACATATATAACAGCCTGTGCACATGAGAAAAAAACAGCCGCTAAAACAATACTATAACAATAAGCTACTATAAGATGGAATGGCATACTACGCCTTAATTAGCTTGTGGTGCTCCTTGGCGACGCTTTTGGGTAAGGACAGCGACCAGGAACCTAGCCACTTTCAGGGTCGTATGGGCATCCTTATCCTGCAAGATTTGGGCAAGGTGGAATTTTGGTGGAGTACCCTCTAATTTCTGTATGATTGATCCCAACAAGTTTGCCCGTGGCACCTTAAATAAGGGGCAAGTGAACATAATGTGCTGAAGCGACTCCGGCATCTCCTTATCACATTCGCACATGGCGGAGGTTTGGCCCTTTGAGAATCTATGTCTCAGGACATTGGAGGGAAAAACATTAAACCTCGCTTTGGTGAAGGCCAGCCTATGGGCAACAGTCGAAAGGGAGGAGAGGTATGATGGAACGCAATAAGTTAAAGTGATCCCAATGTTCTGGGGCGAACAAACACCTCCCCCCAGCATATAATTTTGCTGTAAATCGATGTCATCCAGTCTTTGGCGGATCAGTCTTTGAGCAGTGATTTGATCTAGTTTTAGGGAATCTAAGGGAGAGATTCCATAGCTCAGGAGTTTGGCATGAATTCTACTGGTCCAAAGGCTGGGGAATTCATCTCGCCATAAGCATTGGGCAAGGTAATGGTCTGGTAATCTATGCCACAATGATAACCAATAATTGAAGACTTGCTTCCACAGGCAGGTTTCTAAGGATGCGATCCTCAATTCTAAACGCATGGCTGCGTTGCTTACGCACAGGGGGAGCATTAGGAGCCGACGTAGGAATTGGTTTTGCAAAGTCTCAAGAGGAGCAAGGTCTGTCATCACGACCCAGAGCGGGGCAGCATAAGCAAGCACGGGAACCACTTTTGCCTTGAACACCTTTAGGGCCGAGGAACATGCAAAGCTCCATCCGAAAAGAAAAATCGGAGGAGCGCATATGACAGAGTTTTGGCCTTATTAAGTAGGTGTTGAATATGTGCTTTCCACCCCAAATTGTATTGAAAAATAACTCCTAGGTATTGAAATTTTAGGACTTGCTCTATTTTTGCTCCACCAAGCTTCCATTCATATAATCTCCGACTTCTGGCGAAAATCAGAATCTTAGATTTAGCATGATTGATGGTTAATTGGTTGAGTTGACAATACGTGGCAAAGATCTTCAGAGCTCTGGTTAGTCCAACACGTGTATAAGATAGAATTACCGCGTCGTCCGCATATAAAAGGAGTGGACAGCGGTAGTCCGCTAGTCTAGGCGCATGTGTACTTGGAGATGAGTTGACTAGGGGTGCTCGCATGTCGCTAATGAATAGATTGAATAGGCAGGGGGCCAATATACATCCTTGGCGCACTCCCTTGTTTATTGGTATCGAATTTGTGAGGTCGCCCGCAGGAGTAAGTCTCACTCTGGCAAGGGTACCTTCGTGGAGCTGACTTATAAGCCATAAGAGCCTTCTATCGATGCCCTGTTTCGCAAGTTTCTCCCAAAGAATATTTCTAGGAACGCTGTCGAAGGCTGCCTTAAGATCTAAGAAGGCAGCACACAGATAGCCCCGGGAGGGAGGAGTACTTCCGTGCCAGATGGTAAAGAACTATCGCATGATCAGTTGTAGAGCGTTTAATTCTGAACCCTGCTTGTTCGTGGCCAATCTGGTTAGTCTCATCTACCCATCGCGATAGTTTCGTCAGCAAAAAGCTGGCATAAATTTTCCCTATGATCGAAAGGAGGCTGATGTTACGGTAATTTTCCGGGGACCTTATGTATGCGAAGCAGATAACCTACTGCTGAAGTACAGTCCTTCCATCTAAGATTTCCTGCTACTAATCGTGTTTCTCCCATAACTGTGGCCTCTTATTTTCTTTAATATCGAATTTATATAAGTGCATTGTAGACACACCTCAGCAAGCCCCATAACAGCCAGAAATCATTTTGGTCTCTTGGCAAGCATGGGGCTGGAGCAGTTGCTGAGCTTGCCTGGCTTCTGACGGCGCTCTTTTCAGGAGCATTGCTTGTGAAGCTGTTCCCCGGTTGAAAGAGCGTTTCGCAAGCCTCCGAGATTGGAGGCTGACACTACGTGCTGACACAAAACCTCAGTGCCCATGTATACTTCTCAAGTGTTTTGGAGTGCAATGGCAAAGGCAATGAGAGAGCACGATAGCTTGGAAGATAGTGAAAATAAAGCCTATGTTTCCAGACACTTGAGAATTTGGGCTGAGAACAGATTCTTTGTGAAGAAAGAACCGCAGAAATAAGAAACACCATTCAAGCTGTCAGATTAAACATGCATCAATATGGGCCTCAGTTTAGTCTGACCCTCGCAGTTCAGCATTCTTATCCGTGTTGTAAGAATTCACTTCTACATTGCCTTGTTCGTTACCCAGGTGAGGGGCCACCTTTTAAAGAAATGACACAACCAAAGAAACTGTTTTCAAGTCCAGCATCCGGATTTAAGGACCCGGTGTTTATTATAGCTATTGCAGTAGGGCAGAGTTCAACACACCATGCCAGTTTAGAAGGTCTGCCCCAAGGCACTTCAGAACTAAAGCTTATATAGTTCTTCAAACGCAGCAAACAAAGGGTCATAAAACATCTTCACATACGTCAGGAAAGGTTACAGGTCATGAGATAGAAAACACATATGGTGTCTTCCTGCCCCCCCCCCCACTTCCCCTGCTGTCACCTTGGGGGTGACCAGAAGTGCCTAGGCCTTTTGACCGTTTTAGGTCTCGGATGTCCCACGTTACCCTGGCAACCTAGCCTTCAGTGGGAGGGAAGAGCATCGTAAAATCCTCTCCCACTCCTCTTCCTGGGTCTCAGAGAGCTTCAAGGATGCTTAATGCATGTGAGTTTTAGCATAGATGGGATTTGAGATCTTTTTGCACTACGTAAAAAGACTGCCTTAATGCATCAGCAGTCCTTTCCAAAAGCAGGAGGGGGAGGCAGAGGACATGTCAAGGCAGGAGTCTCACCACCAGCAACTTCCTTAGTTTAAGAATTACTGCTCAGGTTCCACGGTGTCTCATTCCCAATCCATCCTGAGCTGTCTGTGTGAAGAGAGACACGCGAGCAGACATAGCGGAGGCATTTCTGAAGGGCATGTAGACACATTCCTGATGAGAGATGCGAGGAGAGAGCTCAGCCGAGGAGCTACAACCCCTTGATGCCTGTACGCAGTCCAGTTGGCGCACGGTGCTTCAGTGGAAACTTGGAATTGGGGTTTCAGCACCTTGATCCACTGCTGTTGGCATCTCTTATGCGCCGTGATGTGCAGCCAGATGGACACTGGAGTTTAAGGAACCTCCAGATTGGCTGCCGCAAGGAGGATTTACTAAAACATTGTGTGCAGAGAATCATTCTTACAAGGGTAGCAGTTCATCTTGCATGTGCATCGATGAGCAGGTGTGCACATGTCTCGCCAGGCTTCAGGCAGTCAGAAGAGCAAGAGCAGAAGATCTGGCTATCAGCCCAAGTGAGCCTGAAACAGGTGTGTAGTCAAAGCCAGGCAGGAGTCAAAATCTAAGGGAGGGAGCAAAATCCTCAAGCTCAGGAGCAAGCTCAAAGGGCCTTATAGGACCTGGTGAGGCACGATTGCTCATTCGAGTTGGGTAGGCTGGTGCCGCAGTCTAGATGGTACTCTTGAAACCCAGAGCTCAGTCTGCCAGTCTTGCCTTGGGAACAGACCACCGATGGCACAGGAGGTAAGACGCAGGATCCAATTTGCTGGGGGTCTTGGGTTGAGAGATGGCACATGCCACATGAACAGAAGCAGCTGGCCACTGTGCCTCTTCACTGAGTAGTAACATCTTGCTTAGGAATGTGACATCAAGACTCTCCCATCCCCAAAATCTCCGGCTGGGGGGACCATTTCATATGCTAAAACCAGGATCCATTGAGACCAAGAAAAGGATGGATTCCGTTGCTTTGGAACTGAAACCAGGAGACTAGAGCTGCCTGCATGAATAGCGCTGGTTGCTTTTTAAAGCTATTTTCATTTTGTTTTCCCGGCAGGCATCTACGTCCAGGAGATGGCAGATGCCAGCACAGCTAAACTGTATGCTGGACTCCTTGGAGTTGGGGACGAAATCCTGGAGGTGAACGGTGCCAAGGTTGCTGGGCTGGGCCTGGCCCAGATCAATGAACTTCTCTTGTGGGCAGACACCCTCTCGGTTAGAGTGCTGAGGCAGAGGCCCGTCCGGCGGTAGCAAAGAAGTGTAACGCTTTCCCTGCACAGTGCAAAGGAGCCTCTTGTGCCTACTGGGCCTGCCTGAGACTTGGAGCAGAGCCCAGCTCAAACCTCTGTACTAATGCCTTTCTGACTTGAATGTTGGCTGTGACACCGCCAGCCCTCTGGATGATGATGCAATGCAAGCCAGTGCGCGCGCTGAATGTTTAATTTATGCAAAGATATGGGTCTCTCTCTTCCCTCCCCCAGCCGCCCCTCTGCAACCAAGGAACAAGAATTACCAGGGAGTATTGGGGCCCTGAGCTGCTTTCCTGCATATGCGGGGTGAAGTGACGGGCGTTGGCTTCTCCTCCTTTCCAAATGCACCCATGTTTCCTCTATAAAGTTTGAAGGGTGCTGGTTTGTCTCAAATTGATACGCTAAGCTTAAAAGGCCCTAGGAGATATTTAAGGCACAATTTGACCTTGTTTATGAGTTTTGCTCCACCTCGTCGTATTGTGCATTTGTTCAGCGCTTTGAAGAAAAGCGCGGACAAAAATCCTAGGAACTGTAATTTACCCTTCACAGAACTACAATTCCCAACACTTAACAAGCTACAGGTATTCTTTGGCGAAAGTCATGTGCTTTAAATGTATAGCGTGCACACAGCCAGCCACACTGCCAACAGATATTCACCTCAGGAAGTTTCCAGGAGTTGAGAAGCCAGTGAATCTGTTTTGGATAGCTATGGAAACAGCATCCCTCTGTGAAATAGCATGTAGCCCTTATAGGAGGTTGTAGCTTGCCTTGGGCAGACTCCAAATCTCCCTCTGTGCTGTTAACAAGCATCTTACACCAGAAATGTAAATCGCATTGAGATCTGTGCATCAGTTGTCCTGTTGGGGAGCTCAGGGTCCCTGTTGAAGAATCTTCGCCCGCCCACCTGCGCTTGCAAACTGTAATTTCTAAGTTTCTTTACAGAAAGGATTGTAGAACTTGTTCTTTAAAGGGGCTTGACATCTTTACCAGAGAGCCCTCGGCACCCTTGCAAAACATCTGGGTTCTTTAGAGATTCACAGCAGGTTTGAAACCTCTTCATGTTGGTGGTGTACATGTCCCCAAACTGTGGCAGCAGCAAGAGCTGAGTCCTGCTATCGTCAGCAGCAGCCACACATTCGCAGTCTGGGAAGCAAAAAGGGTGGATGGCCTTGGTTTTCTTCTAACAAGCAGGCCAGAATCAAGGATTTGAGGCCCCTGCAGATTCCAGTGGCCTGTATTGTTCTGTACTTGGGGGAATTCTTCCTCAGTAGTCACTAGGCAGCCCTATCCAACTCTAAAAAAGCTAACCTGGCCCTCATGTTCCTACTCCCTTCATTTTCAGCCTATGACAATGTCCTAGCTCTCATGGCATGGTAAACTTGTGTCTGAGCTGTACCATTTCAGTTTGAGGCTGGGGGCTCACTTGATTTAATGTTCCTCCATACAGAGGAAATCCCTGCATGTTAGAAAACTAGCGTGCTAAAAAAAAACTAGCATGCTAGTCATCTACATGAAGGGAAATTTTTGTTCAGTTCTGTGATGACCCCCACTTTCATGTCTGAAATGGCACAGCCCAGAGTTGGGTGCACCCGAAGGAGGCGAAGGTCTGAATTTGCTGCCAGGGTGAAGAAGATGTGCCCTCTTGTGTGTGTTGAAAACATTTTGCTTTCCTACTAGCCCCAAATACCAGCTTCACCCCTGAGCCTTGCAGCCAAGAGCTGATTGTGACAGGAGAGGATTCTCTTACGACTGTTGTGAGCACTCCCATGGGCTGCTCTCGGCAGTGCTGGAAAGCCTCTCTACCTTGTTTTACTGTATTTCTCTGATTAAATTATTTTTTGAGAGAACTTGGTGCTCCTGGTCTTCAGTCGCTGATGGAAGAGCGGTTTTGCAAATCAGCACAATCCTTTTTTATCCTCGCACCCCCTCTGTGGGGTAGGCTAGTCATAACGCTGCTTTGCATTTCTTGACCTTTGGGTGTGTGTATTTATAAGAAACAAGCAGGGCTCCAGAAAGAAATGGCACCCACTATGGGAGCTCCAATTGCACATTTCTACAGCCACTAAAGGTTTCTGAAGTTCAGATCAGCTCAATGGGAAGAACAGCTGAGTACAGGGAAGCCTGCAGAGCAGCTTTCAATCCAGGGTCTCCACCCAGCACCAGTGGCAAGCATCTTTGGGAAAAGGACCGAAGTCTACAGCAGGTGTGTGTTGCATCGCCGTCTGTTGCACTATCCTGGGCTCATTGGAACTCACAGAGCCGCAAGAGGCGAGCATGGAGGAGACATGCTGCAACCCCCATGCCATGTTCTGCTGGTGTTTTGTCAGGCTGATGGACTTGGGGAAGACCAGAGCCCAGTCATATCCCCTACAACTTGCAGAAGAAAAACGCCTCTTGATGGCTTCTCTAGAAGCTCCCGCTTGGTGTGCCAGATGAACTCTGGGCTTAGCTGTTCAGTACAAACGGATCATTTCAAGCAGGTAAGCCGTTGTCAAGGGAGTCGAAGATTTGCAGTTTATTTCCTGGCTTTTCCTCCGAGGAGCTGAAGGTGGCGTTGCATGGTTCTTGTCCCTCCTTCCTTGCAGTTGTAACCCTCAACAAACAAATGTCGTAAGTTAGACTGAGAGATATTGGCTGGCCAAGGGGGAGTGGGATTTGAACCTAAATCTCGCCAGTCATAGATAATCCTCATCATTGCCCGACACTGACTCATAAAGGGGGGGGGCACAGTTTTATTAGTGAGGCCATCAGAGTTTTTGATGTAACCACTTAGGGCTCATGCAGCTCTGTGTCTGAATATTGTTTTTTTGTCCCAGTGCTTTCCTCAGGACAAAGGGTAAAAAAAAAACCCACTTGGCCACAAAAAGAAGTTTGGGTGAGACCCTTAGTTGTGTATTGGATAACAAATGACTATTCCCACCACTGCAGGCTTTGCTAGGTCGCCCCTTTGTCTGACAAATGGCAATATTGAGCAATATTGTCCTTCGACTGAAATGTTAATTGTTCGCTGAAGCAGGCAAGAGATCGCCAAAGAAGGATGCTGCTGCCAGATGGACAGCCGGGCTTCCAGAAGCTTCTTTCCTGAAAAAGGACCATGAAGGCAGCCCAGTATTAACCCCCCGTTTGCCTTTTCCTTAGGTTTTTGCTAACAGATGCTAGAAGCGTTTTGTTTGGACTGGGTGTTTTGGGTTACGATCTGAAAACCTGGCAGAGTGCTGTCTCACTACAGATCACACAGATGCACAGGTGCTATTCATTCATTCATTCATTTAATTTATGAATCGCTTCCTATGTGGAATCCTGAAGCAATTTGCAATAGTAACACTAATAATGATGATGATAACATCATTAATATTATTATTGTTATTTGTTTTAGGGTTGCCATATTTTGAAGAGCAAAAAAGAGGCCACTTTGACGACTCTCATTTTAAATACCCCTACTATATATATGCTATAGAAGCTGTGATATATTGCTGAGGGGGGCAGGAGAAGAGAAAAGTAATTCTTCAGCCACCAGTTATGTCCATGTCTCATCCAGAAAGTATAGCCAGAGACATTTTGGCAAATTTAAAAAATCCACCCGGGCAGAAAATTTCCCCCTGAAAAAGAGGACATGTCCTGGAAAAAGAGGACACATGGCAACCCTAGTTATATGCTGCCCATATAACTGAGTTGCCCCAGCCACTCTGGGCGGCTCCCAACAAAATATTAAAAACACAATAAATCATCAACCATTAAAAACTTCCCTGAACAAATGTAAGCAGTTAAAACAATGGCATATAGGAAAACAATTTTTGGAAAACTACCCGTTGCATTGCAGTGATTCTTGCAAGAGTCCCACCCACATCCAAGAAATGATTTGGCTCCTAATTCTTAGGTCTGAAAGGGACTTGACCTGAGAACCATGATTGCGTTCCAGTGACTCTTTAGTCCAGGGGTCAGCAAACTTTTTCAGTCCACTGTCCCTCAGTCCTTGTGGGGGGCCGGACTGTATTTTTTTGGGGGGGAGGATGAATGAATTCCTATGTCCCACAAATAACCCAGAGATGCATTTTAAATAAAAGGACATGTTCTACTCATGTAAAAACACGCTGATTCCCCGACCGTCTGGATTTTGAAGGCGATTGGGCAGGATCCAGCCCCCGGGCCTTAGTTTGCCTACCCATGCTTTAGTCAATGGATCCCCTGCCTGGACCCAGCAAGGCTCCTGGGAGTTGCACCTCCTGCTTCTGCAAAGCATTCCTATGCTAAAGGTACCCAAAGGCCACCTGCTTTTCTCTGGAGCCAGCAGGGCTTTAAATTACTTATGGCAAGGCGGGGGGGGGGGGGGGAGAGATAAGGATTCACCAACACTGGAACCCCGGGGTGAAACTAGGCTTTATTTCACATGGTATGAAGACCCAGTCTGGCGCACGCACATGCAAACATACCCAATACACATTTGTGCACGCACAGCCTCATTGGCACCCCTCGGGAGGCTTTGCCCAGGGCAAACAACCTTGCCTAGCCAGCCCACCCCACCCCCGTTACAGCACTGCTGGAACCAAACCGTACACGGAGACTCTGTCCTACCCGTTTACATAAGGCAAATCACCCTGTGTAAATGATCTCTCATGCGCACACGCAATCCAGCGCACATGTGCATCCTTTAGAGCACATAAGGCTTTATAGCTATCAGCAGATTCAAGGGTGAGCACTTGACAGCTGAGGAGCAGATTTATGGGAGTATGATCTTTTCGGCCGCAACTATGATTTAAAATGGAGCACAAGCGAATTTTGGCACCGCGCAGGGTGCTGCTGAAATTTGAGGCCCCAGTGGCCTCTACTTAGTTGCAAAAGCAACCAAGCAAATAGTGTCTAGGCAAAGAGGACATCACTGTTTATTTCTTAATGAGATGACCCATGGTTGTTCTGCCAGTCTTGCTGCCTTTCCAACATGGATGGAAGCCGTCCTTGGATTGGGAGGCAAATGGGCTGATTATCAGAGGCCTTTAAGATGTCTTTGGAGATATTTTTGTACTAACGATGTAAGGGTGAGCTACGAGCTTGTACCTGCCCCAACACCTACCCTCAGAGATGCCCATTCTGCTGTTTCTGCATGGTCTGGGCGTGCATTGTAATTTGAAGCAGGTCAGCCTAGAGCAGTGACACATGCAGAAAGACAGTGGGCAGTTCCTTCCCAAAACCAGTGAATCATTCTCAGAAATTCAGCCGGCCACCTCTTTTGGGATGGGCGTTTGGAACCTTTCTAATTGATTGCAGCACGCTAGCAACAGAGTCTGAGAACTGCTACATGTGATTGGTTCTTTCCAAATGGGTCTGGACTCGCTTAATGGACAATTTCCACTTGCTTTGGCAGCCGTGCGTGATCTCCGTGTCAGAATAAGCTCAAATGCCTCTCAGTGTTTGCCGTGCTCTAGGAGCACAGCCGCACGACATATATGCTAAGAAGGAAAATTGCTGCAGCCACAATAGGCTTGTGAAGATTCCTTCCTTTGGTATCTTCCAGCCCACAATGTATGCCTATAGTGGCAATAGGCAAGTCCTTTTAAAAGAAAATAATTTTCTCAAGTGTTCTGCTACGACTGCCCCCCCCCCCCGTTTTGTGTGCCAAGAGACTGCGTGTGTGCGTTTTTTAAAGCAGAGATAAACAGAACTGCCAGCATCCAAGAGAGCGAAGACTGAAAAGCGGCTCTGAGTAACTTGCCTCTAGATCTGTGACAATATAAAGAAAGGGAAGGAGCCCTATACACCACCTCAGGCTCCTGGAAGGAAAGGTGGGATACAGACTTGTAAATAAATGAAATAAAAAATATAAGTTCTGGGCAGAGGATGACACTGTCATTTGGGATGAGCTTTTGCTAGTGAGACAAAAGGCTGCAAGAGATTTCTGTCCGTTTGCCCTGCCACCAGGGCGGGCGAGGGGATCAGGGCTGCTGCTCCCCCAGCAGCAAGAGGCCCCCTGAATCCTCCCCACCGCCCTGCCCCACTGCCCTATTTCCCGCAGCGCATCACGTGGCTGGCACCCCACCAGAGGTGCTGCTCCCTCTTCCCTGGATGGCTTCCTGCTTTTGCTGGCTTTTTCCACAGCCAGCCAGGGCTTGACAGCAGGGGAGGAAGGAGGGAGGGGAGACTTGCTCCAATTGCCCATGGCTTCCATTGACACATAGCAGAGATCAGGAGGGCGCAGGAGCAAACAAGGCTCTGTGCCAAACAATTCTGGGCTGGCAGCCAAACCAAGAAGCCACCTGCCCGGTTCCAGCTTTGCCTCGGCTCTTCCAGCTGCCTCTCACACCCCCCCCCTTCTTTCCAGGGCTGCTCCTGCTCCCTGGATGAGTAGCTTCAGCTTTTTTGTTCTCAGTTTGCCTTCAGAAGCGCATATTCCAATGCTAATGACTCCAGGGTGTCTGGACAGATTGCCTGGCTGGCTGTTCCCTGAAGAAGAAGAGGAGGAGAAGGAGGAGGAGGAGGAGGAGGAGGAGGGAAGAGCTCTCTCAGTTGTGGCGCTTTTCTTTGGAGGAAGGAGCCTGTGAACTAGAACAAAACAGCCTCCCACTCCTCTTCGTTTGAATGGCATCTTGCTTTTGTCTCCTGCCGCCCTGGAGAGCGGGTGGCTGTTTGCAACCGCCCTTTGAGGAAATTCTGGGGGATGCGAGGACAGGGCTGCCTCTCTTTCAGTTGTCCCTGAAGGGTGGGAAGGTTTGAGAGGCTCCCTCTTGGGTATATATCCTTCCCTCTGATAGTGAACTCAGGTGGCTGAGGGCAAACAGGGATGGAGCCCAAGAAGGGAGGGTGCATAGGGCAAGCACAGGTGAGCACGGAGGTCTGCAGAAGTGTCACTTGGAAAAAAACAAACGGGGAATGTGGGTGGGATTAGGAAAGATTCCCTGGATTTCCCTGGTTTATGGAATTATAGAATTTTAGAGTTAGAAGGACCAGTGGGGTCATCTAGTCCAACCCGCCGCAATGCAGGGATCTTTTGCCAACAGGGCTCAAGCTCATAACCCTGAGATTAGTCTCATGCTCTACCAGCTAAGCTATCCCAGATCATAGGCGCCATATCCTAGGGACTGAGCTCCCTTCAGCAGCACCCCCTCCCAAATATTTACTCACAGCTTCTCCTCTCCTGCCCCAGCGGTAGTTCCAGCTCATTGGCCAACCACACTAGCCCTGCCTTACTTGAGAGACTTGGTTGTTAATCCGAAAGAGAGGCATACGTTTCTGTGGGTCTATTGCAGCTCTGTGGGTACTGTGTCCTCGGGTTCACTTCTAATGCATGCAGGGGAGGCAAATGGAAGGTGTCCTTAGGGGGCAAAGGCAACTACAAAAGCTGGTGGCTTCAAAATGACACGGGAAGGTGAATGCTGAAATGTACTACCTGCAAATGTTTGGATGTGAATCCTTCTGCCCAGCCATGGATGCTGTAGTTGAGATTCCTGCATTGCAGAGAGTTGGACTAGATGTCTTTGAGGGTCCCTTCCAACTCTACAATTCTATGCTTCTGTGAGTCTGTGAAGCGTAGGTATCAACAGAGCCAGTATGAATGTTTGACATCTGCCCTGTTAAGTGCTTAGACTTGAGACAAAATGAATTTAAAAAAAATAAATCTCAACAACTTTAAAACTGCCACCAGCTGAAACACAATTGAAAGTCTACAGGTGGTAAGTCAATCATCTTCTTTTAATACTGCAGCAAGATCTTTTAGATATACATATATATACAAACACACACATCACATGATTCCAACAGCAAGAACAGGAAACAGCAGGCGACAACATTTCAGGATTGCACTATTTAATTTAGCTGTAACTGCTAAACTCAGTTCCCCCTGCCTGGATGTTTTCACCTGAGAATTTATACTACGGTCCTGTTATTATCTTGCCACCCACAGGTTTTCCTCACTGGAAATGTTGGCCACGGATTATCTTCACAGTGCATTTTAAAGGTTATCTGCAAATGTTTTCCCGTGTTTGAATTCCCTGCTAACCAGTTTCAGAACCCGATACCCAAGTGATGCAGACAGGCAATCGTCAAAGATTATTTCTTTATATAGCACCATCTTTGGTGCTGAGAGCCCACCTTCAAACAGAAGAGACACACACACATATTCTTTTTTGATTTGTATCTTGCTGCAAGCAAAATGGCTGTTTCGCCCCCACCCCCTTTGTGGTTGGTTTATCCCTTTTATAGCAGGCCCAAAGTTAAGTAATTCAGTCTGAGTGGTAACAAAAGCTAGGTGCAAAAGCACATCCGTAAGCACCATGCCCAATTAAATTTTCTACAGAATGGTTAAATGGAATGGTGCGTGAATGCCCAAATACTCTACTCCCAGAAAACCTGCACAGGAAATAGATTAAAACACCACTTCTTAAAAACGCATAAATAGTGGACCTCCCTTCTTTAGAGAGAAAAAGGAAGATTTGAGCCCGCAACACTAGGTAAGGCGGGTGGGGAGGAAGAAGAGTTCCTTTCTTTACAGCCTCCAAACTCTGGAAGGCAGGAGTCTGGCCAAGACTATGGCTTACTTGAGGGCACCTCCAGGCTGAGGGCAAGTTCTGCACTGGAGACTTCCCAATTTGCTGCTCATGCTGTTGGCCATGGTAACACCAGCTCCTGGGGAAATTTTGGAAGGTGCTAAAGCTGGACCTGCCATACTTCCCCCTTTAGATGACCTCTGAAAATACACAAAGCCTTTCCTCCATTGCAGCTCGTCATCATCCTAAATGGCACAAGCTCCTTTAGTCTGTGCTGCCTTGCCTTTCCAGTGCTATCCCCATGTAGGTGGAGCTGCACCCAGAGCCTGGCAGAGGGGCAGAATTCTATTCTCCTCTCCTCTTCTCCCTACACCCACCCCACCCTGAAGTGACTTCTGGTCTGTTTCCATTGACCAGTATAGGTTGAGCTCTGCTCTCCTCCCCCCTGCCCCATTTTTCAAGGCCTTGATGAAGTGGATTATTAACAAAAAAAAGCCGAAGGGAAAATAGCAATTTGACTTAAGCAGCATTCAACATGTTTCACCATGAAACACTGTGAGCTTTCTCCAGTATGGCTGTGAACATGTTTGCTCTGCAGCTATCAGGGAGGTGAGCCAAAGGAACCAACCACCCCCCCACACTCCAAAATAAGTAGCAGCTGCTGCCCACTTGTAGTTTGCATATAGGGCTATGGCTGCTGGAGTGCCTGGATACATCTAAAATAAGTGAACAATGGAGCAGTGTTTTGGATGAGTAAAGATGACAGCGTCAGAAAAAGGGGGGCGGGGAGGGACACCAAGGAGGCAGCTGTCTGTCCACGGCTGGCTTGTTGTCACACGCAGCCTGCTGGCTGTGCCCAAGCATGTCAGCAAAATCTGAGCGACTGAGTTGCTCGAACCACCTGGAATGTACCTGCTTGATAGGAACCAAGGCTTCAGGCGTTTCCAAACTGTGAAGAGCAGAGGAGTGCTTTTCCTGAACTAATCTTAAAACAATGAAAGCACATCTCTGCAGTGTCATAGTGAGCCAATCGCCCCCAGGGCAGACACAAAGGGGAGCCTGGTAGGCAGCAGGCAGGTCCAGAGGTTACAAGATCCTGACATTTTAAAATTCTCTCTCGGGGCCAAGTAACTCTTCTCCCCGGTCACATCTGGGTGGCTCAGTGCACAATTTGGACAATCAGTGTCTCCCTTCTAAAGCATCCTCAGTTCAGTTATCTTACAGGCTTCATCCCATTAGGAATATACTGTTATAAGTTCTCAATAAGGCACATACAAAACCGAGCAGAAAATTAAAAATAGCAGCTTCGTGTGGAAGGGTTGGGTGGGTCAGTACTCTCTTGTCATCTGGATGATCAACTTGTTGTATTCATGGTGCTGGAAACACCTGAAGCTTTTTCCTTCCTCGTGGTGGTGGCAAGAGGCACCGTTTGTTTCTGAAAGCAATTTTCAAAAGACTTCTAACCTCATGTCTAAAATTAGTTGTTTCATGGAATGTAGTCCAAAACAAAAGCTTCGCTTGTTCTGAAGGGGCAGCCATACCAGGGTTGTCCACTTATACAAAAGCCCCCTTTGTTGCCGCCGTGCTGAGGAGTCAGCCATTGAAAGGGGTGCATTCAGAGCTGCAGACTTTTGTTAGTTCAATACTTCGCCTCTTTGGCGAATATATATATATATAGCTCAGGGAGCATTGCAGTATTAACGCTCTTATAAAAAAGGTGGAGTATAGGCAGTCCATTCAAAAGTTAAGAGCTTAAACTTAAAAGCTGTTTGCCGTAGAGTGTGGAAATATGTGAACGAGGCACAACTCTCACTCCTGAACCAGCTTTTTATCTGAAGGCTTAATCTCCAGCTGTTAAGTAAATGGTAGCTTTGTGTTGTAGTGCCAAGAGAACTGTCAAGCTTTCAACCATTTCTGTTTATGGGTAAAATAAATAAAAGGAGGTTTTCTGCACCATGAGCACAATTGGGAGTAAGGTGCCTGGCCTCACCCTCATGGATGGAGAGGCTTGCTTATGAACTTTCTACCTTCAGGTAACCCCTCCGGGAGGGGCTGGAGCTCAACAGTAGAGCGGGTGCTTTGCATGCAGAAGGCCCCAGATTCAGTCTCTAAGAAGGGCAGCGAAAGGCCTTTCTCTGAAATACTGGGAAGCTGCTACCAGTGTGGTGTAGTGGTTAAGAGCGGTGGACTTGTAATCTGGTGAACTGGGTTTGATTCCCTGCTCCTCCACATGCAGCTGCTGGGTGACCTTGGGCCACTCACACTTCTCTGAAGTCTCTCAGCCCCACTCACCTCACAGAGTGTTTTTTGTGGGTGAGGAAGGGAAAAGGAGATTGTTAGCCGCTTTGAGACTCCTTCGGGTAGTGATAAAGCGGGATATCAAATCCAAACTCTTCTCTTCTTCTTCACTCAGTGTTTTTATTACTGAGCCAGGTAGCCCAATGATCTGACCAAGGCAGCTTGCTGTGTTCCTATAGACCTCTCCACATCTCCCAGGGAACCCCAGCACTTTGCAAAAGCTTCTAGGGCATGGGCTCAGGGCCTATGGGGCATCAGCTAGGCCTGCTCAACTTCCCTGCTGCTGGCATGAACTAGAAAAAGGCCCGAGCTCACTGCCGCTGCTCTGCTCTGGCTGTGCATTGCAGGGGATGGACGGACCTGGTAGTGCTTCTTTTAAGCTTGTCATCTGTTAATGATATTTTCCTGGAATAACACCCATAGGCTCTCAAGGAGCCTGCCTCTGCTTATCCATCCAGAGGAGGAAATGCTGGCTGTTTCAGCCACATACCCTCTTGGCGTATCTCATCATAGATCACAGTTTCTCTCCAGGGGAGTGTAAACTCCACTCACCAGAGGTTACTATTTCTGCTTCTCCTTTTATGCGATCGCTCTTCTGGTGGAAAGGCTGTGGAGGCAGCGCTGTTTGGCTTTGCTGAGGTTTGAGTCCTTCAACTTCCCTCCCTAAGTGTGTAAACAAGTCAGAATGGAAGGGAGTTCAGGGGTTCGGATTCCAGGGGGTAAGGCCCAGAGCAAGGATGTATTTGGGGGGGGGGGGAAGAGAGAGAGAGAGATGTGACTTGGGGCAGAAACTGCAGCTGCCTGGCTCCTTCACATGCCTGTCAACCAGCAGCTTCAGGAAGAGATGAAAAAGGGGGGGGGCTAAACTGATCCCAGCTGTGCAAGCAGACTACACCCAGCAGGACATTTGGGGGGGGGAATCGAGGTTTCCGTCTTGAGAGTGAACCATGAGGGGGATGGAAGCCACCCCCCCCCTTCAAAATCTGGTAGAATCATTGGGGAAACTATCGTCCAGTTTCCAGACATCCCCCATAAAAAGTCAGTTTAGCAAAGACATCATCATTGAAATTATTCACACATCAAAAGGTTTAAGAAAGAAAAAAGATGAAGAAGGAAAGAAATGCGTAACAGGACAGAATGAAGCCCTAACCGAGCAGAACCCATTTTTCTTCTCCTTTAACTGTTATTTAAATGTTAGATCTGCCAGTCAGTCATTAGAGGCAGCTGTTAATAAAAAGCAGCAGAAACAAAAAGGAGCAGAACCCCTCCTGATAAGTTGCTATTTTCAGAAGGCTTACTTTCAAAGCCAAAACTATTTCTCTCACGCAAAAAAAAGGCAAGATTTTAGCTACAGTACGCTTTAAAGCGTTTCCACTTTGCAGTGCACTAAAACTGAGTTTAAAGCTCTCAGAATTGGGAGTCGAGCTCTAGCTGCCTGGGGGTCAGACCCTGCAGTCTGGTTACAGTTCAAACTCCAACAGTAGGTTTGCTCAAGATTCATACTAACTTGCTAGAGCCAAGTCTGCCTCACTGAATGAAATGCAGAAATCAGCATCACCAACCCAGATTAGAGCAACAGGACTAGCAATGGCCCTGCTTTCAATATGTGACAAGATTAATCTTAGGTTTATTTTCAACATTCAGGGCCCACCGTTTTCGCACACGTGTATCTGCCTTGCATGATTTTTTTGTTTTAAAGGCTCAGGTGTGTACTTTTTTGTAATTCAGCATTTCAACAGTGTGGCACACAGCTCTTTGCACATGGCAGTTAACTGTGAACTCCTGTTCCAGGGGAGAAACGGAAAATGCCTGTAGTGTGAATTTAGTCCCTGCATTTACTGCCCCTTTTCTCCTACTGAGGACCCACACTTATTTCCAGGGCAGTGCTGTGTAGCTGGCCCATGAAGGAATGCCTTCCTGCAAGACATGTCTCTCTGTGAGTGCACATGCTGGTTTAACATTGCCAAGAATTCTGTTTTGACAAGCGGAAGAAAGGAGTCTGGAGTGCTTCCTGGAAAAGGTTCATACCTGCGGCAGGATGGAGATGGGGCCAGATATTGGTTTCTTCCATGCTGAACCACCTCTATTACAGAGGAGTACAGAAAAACAGCTTCTCTGTTTTTCTGTCCAAAACCCAAAACCTTCGCTTCCAGTGACAGCAGAGTTTGGGCATTTGTTAGTCTTCCATTTTTGCACCTCAAGAAAGTTGATGAGGATAGGCAGAAGAACCATGAGAGAGCGAGTGAGTCATGTCACCAGTGTTCCATTCACAGAAGAGCACCCTTTTTCTATTATGGGAATTCTCTCTGGGCAGAAAGAGTTATCTGATTATTTCATCAAGAAGGAAGCTAGGAAAAGTATCGACGTGCCAGTCCATCACAGCACAAAAAACAGAATAAGCACCACCAGCAGGATAGCGAAGAGAATGATAATTGCACACCACTGTCGCCGATCTGCAATAGAACACATACGGATTAGTTCTCTGCTGCCATGAGAGAAGCTTTCCATGTGCTACAGTGCTAGGAGCCTAACTGAGGCGAGAAAAGCCAGCAGCAAGAGAAGACATGGTGTTGTTATATGTCTTTTTAAAGAAACGGCTGTATTTGGAACAGTTCGATCAGATGTCAGGAGAATTCATGTAACAAACGATAGGGTCCTTGGTAGGCAAACTCCTTGATTCACAATGCATTCCCTCCTTCTCTCTGGTGCTGGTCCATAATCCCTTTCCAAGACTAAGATCCCAGAAGGGCCTGGCATATGGCAGCTGAGCTGCTGCTCTTAGTATCCCTCAACAAGAAGAACAAATAGAGAAGCTTGGAAATGTGTGCAGTAAGAATTTCAAGAAGCTGTGTTCATATTGTGCCTACAGGTGCAGCTGGAAAAGCAATTCCCCAAAGTAAATGCTTCCACATAAACAGAGCTGCATCTAGTTTCTAAAACTTGCAGCAGGAAAAGCAGGACACAATTTTACTCCACACTCTGGGAATCAGGTAGCAGCTGGAAACCTCAAACCATTCAAATATCTCTGAAGTTTAGTTATTGAATATGCAACCACTGTAAAACACACAAAATAGAAATGATATAAAGGATTGTGAAGCTCCTTAGCGGTAGACACACAAGTCAAACTACCTGAGCACAGGTTTCTTTTTTTCTGGGTTTTTTTTCAAGCACAGGTTTCTAAAGCCTTTTCTCTTCAGTCTCCAGCTAAAGACACTCAGGGATAGTGAACAGTTGGCATTTCACAAGATTGTGAATGAAGAGTATGTCTATCATGTTGCATGCGTCCCTGGAAACAAATAATTACTCTGCATCATATACACTAAAATGGATTTGATATAGCACCTGCTTTCTTCTAAATGCAGTGCTATGCTGCTGTTTTTAATGTATTTTTAATCTTTTGTTGGAAGCCGCCCAGAGTGGCTGGGGAAGAAAGAAAGAAAGAAAGAAAGAAAGAAAGAAAGTTTCCAGAGTATCTCAGGCCTATACCAGCTGCCTTAGAATTCCAACCATTACAGGTCTGGGACAAGTAGTCTGCTTGGATGGCACTAGCAGAAGAAACAAGGTCTGGCACCTACCTGTATCAGCTTAAAATGATTCTTGCTCATGAGTGGTGATGTCCTAGTTGAGCCCCCTGCAATAACAAATGACTTAACATTTTAACATCAGCCATTTCTACTTCAGGCTACTTACCACTGGTCATATGGGACACTTTTGCAAGTTTCTTCATAACGTTATCTAGTCGTGTCTGAGTGCTGTCCAGCTCATGAGAAAAGTCATCCAACATGCTAGAACCACAAGAAGAGAGCGGGGTACATCAGACTAGCATAGGAGAAGCGTGGGAGAAGAGTTTGTTACAAAAATCTGGCAACTACATGGGGGAATAGTTATGAGGTGGGAGCCACCAAGGTTTTGTTTTGTTTTGTCTTTAACTGAGTTGCAGAAGACCCAAACAACTTGGGACCCAAATAACTGGAGGAATGCCCATTCCCAACCTGCCCATGCTCCAGTATCTTCTGCTGAGGCTCATCTCCACATGCCTCCTCCCCAAACATAGTTGAGTCTCTCTCACTGTTCATTCTACACTTCACTATTATAATTAAAAGCTTGGGTTAAAGGTGAAACACAAGCCAAGGTGACATTGCCTTCAAAGATTTAGCATATAATACTGCAGGTCAAACAGAAGAAATATATCTTATGTCCTCCTACCTGCCAGATCACAGGAAAATAAACAGGACTAAAAAGTCAAAATTCTTGATAAATGCCAGACAATCTGGTGGATCTTGGCCTAGGCTATTTTGGGGGGCTGAATTCAACTAATTTGAGTCACTGCTAGCAGAAACCCACGCAAGGACTTCCACTTGACACAACGGGGATTCATAGAATCATAGAGTTGGAATCATAGAATCATAGATTCCTCCTCCCACCCCACTGCAGACACCCCAAACTTGTTTGGGGCTGGATGTCAGGAGAAACAACACCCCCTCTCACCGAACAGGAGAGGAGGGGAGGAGAGAAAAGATCGTTCTGTTTGGCAAGCTGAAATGCTTGGACTGACGGAAGAATTGCCATAGCACTACACTGAATTCGTCACATTGCTTTTGGTGCTGGCCGAGTACTGTACTTAAAAAAGCCCTGGTGGATGCGACCAAAAGCTCATCTCATCTAGTGCTTTGTTCTCCACAGTGGCTAGCAACATGTTATATTCAAATACTCACACTGCTTGTTCATCTAGCTCTCCTCCAATACGCTGGGACATATTCTTTAATACACCAATGCTGCCAGAGACCAGCTCCAACTGTTCATCCTGCTGTTCGATGATTAACTGGTACCCAGAAAAGAGGATGGGATTTATGTAGTTAAAACTCATGATATGCAACTGCAATTGGCAGCCAAAAGTACTGATAGCACCCCTCTACACATCCAATCTTAATTTCTTGAGCATCTAGAGAAGACTTCCAGGTGGAGTACAGCTTCCACCAGCCCCAGACAGCATAGAAAACAGTCAGGGATAATGAGAGATGTAGTCCTAAATTTCCGAAGGCTGGGAAAGGCTGCTCTAAGAGACCCCTCTTAAAGGGACCCCTGACCATTAGGTCCAGTCATGGCTAACTCTGGGGTTGCAGCGCTCATCTCGCTTTATTGGCCGAGGGAGCCAGCGTACAGCTTCCGGGTTATGTGGCCAGCATGGCTAAGCCGCTTCTGGCGAAACAGAGCAGCGCACGGAAACGCCATTTACCTTCCCACCGGAGCGGTACCTATTTATCTGCTTGCACTTTGACGCGCTTTCCAACTGCTAGGTGGGCAGGAGCAGGGACCGAGCAACGGGAGCTCACCCCGTCGCGGGGATTCGAACCGCCGACCTTCTGATCGGCAAGCCCTAGGCTCTGTGGTTTAACCCACAGCGCCACCCACGTCCCTTATTAAGGGCTCTAAGGACTACCTTTAAAGAAAAAGTACAGAACTTCCAGCCAGAAAGTCTGCTCCCAGTTTCATGTCCCAAACTCCCTTTCCAGAACGTCTCCCTTTCTGAAAGGTACTGATACCTCAATATTAAGCTATGCATGCTCAGAGGAAGACTGGATTCCTTTGTTTGCATTTGAGCATCGTCTGCTTTGACTCTCAGTAATATGTGGACACGGGTGGCGCTGTGAGCCTCTTGGGCTTGCTGATCAGAAGGTCGGCGGTTTGAATCCATGTGACGGGGTGAGCGCTCGTTGCTCGGTCCCTGCTCCTACCAACCTAGCAGTTCGAAAGCATGCCCCAAAGTGCAAGTAGATAAATAGGTACCGCTCCGGTGGGAAGGTAAACAGTGTTTCCGTGTGCTGCTCTGGTTTTGCCAGAAGCGGCTTAGTCATGCTGGCCACATGACCTGGAAGAACTGTCTGCGGACAAACGCCGGCTCCCTCGGCCTGTAAAGCGAGATGAGCGGCACCACCCCAGAGTCGTCGGTGACTGGACTTAATTGTCAGGGGTCCTTTACCTTTCAATATGTGTTTATTTGAACTGGGTGAAATTACCGGTGTTTTTCAGGAAGATGTATAACAACTCTGCTAGAAGCTTGGTCTTTAGCAATGTTATTTATTTTATTTTATTTGTTAAATTTGTGTACCATCCTTCTCCTGAAGATTGCAGGGCGATTCACAACATAAAAATACAAAATTTGAACACAAAACAACCCAATAACCCCACCCACCACAGTAATCTAACTTGCCAGAACATAAACAACAGAACAGATGGAAGAGGTTAGTGGTCACTTTTTAGTCACTTGCACCCCATGAATCCATCTCCTAGAGGACTGCAGGAGTTTCCCTGTCCCCTAATTTCCTCTACTCCTTCCCTCTTCATCCTGGTTCCTTAACTGAGCTAGGAAAAGTTGTGCCTGTGTGTCCTAGAGAACACATCAGTCCTGAGGCCAAAGCTTCTCTGGAAATCCTCCAACGTCAGTGGATGTCTGTCTCTGATTGCGCGTGCGCGCGCACACACAGATATATGAAAGACGAAGCTGTCCATAGGAAACATTCTACCTGTTGCTGTGCTTGCTGCTCCTCAATGAAGTGGGAATTTACCGACTGCATTTCGCGATCCAAGCGGCCGTACTTGTCAGCCCCAGAACTCCAGCCATGAGTTCCACTTTCTCCCAGAAGGACCTGCACATCATTGAACAAAGGGGGAACAAGTGAGCCGTTTCTGCGTATAAAAAAAAATCTCACAACTCAGTCAGATCACAACACATTCCCAGAACCAGACTTTTAAAAAAGGGTCAAGCAACGTGTCTGGGCATCTTTTGAATGCTGTGCACCTGACATGCCGTTCCTCTTTCACTGTCTTTTGATTTTCAAGCAGCTTGCTATGGAAGCTGACTTTTCCTATGTTAAGAAGAACAGCAGGTAAAGCCACAACTGCAAAGGAACAACCAGTAGCCTTAAAATGTGCTCCTAATTATTCAATGGCAAGTGTGGCCTTGTGGTCGGTGCCCTACTAGGACAAGCTCCACAGGGGAGCTCCCAACAGAAGATGTGGTTAAGATTTCCTGTTGCAGCAGAATTTCACATGACCCTTTGAAGTCTTCTGTTTGTTTGTTTTAAATTCTGAGGAGAGGAAGGGGGCTTCAATCCACCACCATCATGGTCAGCAAGTGCAAGAGAGACTCTGGGGACTGACTTACCATCACCTTGCCCCCGCTGTGGCAGAGGAGAAAGGAGAATAAGCTGTCCCAGACCCACTCCTATCTATCCTACAAAATACAAAACTATGGCCATTTCTGGGAAGGAAGAGTTACAATTATCTTTAGGCAACTGCTGCATTTGCTTCATTGGGGAAGATTGACATAAGGAAAACAAACTCCTCCTTCCCACACATGTGTGAACAGAGTTTGGTAATTCAAACAGGCAGGACAGAAGAAAATGTTCTCCTATTTTTTGCAGGCTCGTTGCACCTTCTGAGCAAGGATGTACAGTATTTTTCACCCTATAGGACGCACTTTTTCCCCTCCAAAAATGAAGGGGAAATCTGTGTGCGTCCTATGAGGCGAATACAGGCTTTCGCTGAAGCTTGGAGAGCGAGAGGGGTCGGTGCGCACCGACCCCTCTCGCTCTCCAGGCTTCAGGAAGCTATCAGCAAGCCTGGGAAGCCCACGGGAGTTCCCGCAGGGCTCCCTAGGCTGCGGATAGCAGCCTGCTGCCCGGCGCGCGGGGCACCCTGAAGCAGAGCGCCCCGCGTGCCGGGCAGATATCCGCAGCCCCACAAGCTCGGGGGACAGCGGGGAGGTGGAGCGCCGCCATACCGCTGTTCCCCGACCTGGTTTGGGGGGGGGGGGAATAAAGGAATTTTTTCCCCCTTTATTTCCCCCCCAAAAAACTAGGTGCATCCTATGAGCCGGTGTGTCCTATAGGACGAAAAATACGGTAAGTCATGCTCTGAAACATGGGGTTTCTTTATGAAGCATGATCAACACACAATCTTTAAATGCTCATACCTAATACAAATGGCCCAGCCATATCTCACAAATTCTGCAGTCAAGTCCGAAGGCAATCTAGCAGCAATACTGACCTGCCTGTTTTTCCTTTCAGCCAGTGCTTGAACAGAAGTGTTTGACATTTGATCCTTCATATCCTGTTTAGTAAAGAAATAAAGAATAAGAAGTTTATTCTGATGTTACCATAAGTTAGACATGCTAATTTTTAAAATAAAGATGCTCTATTGTATACTGGGCAGTGTTGTTTTTTTAACAAAACTAAAACAAACAAACAAACAAAAAGGCATCTATCCACAATAACAGCTGTTAAGAGCTTCTCAATGCCTGGATATTTATTTTAAAGTATAACATTTTATTAGTACAAGTATGTTTGTAATGCTGTCTAACATTAGAAGATGAAAGCTGCAATCCTAAATAAAATTGGACTGTCTTATGGGAAGGATTGCTCTGTGAGTGGCCCTTATGACCTGCCTTGCTCCAACCAAGCGTACTAAACACTTTAAGACACAAGAAGCTGTGATTTCTTTGTTCTGTATGCAGTCGCCTCCTCAGACTTAGGAAAGCCAAACACCTTACCCTGACCACCTGTCGTGTGCTTGTGATGAAGGCTTTTCTTACTCCTAGCTCTGTTGCATCAAGGTTGAATTTTCGAGGGTTTGCTTCAACAATGCGTTGGGAATAGTCAGTAAAGGAAACTATATTTGAGATACAGTTCCTACATAACATATAGCCATTCTTAATGCGGCCTTTGAAAATCAATTACTTTTTCTACACAAAGAGAAAAAAAGGAGGCATGCATTCTAGAAACATTTTTCAGGATATGTGCTGAGTGTATATGTCATCTTTTAACAACAGATTTGGTTTTTTGATAAAATAAAATTATATTCTTGTACACCCCTTGGAGGGCCTTTGGACTGAAAAACTTTTACTTAAAATACTCAGAATTAAAATTTGAACAATTTTGATGCCATTTGAGTGAGTAGATATTATAGCTAATAAAGAATTTTGCCTCTAATGCTTTCTTATCTTAAATGATAGCATATGGGAGAACAAACATGAACACACACTGTAAAGAATAATTTGTGGTGTGAGAAGAATTAAGTTTCTGGTTTCAACAACGCGCCCAAGATGACATGTTATACCAAAACTTGCTTATTTGTTGAACTGAGTAACTTTGTGCCAAAATCATCTGGGTAAGTACAATGTAGGTTTCTGTATTTATACATCTGAAAACCCAAAGGATATTAATAGTTTCATCTAAGTCTTCAAGATCCCACTCAATGCTCCTTAGGTTGTTCCTCAGTTCATTAGTGGTCCAGTCTATTTCTTCTCTTGTAGCGGTGGATGGATCTTGCAGGAGTTCTGTCCATCTCTGGAACAGCCCCTGTGCAGTGTTTACTGCCTTCTGAACTTCCCTGGAATTGAATGGAAAATGAACACAATAGAACATTAAAATTTGCTAGGTGGCCTCATAATTATTTATATACAGGTGTCAACTTACAACTGCTGAGCATCTGCGCTTATACAACAATGTTCTTAGTTGCCTATATTAAAATACAAATCATTTGATGCCTCGCCTTGAAAATACTGGTGTATGTATGCAACAAATATGAGCCAGTTCATATACTACCTCCTCAGCCTAATGTTTCTCACATGCAAGAGAAATCTGTGTGCATACACCATCTACAGAAGATAATTGTGGTTGCAGTTCCAATTTGTTAATTTTTTTTGCAACAGCTATGGGAAGACAGCAAGATAGGATAGTTGAACCTTTATGTCTATCAAAGGCTGCCTTTCTATGTGCAGTGGAGAAAGAGATACCTTCCCACCTCTATACTACGCAAAGCAATAGATGTGCAGAGTGTGCAAATCAGCCCTGTTAGCATTAGGAAAATAAATCACTGACCTGGATGACTTAACTAGTTTCTGGGTCTTTAGCATGCTTTTCACTAACATACTTTCTGAATACTTTTCTGGTCAGCTTACCATTATAGTCAACGTTTAGACTATTCAGTACAGCTCAGAGATATCTATGCTCTCTCCTCAGTTAGAAGAGAAACATTACAAACATCACTTTACAACGTCCTTTTTTGAATCCTTAATTTTCTGAAAATGGTAAAAGCCAAACATATTTCACCTCTAGTTAGCTATCAATTCTAGTCCCTGTTCTCTATATTTGGAAATGCTATTCCCACATGGCTCCCAGTATACAACTTGTGCACTGTTCTTGCCTCTTTGCTCATGCTAGACAAAGCTTTCAAAGTGGATTTAAGAGGTGTACTTGAAGAGAAATTCATTCTGACCTAAACTTCCAACCATCACCTACAGGAGTGAAATGCACCAATATCCAGCAAGTTGAAATTATTTATTTAAATCCTGCTCTTCCTCTCAAAGGATCCCAGGGTGACAAACAGATACACCAAAAAACAAAAAAAAACACTCTAAAGCAGTTAAAACATTCTAACAACAATTACAATTAAAAACATCTAAAAGCAATTAGTTGAAAGGCAGGTTGAGGTGAGTGAGGGGTTGAGGACTTTCATTTCAGGTAACATGTCAATGACGCCAGATCTAACTGTGGACAAACTATGTTGGAAAGATTCACAATTGCTAAACAATGCTAATTTCCATGTTTAACTTTTTAGAACAATATTTTCACTAGATAGGGAGTTTGCTATTCATGAACTTATCCTCATCCTTCTGTCACAAACAATTGTGTGTCCCTTCATTTTCCTACAAATTTAACAAACATCTCTAGGCAATCATTAGCATGTCAAGTTATGTTCAATTGAAACACTTTCGATTCTGTCCTTAAAACCCCTGAATGTCAAGCTTTCAAAGAATGCATAACTTTGTCCTTATAATTTGCTTTGTAGAATCATCTTTTCAATTTATATGCATCTTTCACACAGCTAGTTCTGAAGAAGGAAAAATATGCTTGCTGGAAACTCGGGGAACCCAGATGCTAATGTGTGAGACTCTTGTGACCATCAAATCCATATTCTAATGATAGGCTGAGAATTAAGATCATCATGAAAAACTTTAATCTCCTTCACTGAACATGATGATCTTTCAAAAAACGTGATGGACACGAAAAATGACAGAGTATCAGCAACCCTGTTTCAGTCTTTAGTCTCATAAATGCCCATGGGTCAGCAAAATGCTCATAAAATGATGGGTGCATTCCTGAGGGCTATAACCAAAAGGCTATGAATGAACGCACAATGGGAGGGGGAAAATGGGAGCAGATGCAGTACTAAAAAATGTGCCATTTCCACAGCGCTGTCCATGTCCCCCTCAGGACCCAGACCCGGGCAACCCTTCCTGAACCAAGGCAGGCAGCAAACCATCAGGAAGAGGGTCATTATTATTATTACTACTACTAGTATTACCATTATCATTATTACTACTGTCATTACTGCTATCATTATCTGTTAAATCTATCAGTCCCAAGGCAACATACATCCAAGCCCAGCACCCTGTCCTCACAGCACAGTTAAGAGCCCTGCTCGATCAGGCCACCAATTAGGGTTGCCATATGTCCTCTTTCTTTCCTGGGTATGTAAAATGTTGTCAAAGGGATCCATGGTTAAAGTAGAAGTCGGCAAATGCGTCCTCTTTTTTGCCCCTGGAAATATGGCAGCCCAGTCATTAGTAGCAGCGTGACTATTGTTGTTGTGAAATAATAACAGTAATAACTATTGTTGTTAATACAATGCTTTTTCTTATTACTGCTGTTGTCAAATAATATTTTTGTTTATATACTGATGCTTATTATTACTGTTGTTAAATAATAATTGTTTTGTTTATATAATGATGCAAATTATTAGTGCTGCAGTCAAATAATAGTTTTTGTTTATATACTGCTGCTTATTATTACTGCTGTTGTCAAATAATAGTTTTTGTTTATATACTGCTGCTCATTATTACTGCTGTTGTCAAATAATAGTTTTTGTTTATATACTGCTGCTTATTATTACTGCTGTTGTTAAATAATTGTTTTGTTTATATAATGATGCTTCTTATTACTGTTGTCAAATAATAATTATTTTGGTTATATAATGATGCTTCTTATTACTGCTGCTGTTGTCAAATAATAATTGTTTTTGTTTATATAATGATGCTTATTATTATTATTATTACTACTGCTGCTCTGTTAAATAATAATAATTGTAATAGTAGTAGCAGCAGCAGCTAATATAACGATGCTTATTGATGAATTATCATTTATCCGTTAAATCTGCCCGCCCCTCGCAGCTGCCCCGTCGCGGGGAGGAGAGCGGCGCTCTCCACGTCTCCTCCGGCCCTGGTTCCTCGTGTGGGCCGCGGAGTCCCCGGGAACCTCCCGGGCGCAGGCCGACCACCCCGGGGAGAGCGAGGCCTGGAGGAGCGAGAGAGAGGCCTGCCCTCCTCGGCGCCCACTCACCCTTTCACCACGAAGAAGGGGTCCTCCATGGACATGGCTCCGCTCGCAGCGGCCCGCGCCTCGGCCAGGCCAGCCCGCCGGGTCCCTCAGGCGGCGGCGGAGGCGGCTGCTGAGGGTCGGCGCTGCCGCGGCTTCTCCCCTCAGAGGCAGCCTCTGCCCCTCCCCCACCGCCTCCCTTCTTTCCCGCCCAACAGCCGCGAGCCCGCTCGGCTATAGGCTCCCTCTGCTCACGTGACTCCCCGCCCTCTCTTTCTCCAAGCACGGGGCCGCGGCCGGAGGGAAGGGAAGGTTCCCCATTGGAGGAGGGAAGGCGGAGGCCTCGAGTCACGTGAAGCGGGAGCCGAAGGAAGGCCCGCCCCTTTCTGAAACGGGCGGGGCGAAGGCGAGGGAGGGAGGGAGGAGGGAGGTGGGGGCGGGGCTTGTGGTCCTCGGTGCCTCGGCCAGAGCATCCTTTGCAAGGCAGCGGGTGTACGTGAACCTTCTTGTTGTTGTTGTTTAGTCATTTAGTCGTCTCCGACTCTTCGTGACCCCCTGGACCAGAGCACGCCAGGCACTCCTGTCTTCCACTGCCTCCCGCAGTTTGGTCAGACTCATCCTGGTAGCTTTGAGAACACTGTCCAACCATCTCATCCTCTGTCATCCCCTTCTCCTTGTGCCCTCCATCTTTCCCAACATCTACACCTCTTTTAATCTTGATGACATGGCTCTGCAAGGTAAAGTGTTGTTGTTGTTTAGTCATTTAGTCGTGTCTGACTCTTCGTGGCCCCCTGGACCAGAGCACACCAGGCACTTCTGTCTCCCACTGCCTCCTGCAGTTTGGTCAAACTCATGCTGGTAGCTTCGAGAACACTGTCCAACCATCTCATCCTCTGTCGTCCCCTTCTCCTTGTGCCCTCCATCTTCCCCAACATCAGGGTCTTTCCCAGGGAGTCTTCTCTTCTCATTAGGTAGCCAAAGTATTGGAGCCTCAGGATCTGTCCTTCCAGTGAGCACTCAGGTCTGATTTCCTTAAGAATGGAGAGGTTTGATCTTCTTGCAGTCCATGGGACTCTCAAGAGTCTCCTCCAGCACCAGAATTCAAAAGCATCAATTCTTTGGTGATCAGCCTTCTTTATGGTCCAGGTCTCACTTCCATACATCACTAATCCAGGCATACATACATTCTATACATCACTAATCTCCTTCATACCTAGTGCTAATTTAAATAGAATATGGAAACAGGTACAGAGAGTGGAAGGGATGGTTTATGTTAGCCCCTGAAAATGATCCATTAATTTGAATAGAGTACAGGCTAATTTGTTCACAGTTCTGCAGGCTTGACAAGCCTGCCCCAAAGTGACTGCAACATGATTTATTACTCTTCTTTGGAGTGGCAGTTGCATTTTCCGTGCAGGCTGCGCTTGTTGGACCGCCATAATGAGAGATAAAACTGGCTGAGTGATAGCTTGAGTTGGACCCATTGGTATGACGCAGTATCGGTTATCCGATCAGGATTGCTCCCTCTCCCCTTTTCCTGGCAGGACTCATCCTCCTTTCTAACCATTGTTTGTTAATTCATCACTATTTGAATTCACCACCTGAAAGTTCCCTTGTATCCCATACTGCAAATGCATGTGGAAGGGAATGCTTTGCCCCCTGAGTATTTCCTTGGCATGTAGCAGTTAAATGCACAGTTGGGGGGAGGGGGAAGTGGCCCCCGTACCTCAGCTAGTGTGGAAAGATAGCTACGGTAGTTTTTAGCCTTGTGGAGCAGAAGACTGGAGGCAGGGCTTACACAAATATTTCAGCTATTTAAGGTAAACATTACAAAACTCTCTGGACTACAAACACAAAATGATCCAATCCACTGGTGTGTTTGAGGGACCCCAACCATAGTTGTCAACTTACAGATTTGAAAATAAGGGACCAGCAGCCTCGAAAATAAGGGATCAGCAGCCAAAATAAGGGATTTTCAGAGCACAGGTATGTTCAACTTCTGAGCCCCTCCGAGCCAAAGGCAGAAAGCCCAGCCAGCAGCCAAACGAAGCCTCAAGCGGTGGTTCCCACAGCGCAGCAACCTGGCAAAGGGGATGCAGCAAGGAAAACCACCGTCACCTCTCCGCTGGGAAGCAAAGGCGAGTCCCCAGGCAATGAGGCCGATTTGATTGGCACAAGGCATGCAAACTCCACCCCCCAGTCATTCTTAGACTCCTTATTTGGTGAGCAACGCAGCCAAGCAACACAGTTGGAGCCTCCCTCCTCCCTGGCCAGCAGGGAGGGAGGGAGAGGAGCTGCTTCCTTTGAAACCCGGGAAATTTAAGTGACATCATCAACTATTTTAGTGTTGTTAGCCGCCCTGAGCCCGGCTTCGGCTGGGGAGGGCGGGATATAAATAAAATGTATTATTATTTATTATATTATTAATAAGGGACAGCAGCGGGACACAGCACTGGGATAAGAGACTTTCCCGCCAAATAAGGGATGGTTGACAGCTATGACCCCAATGTGAACTACAAGAGTGGCCCCACCATAGGCGCCATTTCTGGGAGGGCCTGGGTGCTGACGCACCAACAAAATTTTTACTGTGGGTGCCCAGCTGGGTGACCCCACGTGGCATGCGCATGACGTCATATAGTGTGCCGAGGCCCAAAAGGGCTCATCGCAACTGCGGGAGGGTCCGGCGGGGGTCACCGCGCTGTGTGATGTCATGCGCGCGACGCAACATGCCGTGTGACATCATACGTGCAATGTGTGTATCATCACATGGGCGCCAGGCACCCACAACGTGGAGCAGAACCCAACACACCTGGGCCCCACACCAGTCTTCACCAAGCTGCTGCCCAACCTGGTGCCCACTACAACTCACATTGGCTCCTGCCAGCACAGACATGGGAGTTGCAGCACTAAACTCCAGAAGGGAGTTGTGGTCAGACTGTCTTGCCCTGGTGGAGAACCCAGTCATTGAATTCTGCACCAGCTACAGTTTCCAAACCATCTTAAAGGCAGCCCCACATATAGTGCATTGCAGTAATCTAACCTAGAAGTTACCGGAGCATAGACAACAGAAGTCAGGCTATCCCTGTCCAGATAGGGGTGTAGCTGAGCCACCAGCCCAAGCTGACACCAGGCACTCGAGCCTCACGTGAACATTGGTTCCGGGAGTATACATAAGCTGTGTACCTGGAGTGTAGCCCCGTCAAGGGCACACAAACTTCCTATCCATCCGGTCTAGGGAATCTCCCACTAACAGTGCCTCCATCTTATCTGGATTGAGCTTTGGTTTGTTGGCTCTCATCCAGTCCATTACCAAAACAAGACATCGGTTCAGCACATCCACTGCCTCACCGGCACATGTAAAGAAGGAGAGCTGTGTGTCATCAGCATATTGCTGACCACATGCTCCAAAATTTCAGGTGACCCCACTCAGCAGTTTCATGTAGATGTTAAACAGCATGGGGGACAGAATTGAACCCTGCCAACCTCAGGTGCTGACCTTTAAAGCCTAAACGGCCTCATCCCAGTGTACCTGAAGGAGCGTCTCCATCCCCATCATTCAGACCGGACACTGAGGTCCAGCTCCAAGGGCTTTCTGGCGGTTCCCTCACTGCGAGAAGTGAGGTTACAGGGAACCAGGCAGAGGGCCTTCTCGGTAGTGGCACCCGCCCTGTGGAACACCCTCCCATCCGATGTCAAGAAAATAAATAACTATCTGACTTTTAGAAGGCAACTGAAGGCAACCCTTTATCAGGATTTTATTTATGTCAAATGTTTTACCATTTTTTATGTGCTGTAAGCCACCCAGAGTTGCTGGGGAAACCCAGCCGGACGGGCAGGGTATAAAACAACAACAACAACAACAGCAACATTGAGGGCCTCATTGGTTTCATTTCCTTTTTTGAGAGAGACTGATGCTTTGTTCCTTTGCAATGATATTTATAAATACAAGTGGTACCTCGGGTTACATAAGCTTCAGGTTACATATGCTTCAGGTTACAGACTCCACTAACCCAGAAATAGTACCTTGGGTTAAGAATTTTGCTTCAGGATGAGAACAGAAATTGTGCTCCAGCAGCAGCAGCAGCAGCAGCAGCAGGAGGAGGCCCCATTAGCTAAAGTGGTGCTTCAGGTTAAGAACAGTTTCAGATTAAGAACAGACCTCTGGAACGAATTACCGTAAGTACTTAACCCGAGGTACCACTGTATACAAGCAGACTGGAGGCAAATGTGCTCCTTTAGCTTCAGTTGTAACTCATCCTACCCCTGCATCCAGTTCCCCAGAGAGCAATTTGTGCAGTACCAAGGCTGCACAACGATTTCTAACTAACTCAGCGTAGTAGAAACTCCCAGGTACTCTCTCTCTCTCTCTCTCTCTCTCTCTCTCCAAATGCAAAGTAACCCCTGCCCCAAACACAGGACACATAGGTTGGTCTCACTTTGGAGAGTCAGCCACACTTCCACTACTTTTTGTGGAAGAAAAACAAAACCTGCCCCTTTGTGCTTCCCATTTTTTGTTCTGTTAAAGCAGCAAGACCGCCGGGGCCCTTGCACCATTTTGCATGGACCCTCCTGCAGCTCCGGCTGCCTTTGTTCAGGGTTTGCCTGACCTATTTGCTTTCATTGTGAACTGAAGTGGAACTCCCAAGGCTTGGTCGGCTGTCATCTCCCTCAGGTGTTCCATTGTCATCCAGCGCTGGATTATTAGAAGCTGAAAGCATCACCAAGGCCCGTCTTTGAAACAAGGCAGAGGGAAGTGGGGGCAGCGGTGGAGGAGGAGTGGGAACCGTCTGCCTCCTTCCCTCTCTGCACTTCAGAAACAAACATACATACGAATTGGAGCCGCACTGAATATTTCAAAGGCAGTCTCCTGCGCTTTAAGATTCTGCTCATTATTGTGACATGCTCTCGAGGGAGTTAGAGGGCCGTGAAGGCGCAGAGCTATAGCGCCAGGTATCCGATCACAGGGAAAGTAGACGCAGGCCCAGGTCCACGGCTGAGCCAGCCGCCAGAAGCAGTCCTTTCTGTCTCATCCCACCGGCACCTCTGATCTTATTCTGAAAAGCTGCTTCCCTTGCAGAGGGCTTGTTAGAGGAAGGACTTTGTTGTCAACCTTTTTTGCAGAGGGGATCCTTTAATCTGCACAGACACCTTGGGACCCCCAAACCCGTTTCCGCAATCAAATCTGAGCAGCTGAAGGTGCTTGTTAAAAGGTCTCGGTTCGGGTGCTTTCTGCAGAGCGGTGACTTCTATCAGCTTAACAAAGCTTCTTGGCTTTAGGTTTTTTGCACAGAGCCCCGGGGCTGTGCCTCCTTTCTGCAACCTTGCCTCAGGCAGCAAATATTTCCCTTGCCTTAGAAGGGGAAAGTGAAAAGTTCGAGCTTCACGGCAAATATTTCACCTTGCCTTGTTACTCTGTTGAATGGTACCTTCCATTTCCCGATTCTGCCCTACTTACGGTTAAAAAATCTATTTTTAAATGCTCCTCTGTATTTGACAAAATGTTTATTGCGGCCTCAGGGGTTCGGGGAGTTCCTTATCGGAGAACCTGCCTTATTTCCACCAGCATTTTAAAAGTGCTGCTGCTGATTTTTGCTGTTGCAGGGCAGAATGGCGCACTGGTGTACAGGGAAATGCAAGGAGGAAGCGATTGAATAAACCCCGATGCTAAGAGAGTTAGGGGAGACGCAGCTGGACTCCATCCCTTCCCTTCAAAAGGTTTCCCCATAAGGTACTCATTAAGTATACTTTCTATAGACGGGGTGCTGTGTGTGTGTTGTGGGGGTGGCAGGAGTGGCTATGCATTCACAACCACCCACAAAGGCAATTTAATCCGTTAAGGCAGCGCTGCTGTGTGCTCACAGTTTGTTTCCCAGTGGCAACACTTGACTATATTAATTCTTTTTTTCTTTTTCTTTTTTGGTATTACCTAGTGAGAGGGAGGGGTGTTGTGTTGTAGTTGTGTGCACGCACATCTTGATGTGTGCATTTTGCTTCCCTCCTGTAACTTATACGCAACAGCGGCTACAGAAAAAGAGAGAGGGGAGAGGACTCTTGCAAGCAATGCCTCCAAGAACAATAAAAAGATTACAGGAACGAAGACAACATATTTATTGGCCAAATACTAGTTGCTAAAATACTAAAATACTAGTTACTCTACATTTTGGGGAGAGTTATAGCTCAGTGGTAGCACATACAGTGAGGGACGCGGGTGGCGCTGTGGGTTAAACCACAGAGCCTAGGACTTGCCAACCAGAAGGTCAGTGGTTCGAATCCCCGCAACGGGGTGAGATCCCATTGCTCGGTTCCAGCTCCTGCCCACCTAGCAGTTCGAAAGCACGTCAAACTGCAAGTAGATAAATAGGTACCGCTCTGGCGGGAAGGTAAACAGCATTTCCATGCACTGCTCTGGTTCGCCAGAAGTGGTTTAGTCATGCTGGCCACATGACCCGGAAGCTGCACGCCGGCTCCCTTGGCCAATAAAGCGAGATGAGCGCCGTAACCCCAGAGTCGGTCACGACTGGACCTAATGGTCAGGGGTCCCTTTACCTTTACCTTACTAGTTGCTAAAAACCCAAAGTGGTGCAAGCGCTGGCAAAAGATGCATTATCCTTGCATTTCATAGAATCAAAGAATTGTAGACTTGGAAGGGACCCTGTGGGTCATCTAGTCCAACCCCTTGCAATGCAGGAAGATTTCGCCCAACTTGGGGCTCAAACCCACAACCTTGAGTTTAAGAGTCTCATGTCCTACAGACTGAGCTATCCTCAAGGCCTTCTTCGTTTTTGGTTACCAGCACAGCAGTGAGGCTTATGACAAAGAGGAGATTCCCAAGAGAGGCTTTTACACCTCCTTCATTGTCCCACAGCCTTGCAGGGCTGCCCAAGAGGGTCTTACTCTCCGATGGCTGCTGCCACCACCCTCCCAATTACTCCTGCAACCCAGGTGGGAGGGAACTTGCAATGCACTAAAACAATGACTTTTTCAAAAGGTTCTGAGCCAGTGTGCCAGAACTCTTCAGCTCAACCTATACCTTTGTGGTGTACTCAATGTAGCAACAGCAGCCCACACTGTCTCGGAGTCTCTCCTAGACCTCAGTTGGATCACATCAGTGAGGCCAAGAGGGGAGTCTTGTTGTCTGTGCAGCCCATGACCTCCATACACAATGCCCAGGCTTGTGCCTTGGGAAGTTCACCTTGGTGCTGCTAAATCAGCAGTTTGGCTTCACCCCCAGAGATGCACGACATTGTCTCTTGAGACAGACAGATGTCAACAATACATATTAGAGCTTTTACCCATTGCCAGGATTTAAAAAAACAAAATTGTACCATCCCAATTGAGCTTTTTTTGTTCACCTAAAGCAGGGCTATGTGGACATTGGTTCCTGTTTTAAAATTATTCATTTTTATGTTCACAGCAAACAGAGCTACAAGGCTAGGCAGGTTTTTTGCCCTGGGTTAAGTCTCCAGAGGGGCACCGTGGGTGAAATAAAGCCTACTTTCACCCCTGCAACACATTTGCAAGGTAGGCAAGGCAGAGAGAGAGAGAGAGAGAGAGAGAGAGAGAGGGAGAGAGAGAGAGAGAGAGAGAAAAGAAGAGAGAGGAGGGGGAGAGAGAGAAGTCTTCTGAGAGCTTCATGATGAAGTAGGAATCTGAACACAGGCTTCTAACAATCAAGCTTCTGTCTGACAGCGGCTTTGTTTCCCTGCCTCACTGCTCTGCAAATGCTGTCGGTGAGAATCGTTAATGCCGCTCTGTCATTCTGTTTCCACTGGTTCTAGACAAAGATTCTGCATGCTGTATGCGAGAATAAGTCTCACGGCGGCTTTTGACCAGACTGGATGTGGATGCCACACGTTCCTAGTCAACAATATTTTACTGCCTGAAGGCTACACTACGCACTTCTTCAATGGATGACAAATGCAAATTTAGGACAACAAGCAATCTGTCATGAGCACACTTTTCTGCAATTATGAATGCACACCGCAAGCTGTTTCCTGTTTGGCGCTCGGTTATAGTGTGGTCCGATTTCCCTTCTAGGTGGGGTTACAATTTTATTTATTCCTTCCATGTCTCTGTCATCACCTGCTCTGCAGTCACTAAGAAATCAAATCCCCCCTTCTTAAAAAAAAGGGGGGGAGAGAGGAACACCTTTGTCGCAGCTGAGCACTGGAGGGAGGATTGTTAATTGTTTGTCAAACCCTTCCAGAACAGCTAGATCACAAGGGAGAGATTAGCACATAAAGTTACACTCCTCCCTCCCTCCCACCTCCATGCGAGAGTGGGGTGGGGGAAAAGCCATTTCTCCAGGACAGAGGCATAGAAAGTGTGAGAAAAGCAGCGCAGAGCAGCTTAGACCACAACCATGTAGTGCATCAGTACCCAAGATTATAATATAATCTAACCAATCAAAGCCTAGAGGCAGGGAACCCCAGCACCAGTTCTGAACCAATCACAGGCTCTGCGGAAGAGAAACACAGCTCTCGTGTGGCGTCCACAACACACACACACACACACACACACACACACAGCCTCTGCCTCTCCCTGAGACAGACAACAAAGCCACCCAAGAGGATCTGAACTCCCAAGCAGCCATGGGACTGACTCCAACTGAAATTTAATCATGACATCAATCTGGGTCTGGAGGAGGGAAAGGAAAGAAGAAAGCCACAGGGGGAACCAGGACCAAAACACCTGCCTTCTTAAAAGGGCAGTGCGTTCTGCTCCTCTTTCGACAATCTGAGAGCAGCCATTCGGAGAAGTTCAGTGCATCTCAGTGATCCTGAGAAGAAGCAAAGCGTCGTTGCTGTTGCTGTGATATTTAAAATGGAAGGCCAAGAGTTAGGGTTAGAAATGTAAAGAGAAAGAAGACTCTTTTTATCATATGTGGTGGTCTTGTAGTAAGGTTAAAGCTTACTGGGAAATGATATATAATGAATTGAAATAGATGTTTAAAATAACGTTTGTAAAAAAAACAAAACCAGAAGCTTTCCTTTTGGGAATTATAGGGACAGAACGACCCAAAGGGTATAGAAATTTATTCATGTATAGTCAAACCTCGGTTGTTGAACATAATCTGTTCCAGAAGCCCATTTGGCTTCTGAAATGTTTAACCGAGGAGCAGCTTCCGATTGGTTGCAGGAGCTTCCTGCACTCAAGCAGAAGCCGTGCCAGATATTCAGCTTCCGAAAAACGTTTGAAAACTGGAACTTTTACTTCCGGGTTTGTGGCGTTCAGGAGCCAAAACATTCCAGTGTGGTGTAGTGGTTAAGAGCAGTAGTCTCATAATCTGGTGAACCGGGTTTGCTTCCCCACTCCTCCACCTTCAGCTCCTGGGTGACCTTGGGCTATTCACACTACTCTGAAGTCTCTCAGCCTCACTCACCTCACAGAGTGTTTGTTGTGGGGGAGGAAGGGAAAGGAGAATGTTAGCCGCTTTGAGACTCAGGGTAGTGATAAAACGGGATATCAAATCCAAACTCTTCTTATTCTTCTTCTTCCAAAACGGAGGTATTCAGGAGCTGGGGTCTGACAGTATGCGACTACAGTGGCAACAATTTTACTTGCACAAAAAGGGAAAGAAGTCCCAGTAAAAGAAGAATTTTTTACTTTAAGAAAGAGGTGTGACTGGTATTCTAAAGAATGTGTGCTCTTCAAAGGGTCTAAAGGGCTTTATAAAGAACCTGTCTCTTACAACCTGTTGCACTCTGTTGTGTGTATGGACCTCTTGTGTTTGTGGAACACACAAGCACACACACATGTACATAAAGACAATTAGGATTCTTAAAAGTGACCACTGTTTTGCCCTCCTGTGTCCAGCCAAGGAGACCCAAATTAAGGGTGCAATCACCTCTTCCTCACATCCTTCTGAAACAATAGTTTTTCATCTCTCTCTATAGTACCGGTGGCTTTCATCAGGAAGGGCAGATTACCCAAGCGTCCTTCACCTTTCCTGCTGTTCAGAGTATTGCATAAGCAGTAGTTTGCTTCTGTTCCATCCTTTCCCTTTCCGTTTTCTCCTCCTATCTCATTTCCAGTGAGGAAGCCGCTAAGGCTGCAACCATCTTTGCAGGTAGTTTTCTTTGGCGATCCCTCGTAGCCGGGTAAGATTGTCTTCCATGAACACGGTCTTAACAGTGAATCCATAAGTGACTGTGGAGGCCAACTGTGGATCCACACGTCCTTCCACAGTGGGGACATGGGTTATGGGCAGGGCCGTCTTAAGCATATCTGGCGGAGGCTTGGGAGGCAAGCTGCATGCCCGCCAGCCATATGGTTGATGGGGCGCAGCTGGCGGGTGTGCAGGAGGGAAAGGGGAGGCCGCCGGCAAAGCCGCACAGCTCCCCCACTCGCTGGGGCGCCCCTGAGAGGCCGACGCCCTGGCGCAACGCACCAGTAAACCCAATGGGAAAGACGGCTCTGTTTCTCGGCTGGAGTTGATCACGGTGAGGGTTTGCCAAACATGCCTTCCTCTTAGCACATTTCATCCTGAGTTCGAGCGTCTTCAAAGTCCACGACACCTTTGGTAAAGGCTGTTCTCCAATTGGAGCCCTCGCAGGCCAGTGTTTCCCAGTTGTCGGTGTTTATACTACATTTTTAAAGATTTGCCTTGAGAGAGTCTTTAAACCTCTTTTGTTGACCACCAGCATTACACTTTCCATTTTTAAGTTCGGAATAGAGTAGTTTCTTTGGAAGACAATAATCAGGCATCTGCACAACATGACCAGTCCAACGAAGTTGATGTTCAAGAATCATTGCTTCGACACTGGTGATCTTTGCTTCTTCCAGTAGTAAGTCCTATTCAGTCCAGTGGGACTGATATATAGAACTGCACTGTTAGTTCTTTAGTTTTTCTGTCCTTGTCCAGATGGCATTAAAAGGCCAAATCTACCCCTCAAAGTAACCACAGCCCAGGGTGCCTGTTAGGGGGTAGCTGGGGGCAGGGGGGAGGGCTTGAGACCCTTGTCTTTTGTGCCAGGCCCAAGATCACCTACCCCTTTCCCCCTTAAAAAACCAACTGTATAATTTTTATGTTTTAATTTGCAGGGGGTCCAACCATCATATAAGCAAAGTGTGGGGATGGTGAGATCACCAGGCACTATCCATCTTAATTTGCCCTCATGCACCTGTAGATATAAATTTAGGGCTGCCATACGTCCAGGTTTTCCCGGACACATCCGGGAATCGCTAAGAAAAATGCATAGCTGTCAATCGTCCCTTATTTGGCGGGAAAGTCCCTTATCCCAGCACCATGTCCTGCTGCTGTCCCTTATTGATGTCCCTTAAATTTCCCGGGTTTCAAAGGAAGCAGCTCCTCTCCCTCCCTCCCTGCCGGCCAGGGAGGAGGCTCCAACTGTGTTGCCTGGCTGCGTTGCTCACCCAATAAGGAGTCTAAGAACGACTGGGGGGGTGGAGCTTGCATGCTTTGTGCCGATCAAATCGGCCACGTTGCCTGGGGACTCGCCTTTGCTCAGCGCTTCCCAGCGGAGAGGTGACGGTGGTTTTCCTTGCTGCATCCTCTTTGCCGGGTTGCTGCGCTGTGGGAACTACCGCTTGAGGTTTCGTTTGGCTGCTGGCTGGGCTTTCTGCCTTTGGCTCGGAGGGAAGAAGAAGAGTTTGGATTTGATATCCCGCCTTTCACTCCCTTTAAGGAGTCTCAAAGCGGCTAACATTCTCCTTTCCCTTCCTCCCCCACCACAAACACTCTGTGAGGTAAGTGGGGCTGAGAGACTTCAAAGAAGTGTGACTGGCCCAAGGTCACCCAGCAGCTGCATGTGGAGGAGCGGAGACACGAACCCGGTTCCCCAGATTACAAGTCCACCGCTCTAACCACTACACCACACCACTCTAACCACTACACCACAGTGGCTCTTCTGAGGGGCTCAGAAGCTGAACATACCTGTGTGGAAAATCCCTTATTTTGGCTGCTGATCCCTTATTTTTGAGGCTGCTGGTCCCTTATTTTCAAATCTGTAAGTTGACAGCTATGGAAAAATGGCATCCAGACAGATTTTTGCTGAATTGGCAAAATGTCCAGGAAAACCCGGATATATGGCAAGTTGGACTATTTTATTTTTTTAAAATCAAAGAAAAGCCTCAAAACGATTTTTTTTGGGGCGCGATGTTAGGGGTGGCGGTGGAGCTCAACACCACTTTTGGGAATATGGCAACCCTCATAGATTAGCATATGCAAATTTGCATCATGGGCTTGTGCCCCAAGCCTTTTATGCACCTTGCAACCCCCCCTAACAAAAATACCCCTCCAAACTCACCAGTTATTCCTGTGCTTATATTAGCTAGCTAAAGGTTGCAAGTAAACTGCAGGTGCTAAAGTGGCAAATCCAGCAACGTTTCTAGGGATATTTTCAAAAGAGATTTTTTTTATAAAATGACATCTTTTTGTATAAAGCAAAGAGAATCGTGACTTTTTCATGCCTGCGTTCTAATAATCAGATTCAGAATAGGACCAGAACCTGTTGCAGGACTTTGCCACTTTAGACTGGCTCATATGTCTCATGTTCCCCCATAGAAAGCTCTAGATATCAGGGATAAAACTAACTTAGTACCTTGCTCCTTGTTACCTAGTCTTCTAGATTTTCTTTTTAACAGGAAGGAATATTAAACCTTTGTGTGTGAGCCCTCATCTGCAGTCGAAGTCATGCAGCCGAAATATAGAGTTGCCTCTTATCTGAGAATTAGCTCTGAGGGACTCACAAGGAATAAACGCAAGGCCAGCCACCACCTCATGTTCTCCATGTTCTCATCCTGGGTAGGCCTGCTACAGCTCATAAATAAATCTACTAAAATGTACAAATTGTACACCTCCGATTATTTAGCTGCATAGTCCAATTGCAGGTTTACTCAGAAATGTCACACTGTGTTCTGAGTGTGCAAGGAAACCTAGTACTACCCCCCTCCAAAGAGAGAGAGAGTGCAAAAAATCAATATAAAACTCTGGAATTGCAGCCTGGGGTAAGTGATTACTGATCGTTACCGATTGCAGCCTGTCTCTCTTTGGCTGTAGTGAGATTTTGTAATAATGATTTTGGCTCTCTGTGTTTGCACTTAATCCTGATTCATCCTAAATAGTTTTTGAGGAGCATCATGAATTAAGACTATAATTATGGGGGGTGGAATCAGTATACCTGAAGAATCATACATGCAAACATTTTGACAGTTATGAGCCTGCAGGGGTACAACTGTCAGGTGTTGTCAGAAGTGCTTACATGACCAAGCGCTACAGCAATTATGACTAGTTACGGCAATAATTGCTGCTGTGGCACATAGCAATGCATTTCTATGGACCAAGGTACTCAAAATATCAGAAGAGTTCATTGAGCGCTGATTCATTGAGTATGCATGAGCATTGGTAAAATTGGCATGTTATTTACTTCCTCTGTAATGGGGAAACAGGCTACTTGTGTGAGCTTTGCTTTACATCATTTAAGTATTAAGGAGCTTTCTGCTAGGAAGTCGCTGAGAATTTGACCTGTGTTTTACCTGATACTTTAGGATTCAGCACTGTAAAATTCAAAACACATTGAAAGCTCTGCAATAACAACATTGTGTTCAAGGCAATTTGCTTGCGTTATGTCAGCATTCCTTAAGATAAAGTCAGCATCGTTCTCCATGTAAACAGCAAATGGCTAAACTGCAGTTAATGCCACGTGGGTTATAACAGCTTTAACTTCAGTCCAACCATTTGCTGTTCATATGGGGAATGATGTTTTCATCTTGTGTGAATGCCCACTTTTGCTCTGTAAAAATTGACACGAGGGGAGATTAGGGTGATGATCCACCGTCCGAGTTTCCCCATTTTCCAAGGGGCAGTCCCGGATTTACAGGTGTTGTCCTAGTTTCTGATTTGATCCCAGAATGCCTTCTTTTCAATAGGATGTCCCTATTTTCCTTGGAGAAATGTTGGAGGGTATGGAATAGGATGTCCCTATTTTCATCGGAGAAATGTTGGAGGGAATAAAACAGGGAGTGAGCAATATCAAAAGAATAAAAAAAGCTTGCATCATCTGGAAGCGCCAAGAGGGTGCAGAAAGGCTGCGATCCTGCACATGCACGCTTCCCGGGGGAACAAGCGCTGCTGCTTAATTGGGAGAGGTTCGCTTATCTGCACAAAAAAACCTTTCTTGCAACCCCTTCTTCGCAGCCCCCAGCGCGCAAGGAACGCTTCGCCTCTTGGAAGCGCGGGCTCAGCAGGCGGGAGGGGCGGGGCCAAGGACCCATTCGAATCTCGCTTCCCACGCTCCCCATTGGCCGAGCGCGCGGGGCGGGCGCGCGCATGAGGGTGGAAGCCGGGCGCGCGCCGGAGGCTAGACAGGGGTGGGCGGAGCCGGGCAACCGCCCGCTGCTCTGATTGGCTCCGGCGCAATGCGCTGCGTTCTCAAAACCGCGCGCTCCGGGCTGGGCTGCCTTCAATCGGCGGCGGGATGGAGCGCGGCGGATGTTGAGGTTCTGCCGGCTGCTCCTTCGACGGAGACGCGCAGCGTGTTTTGCTCCCGCTTGCGTTCGCTTTGGGCAGCGAGCGGCTCGCCGCGCCGCCCCTCCTGGCCCTGCGCGCCGGGCCGAGAGCATCCCGTCGGGCATGGATTGCAAGCTGGAGGCGCAGCGCATCGTCAGCATCTCGCTGGGCAAGATGTACGGCGCGCGGGGCCAGCGCGGCGGCGTCAAGCTGCACCGGAACCTCCTGGTCTCGCTCGTCTTGCGCAGCGCCCGGCAGGTCTACCTGAGCGAGTTGGATGGCGCGCAGGCGGCGCCTTTCCCGGCTGCTGCTCCGGGGCCGATGGCGCCTGGTGCGGATCCGCTCCGAGGAGGAGGACCACCTTCGAGGCTGCCCGTCTTTCCTCCCTCGCCTCCGTTTTTCCTGCAGCCGGCGGCGCTGCCTTCGGAGCGCAGGGCTCCCCCGTCGCCGCGGAACCTCGCGCCGGATTGGGATGCTAATCGGCTGGCGCGGCGCTGCTGCGGCGGCTGCGGCTGCTCTTCTCCGACGGCGGATGCCGGCAAGCAGCCGGCCGAGGCTCCCTCTCCGCCCTGCTGCCCCAGGAAGCGGGGCGCCGCTGCGCAACGAGGCGAGGGCGCGCCGTCTGGGAGCTCCCCGCTGAAGAAGCCGCGCAGGGAGCGGGAGCCGCAGAACCCCAGGCACCACGACGGCGGCGACCTGGAGACGGGCAACGTGGCCAGCCTCATCAGTATCTTCGGCTCCAGCTTCTCGGGACTGCTCGGCAAAAAGCCCTCGGGCGCCGGGCGGCGCCGGCGGAGGGAAGCCGAGGAAGACGACGACGACAAGGACGAGGCGTCGGCCGGAGCAGCAGCGGACGCCGAACCGGGGCCGATCTGCTGCGACGAGTCCGTGCTGCGCAACCTCAACCCTTGGAGCACGGCCATCGTGGCTTTCTGAACTTGCCTATTTTCCCCGGTTGCATATTGGGACCGCGGGGGTGGGGGTGGGGTGGCTGCACGTTGATCCGGGTTTGCTTCGGATTTCAAGCGGCCCAGCTGCTCTCGAGGAGCTCCTTCCATGCGCCACCCGTACTTTTCCCAAGGAGGGATGCGGGCGCGACTGGACCAGGGCAATTTGCGGCGTTTAAAACTTTGGACGGGGTGGGCTGGAGGGATGGTTTCTCCTCCATCCCCCCGGCTGTGATTTTGCAGTCTGCGTGGAAGCAGCTCAGCGTTTTCCTGCCCTCCCTTCCTTTTCTCTATCCATCCATCCTCCGGCCGAAGCGGTTCTGAAGGTCATACCCTTGCCTTGTTCTCGTGCCGCGCAGAGCATGTTCTTCCGAGCAACCCTTGGAAAGTTTGCTGTAAGATTAGGGGGTTTTTTGGGGGGGCGAGGATAAGCCCCTAAAGCACTAGGCTTGAAGGGCTGAGAAGGTGTGTTGGAACTGTGTTTGCAGATCTCTTGAGGGACACTTCCCTGGGGTGATTACTCCTAGCCTTTGTTTTATAAAGGTTATGGGAGAGAGGACACTTTGTACAATATTCTTCCTCCGGTTGATGTGATTTTGTATGGCAATTGTAAACTTCTGGCGTGTGCAACACGTATTAAATATTTTGACATTGTTTAAGCTGCACTTGTGTTTCTGCCGAGTCTGGGCTGGGGAGGGCGTGGGTGCTAATTTCTCTTCCCCCTTCAAATGGTGGGGCAGCAGTTGGTCCCTTCTTCAACTGCCCTGAGGCCTCCGGGTATAGGGCGGTATATAAATTCAATAAAGAATAATGATAATAAAATAATTTAGCAGCAAAGGCACCGGAAAGGTGTGGATAAGCAGCAGGCATAGCACTGAACTGGGTTATAGCAACTAGGGATATAGAGGAAAAAACAGGTTGGAGGCAAAGGCAGCAAATGTCCTTCCTTTGGCTGAGTTATGTGGGGTTTGTCTCAAAACATCCTCTTGATGCCATTAGACTGTCTGCACAAACCACGTAGGCTACAAGCATAAGAGGTGAAAATAACAAACATGGGCATTTCTGCTGGGAAAGAGTCGTTCAAAGCTGAGACACGCATTCACAATGCTTGAAAAAGAGTGGTGCTATCCTGTGATGAGTGGTGCTATCCTGTGATGACAGAGCTTTAATGTTTTAAAGGGCTCAGCTGATCTTAGATGTGGATGTCTGCTGAGAGCACAGCAAAGTGGTTCAAAACACTGGGCAGTTGGTGGTGTTGCCCTTTGTTCGTGACGCGGGCAGATTTCATCCAAAAAGCTTGTAACATTATCCCAGAAGAACAAATGGCCACATGGGAGTTGTACTCCAGTTACTGAGGGCTTTCTTTGGATATTCCCATTGAATGAGGAACAATGGGTGGTCCTTAGGAAGATGGCCGTGGAATACTGTCCCTAAAGAGGATCAGCTGGTACCCACTTTAGTCTTGCATTGTCACCATACATTGCTAGGATTAGCCTAGTTTTACCCTGATTTTATTCTATTTTATGGTTTATGTTAGTCTTTCTCTCTCTGTCCCCCGCCCCCAGTAAACTGTCTTGAAAACCATTGGTGGGGTAGTACATACATATGTTTTGGAGCAGTGATATTTACATATTTTAAATAGAGTATGTTGCTAGATCCTGTCTTGAGTAAAGGGTAAAGGGACCCCTGACCATTAGGTCCAGTCGCGGACGACTCGGGTTGCGGCTCTCATCTCGCTTTACTGGCTGAGGGAGCCGGTGTACAGCTTCCGGGTCATGTGGCCAGCATGACTAAGCTGCTTCTGGTGAACCAGAGCAGTGCATGGAAACTCTGTTTACCTTCCTGCTGGAGTGGTACCTATTTATCTACTTGCACTTTGATGTACTTTTGAACTGCTAGGTTGCCTTGAGTATACCAGGCCAAAAAAGCCTGCTGTATATATAGCTCAGTTGGTATAGCTAGAGACTGTTAATCCACATTGGGTGAAAGATTCCTGCATTGCAGGGGGTTGGATTGGATGACCCTTGTGCTCCCTTCCAACTCTGCAATTCTATATCTGTATGATAAATCAAGGTATTTATAAACAATACCCTCCTTTTCCCTGCCTTATCAGGCTTTGCTCCACTTTAATCAACACCAGTTCTCCATATCCTAAGTTGGCCAACTCCTCACCCTCTTGAGGATTGACATTCTTTATAGCCGATCCCTGACCAGCCATATCTGGAGGGAGCATTTTCCAACTTAAGGTCTCCGAGGCAGTTATCCAGGGGCTGGAACTTCCAAGTGGAGCAGACAGAAGGCACTATTCAGTGGTAGAGCATCTGCGTTGCATGTCAAAGGTCCCAGGTCAGATCCCTGGCATCTCCAGGTAGAGACTTCTTGTCCAAAAAGCTGGAGAGCCGCTGCTAGGGAGTGTAGCAATACTGATCTAGGTGGATCCTTGGTTGGACTTGGTGCAAGGGAACTTCCTACATTCTGAATGTACCCTTCATAAGGCACAGACAGAAGTTTAGGAGGCATCTAATACTTAACACCAGGCTTGGCCAACGCAAAACCTTCCTAGAGTGTGCAAATAGCAAGAGGGGTGTTGTTGTGTGGGGGAGTGCGTGCCCATACGTGTACGCACATGCTATTTCCGGCGCACTTCCAGGTCAGAGGAGCACCAGAAATAGCTTGTGTGCATGGGCCTCCTCCGACCCGGATGTGCACTGGAAATAGCGCTTGTGCATGCGCAAATAATGCGCATGCGCACAAGCTATTTCCGGTGCTCCTCCAACCCAGTAGTGGGCAACAGTGCAGCGCTGGTAAGAGCAGGCAGGTGGTGGGGGTTGCTGCAGGCCAGATAAATGAGTCCCTCGGGCCTGATCTGGCCCACGGACCTTAGATTGGGGACCCCTGTTCTAGCTCCTCTGAGCCAGAGCGGAGAGGGGTGGTTTTTTGCACCCTTCCAACTTCTAGGTACACCCCTGCTCTCTACCACCTGCAGATCACAAAAGTTTGGTATTATTGTAAGCCTCAAAATAAGGTACCTTCTGGGATTCGGTTGGCTAGTTTTTCCGAAAAGGGGATGAGCTTGTAAACCTGGATTGGGAACCACTGCAGATGCAGCCTCTGTTTGCTGAATGTTCTCACGTGCAGGATACCAAGTCCTTGAGCATGTAAGACTAGAAGTCTAGCCTAGTTTTCAATGTCTAGGATCTGCTTGGGTGGAGAGCAATCCATCATGTGAAGCACCCTCACACACATGTACTGTCTGAAGTGGTAAGAGGCCAGACATGAGTACATCTGCTGTTTGTGAGATTTAGGCCTAGACTAGCAGCAAGTCTCCTAGCGACTGAGTTGGAACCAGTGCTGTTTGTGTGGAGCTCAGCTGATGCGATGGAACTTCTCCTTTCACTCTTCCCTCTGCCCGTGTTCCCTCAAAATATGCAATCCGATTTTCTGGAAAATATTTTGATGGTGCATGGCTGGCACGTGGTCATTGGAAGTGACCACGACGGTCATTTGGTTCAGCCCTCTGCAATGAAGGAATCTGGGCAAGTTCTACTTAGAATATCCTAGACAATTTTGTCTCCCTTCCCCCTAAGATTCCAAAGATACAATGCATGGTTCCATGGTGAGTTGTCCTTAAAGGTTTAGGGTTGTTTTTTTTATCATGCTGTTTCTCCCTCTTCTTCAATACTTCTTAAATACTTGAAAAATGGTCCATGTGTGGATGAGGGCAAATGTTTGAGGGCAGCTAACACAATTGCTTACTATTTTGAGAACTGAATGTGTTGGTTTTTATGCCCTCCCTTTGGCAGTGGAGGTTATGGGGAGGAGATATGAGCTCAGGTTCATTTCCGTTGGGGCTGAAGATCAAGTCAAGGCTCTACAGAAAAAGAAGGTGGTAGGTTGAAGGAAGAATTGGGAACTGGTGGCCGCTCTCGATCAATACTAAAATGGGGGGGAGGCTTGCTTTTTGGAAAAAGCTTCCTAGCAGAATCTTTTCCCCTTAATTTTTGTGGTTCTCTTCGTAGTTTGTGCCCTCAGGGAGCTTGTCTAATGAGAAACTGGGAGGCTGGAGAGGCAAAGTAATGTCTCAGCCTTTGTGGATGGCAACGTTCAAAGGCTGTTCTGAAAAAGAATTTAGTTCTGAGCCTGCAATTGGCCTCATGTAACTTAAAGAGCTCCCTGGAAGAGTTTTCTTCTTCGGCTGCAGCTGTGGCAATCACTTTGTGGCTTGATTAAAGTTTGATGAAACATTTTTTTTGCTAATGTCACAAGACAAACCTACCCGTGCCCTCCATGGAGATGTCTGCCTGCCTGCCGAACTCACAGCAGTGCCTTTCAGGCCCCGATGACAAGTCATTTAGCTATCAAGGGCAGCTTGCAAGACCCATACCTTTTGATGTGATGCAATATTCCATGTAGGGTTAAGGCTTCCTCAGCTGCCCGCTCTCTGAAAATTGCTCCCTGCACGGCAGACGGGCTTAGGAGGGGGGACGGACCCTTTTCCATTTATGCATGGCTGAGATAGGGAGATTGCGGCTTGGATCAAAAGGTGAAAACATGAATTTGAGAAGGAAGATGCTCTTATCTGCTTCTCAGCAACACTAGTACTTTTGTTATTGTTTGTTTAGTTGTTTAGTCGTCTCCGACTCTTCGTGACCCCCTGGACCAGAGCACGCCAGGCACTTCTGTCTCCCACTGCCTCCTGCAGTTTGGTCAAACTCATGCTGGTAGCTTCGAGAACACTGTCCAACCATCTCGTCCTCTGTCGTCCCCTTCTCCTTGTGCCCTCAATCTTTCCCAACATCAGGGTCTTTTCCAGGGAGTCTTCTCATGTGGTGGCCAAAGTATTGGAGCCTCAGCTTCACGATCCCATTGCTACGATGGGACAAATCCATTATTTCTTTGATACTTACAGCATCAGAGCTGAGGGCTCAGCTACATGTTACACACACAAGCAGCAACGCATGCTTACACAAGAGCAATGTGACAGCTGTCTGCTTCGCTGCAATAGGGGCTTAAAGCAAGGTTGTTTTTTCATTGGGATTGTTCTGGGGAGGCTGGCTGATTCCTTCCTATCTGTGGCTGTTCAGTTTAAGAACTTTAATTGCAATTGCTCAGTTGGCCTCCCTGCTTTGGCCCTGAAGCTCCCTTTCCCTCTGCTTCCCTCTTAGCACAGAGTTTCCCGCAGTGTAGGCACCGACTACGTTTTCCTCCTGCAGGGCTGCTGTTACAGGTAGAGCAGTAGGACCTGGGAAATGGGTGGCAACTTGAGTAGGAGAGTTTTCGAGCTGCTGGGCATTGGAGGTGGTGTTGAAGGAAACCACATATTTTTGTGATCTGCCTGTACTGAACAAAGTAAAGGTGCTTTGAGTAATTCTCTTGTATGGGAGCAGAATTATTAGTAGCCACTTTAACTGATCCTGAATCTGTCTTGTTGGCTATCAAATCACAGCATGATTCCCACCTTGTTTTCTTTTTGGAGGAAAAGCTGAGATGAAACCTTCCGATGGAGAATAAAAGTACCATTTTTTTAGAAGCCAAATCACGCTTAAAGGTAAAGGTAAAGGGTCCAGTCGTGGCCGACTCTGGGCTTGCGGCGCTCATCTCGCTTTATTGGCCGAGGGAGCCAGCGTACAGCTTCCGGGTCATGTGGCCAGCATGACTAAGCCGCTTCTGGCGAACCAAAGCAGCGCACTGAAATGCCGTTTACCTTCCCGCTGGAACCTATTTATCTACTTGCACTTTGATGTGCTTTCGAACTGCTAGGTTGGCAGGAGCTGGGACCGAGCAATGGGAGCTCACCCCGTCGCGGGGATTTGAACCGCCGACCTTCTGATCAGCAAGTCCTAGGCTCTGTGGTTTAACCCACAGCGCCACCCGCGTCCCAAATCACACTTGGGCTGCTGCTATGTCTTCACTGTTCCCCAAGCAGCAGGAAGGGAAAGGAAAGAGCTGCATCTAGGGTGATGAACCTCTAGGCCCCCCCCCTCCAGGTATTGACAGCTCCCATCATCTCTGATCGTTGGCCATACTGGTTGGAGCTGATGGGAGTTGGTATCTTGCAATTTCTGCAGGGCCACAGGTTCCCCATGCGTGAGCGGATGTTTTACAGTTGCAGGATGAACAACACAGATTCCGTGTATTATCCTGGGGCAAGCTGATAATAGCACACTGCTAGGGATTGCAATTTAACTTGCTTTGCAGTTCTTGAATTTAATAGCGAAGCTTTCCTTTAAAAAAACACACACCATTATTTGTAATTGAGGGTAAGTGAGATGAGCATTTAAGTCACCCACTTGGACACTCCATTTAGTTTGTAATAGAATATTAGCCTTAAAATTGGTATATATGAATGGAAGTTCAAGCTACATCTTGACCCCAGCTGATTTTTTGGGGGAGGGGAAGGAGGAAAGAAGAAATAGATTGCAATGTGAGAACTCTAATGTTCCTTACTAATGCATTCTTTTATAGTGGTGCAGAAGAGGGATTTTTGGCATATTAAGAGAGCCTTGCGCGCACACACATCCCAATGCCTCGCTGCCCCTAATATTTGGAACAGGAATTGATGTCTGCTTCCAGCTGTGGATGACAGAGGTACCACCCTAGGCGTGACTTAGCCACCTCAGTGAGAACTAGGATGGAGTCTGACACCGTAAGCAGGTTTTGCCACCAGCTAACAGACTCCTTTCCCTTCCTCCCCCACAACAAACACCAGATTTCTTGTGCAAGTGTGTGAAGAATGAAGGGAAGCAAGGCTAAAAATAATTGTGGGAAAGGTGTGGTTTCTCCTGTGGAAATGACTGAGTAAGGATGTTGGAGGAAATGAGGAGCTCCACCCAGTTACTAGCAGTAAAGGTCATTTGACCTGAATAGGTTTAGGGGTCATTTCTATAACTGCCTTTTGGATAATCTCTGAATGTGGGGGATGAGAGACTCAAAGCTTAAATGGGAAGAACAGTTGCTATCATTAGCCTGGGTCCTCCAGGCCTCTCATTTTCAATGCTCTCTAAATTAAGGCATGCTTATTTCCACGATGTTCATGTGTGTTTGTTTTAAACATGCTAAAATGTGCAGTTGGCAGGGAGCTTTCAGAGAGGGCTCCTTGTGCTATTGGGTGATAGTTTAGTATAGAAAATGCATCTGTTTAGCTGTGCAATATTTCATGGTGCAAAGAGCATTTTGTATGTGTGTGTGTACACATTACAGCATGAGGTTTTGGATTGGGTTGTTTTTTGCCAATCTGTGGATTTTCCCAGAGACACATTTTTAGTTCACCAACTCCTCCTGATGCCCTCGTTCAATCTCAGCCCTGGTGCTTTGTGAATCCATTTCTGCTAGGTGAGGCCAACTTATTGCAGAGCTTGACCGTGGCAGCTCCAAGGTCGTGTGTCTGGCTCGTAGTGGGCTCTCTTCTTAGTCTATTGAATTTGGCTATTCCTAGTCTACAATGCTATTACAATCCTGGAGGAAAAGAAGCTCCATCTGCACTATCCATTTAAAGCATTATCAGACCTGTGGGTTAAACCACAGAGCCTAGGACTTGCCGATCAGAAGGTTGGCGGTTCGAATCCCCGCGACAGGGTGAGCTCCCGTTACTTGGTCCCTGCTCCTGCCAACCTAGCAGTTCGAAAGCATGTCAAAGTGCAAGTAGATAAATAGGTACCACTCTGGCGGGAAGGTAAACGGCGTTTCCGTGCGCTGCTCTGGTTCGCCAGAAGCGGCTTAGTCATGCTGGCCACATGACCCGGAAGCTGTACGCCGGCTCCCTCGGCCAATAAAGTGAGATGAGTGCCGCAACTCCAGAGTTGGCCACGACTGGGCCTAATGGTCAGGGGTCCCTTTACCTTTACAGACTACTTTAAACAGCCACTGCTTCCACCAAAGGATCATGGGAACTGTAGTTTAAGGTTGCTGAGAGTTGTTAGGAGGTCCCTGTTCTCACAAAGCTACAGTTCCCAGAGTGTTTTAACAATCCCTTTCCCCAGGGAATTCTGGGAATTTGGCAAACTTTGGGGGAGTATGATTCCAGTGTCTGTGTGCTAGCAAATGAGCCCAGGCAGTTCTCACCAAGGGCTCCAGCCATGCCCTCTGCCACAAAGCCCGACCTGTTCACCCACCTGTTGCTCTTGGGGGAGAAGGAAAGGTTGCCCACACTTGCTTTCAAGGAATGGCGAACCACGTTTGCAATGAATCCAGCCGGCAGCCACGGAACGGAACAGTCTTTCTGTCCCTTTATGACCACGTGGGGAAAATACGACCTGAGATGACCTCCCTGATCGGCCCGCATTGTTCTGCGAAATATAACTCTGTCTATTCAGGGTTTGTGGCTTGTCTCAGCAGTCTGGAATTCTGTGAACTTCCAGGAGGGAGAAGGACACTTCCGGGGGTCCGCATTCCTCATGCAGCCCCTCCTTAGCTTGCAGAGAAACAGCTGGCTGGCCACTTTAGGGAAATTGGAACCACCATAATGCTGGACTGGGGGTAGTAGGAAGGATAAATCTGGAACCCCTGTCAAGATCTAAAGCCCAAGCCAAGATCTAAAGCCCAAGGCAGTACTTGGCTTAACTTTGTGGATGCATTTCAGAGCAGCGAAAGAATTAAAGGACACAGGTAGGTACCCACAATGAAATGTTAGCACCTAGCAAGAACATTCCTGCTCAGGGCTCAAGCCATAGCTGTCAACTTACAGATTTGAAAATAAGGGACCAGCAGCCTCGAAAATAAGGGATCAGCAGCCAAAAAAGGGATTTTGCTATTGCAAACATACATTCATAGGATTGACAGATGCTGTCAATCCGGCATGAGGCGGTTGCAGTGCCACAGCGGCCCCTGAAGTGCTGCCCTTCTGTGCCCCTCCCCATCCCCTTCTCTTCCTCCTCCCTCAGGCCACCTCCTCAGCTGCCACCACCGCTGCCGCCTCCGGGCTCGCGGGCGGCGTGGGCGAGAGTCTCTCTCCCTCCCCACCCCTTGGGCGGGGAAGGGCTGATGGAACTCCTCATGCCAGGACGATGGCACCAGCGCACGTGCGCTCTCGCGGTGGAGGTCCCCAAGCTGCTGCTTCCCTCCTGAGCCAGGCGAGCATGAAACCCGGGAAATATAAGGGACAGCAGCGGGACACGGCGCTGGGGTAAGGGAGTTTCCCGCCAAATAAGGGACGGTTGACAGCTATGGCTCCAGCTGGTCTGACACGAGACAAGACCATTGCAGTGCTTATCAAGACTCTCAGGAGGGAAGGCAGTTCTAGGAGGGCAGTAAGAAGAAGAAGAAGAGTTTGGATTTGATATCCCGCTTTATCACTACCCTAAGGCGTCTCAAAGCGGCTAACATTCTCCTTTCCCTTCCTCCCCCACAACAAACACTCTGTGAGGTGAGTGGGGCTGAGAGACTTCAAAGAAGTGTGACTGGCCCAAGGTCACCCAGCAGCTGCATGTGGAGGAGCGGAGACGTGAACCCGGTTCCCCAGATTACGGATCTACCGCTCTTAACCACTACACCACACTACACCAAAGCACACACACTGTTAAAACCAGGAATTGGGCAGTTAAATGACCCCCAAAACCCCAAGTCCTCACCACTGCCTTGAACTAAGGCCAGGACAATGGCAGTTGACACAGGCACCGTACATACACAACAGCAAAGAGGCTCAGAAAAGCAGTCTATAAAATGGTAGCAATAAGCAGATGCCATGTGTTATGTACTGAGTTCAATAGGATCCAGAATGCAGCAGTCTGACTGGTCCGTAGGAGCCACCCAATCCAGCTCCAGGTGGAAGTGAATCCGCAACCTGATTGGCCTACAGGAGAATCCCGGAATTAGCCAATCATGTGCAGCCCATTGTGTAAACGTACATAAAGCAGATATTGTGGGGGAACTTCCATTCCTCCTCACCACTATGAGCTGAATAAAAAGCATGAAATCCACTCTCGACTCTGAGTATATTTCACCATATGTCATTCTGTTTCTTCTGACTGTCCAATACAGAAAACTAGAAATTTCAAATAAACGCCAAAATTCAACAGTTTGACCAATTTCCTTGGTTCCAATGGCTAATGACGTCTCTGCAAGAGCGGAATCCAGGGCTCCCCCTGCCTCCATAACCCCTTAAGCATAAGGTCACATACTCCTTGTCCCTCCATAAAGTGGGCATAGGATTGGAAGCTAAAAAAATATTAAAAGATTATTTTGAAATTAATTTGAATCAGGAGACAAATGTGAAAGTAGTATGGGATGCAAGCAAAGCAGTGATGCGGGACCTTTTTATTCAGCAAAGTGCATACCAAAAAAAGAAAAGAGTTGAAAAAGCAAACAATTCTACAAGAAAGAAAAAGGAAAGAAAAAGAATTGATAAATTCCCCTCAAAAAGAGAGATTAAAACAGGATATTAAAATAATTGCAAACACAGTTTTCAATGATAATAAATCAAGTAGAGTGGAAAATTAAACATTTAAAACAGAAACAATTTGAGCAGGCATTAGCCTGCTCAAACCAGGGAAATTATTAGCACGGCAAATTAAAAAAAAAGGCAAGAGAAATCCTGTAGAAACAAAATTAACATAGGAGTTAGAGTTGTCCTGTGCCCTAGAGTTGTCCTAAAGAAATAAGAGATCAATTCGTGAGTTTTTATACAGAATTATAGCAAGCGAAACAGGGTAATTTAGATGAAATGCAAAAATATCTAGAGGACAGTGGAATACCTAAAATACCAATAGATAAAATGACAATTTTGAATGCACCGGTGATGTAAGTGGACATAGGATTGGAAGCTGCAAAACAATGACAACCTGGAATGGGAGCAGACGAAGAAAATGTTTGTCCTGCGAACCATAGAAGAAAGTACCGTAAGTCGTGGAACTGAAGACAGCGGGTAGCTCATTCACCGAAGGTTTACAAGACACTGGGAATAAATGTGCAAAGGAGGAAATAATTCAGAGTGGATTTACTACCCTGGTTTTGTTAGCAATTGCCACTCTCGATTCTGGTTCATCTCATTTTGTGGATCTTTCTTTGAACCACATGGGGTTAACTCTTGAGGGGAGAGGAAGGAGGGGGAGGCATTTTTTTTTTTTTTAAATATTAGAGCACTGCTTGTCTGGGATCCCAGAGTTACTCCTCCTCTCTTAGTGAGTGAGTGTGCTAGATTTCAGCCTGAAAACAGCTGCGATCTGAGATGGGGAGGAAAGGAGGAACTTTATAAGAGAAAATTGAACCAAGCTTCTCTGTAATGGAAATGCACAGGGTGTCTTTGCTAAAACCTTGGACATTTGAGTCCTGCCCTAATTTCAGATGCCTGCAATTGTATTCGCATTTCTGCACCAAGGAGGGTAGTGATAATTTTGGATTGGATTACCTTTACCAGTGAGTGTGCTGGTTGGAAAATCGACTGGCTTCATTCCAAACTTCAGCCTGAGGCTCTCAAAACCAAACTTCGGGGGGCAACAGTACAAGCTTTTGCATTCAGTGGGGCATTTTGTCACCAAAACAGAAGTTCAGTCAGTTCTCAGCTGTATAAAAAGGTAAAGGGACCCCTGACCATTAGGTCCAGTCGTGGCCAACTCTGGGGTTGTGGCGCTCCTCTCGCTTTATTGGCCGAGGGAGCCGGTGTACAGCTTCTGGGTCATGTGGCCAACATGATGAAGCCACTTCTGGTGAACCAGAGCAACGCATGGAAACGCCGTTCACCTTCCCGCTGAAGCGGTACCTATTTATCTACTTGCACTTTGACGTGCTTTCAAACTGCTAGGTTGGCAGGAGCAGGGACCAAGCAACGGGAGCTCACCCCTTCACGGGGATTTGAACCGCCAACCTTCTGATTGGCAAGTCCTAGGCTCTGTGGTTTAGACCACAGCGCCACCCGCGTCCCTAGTCTCAGCTGTATACAGAGGTCCTAAATAACAGTTTCATCTAGCAAACGTGGAACAGCTATATCAGTCACCGCCAAACAACAGCTCCCCAAAGCCCCAACCAGCATGGACACTAGTTGGGCATTAAGAGAGTTGTAGTCCAACCACAACTGGTGTGCCAGAGATGGGGCAAGCCTGAGCAGTAGAGAAGTATGATAACCTGTTGGTTACTCTCAGCCTCCATTAGGGATGCTGTAGCTCTTGAGAACAGCAGTACATCATTTTACATGGTACATTTTACCAATGTTGGTTGTCCTTATAGTAATGTAAGAAAGGGAGTCCTGGCACAGCCTGGTTGTTTGCCCATGGGCAAGGGGAGCCCGGTCTGCAATGTGTAACAACACATTATCCTGCCCGGGCTTTGAAAGCCAGTTTGCCATGGAGAGATTGGATTTGGCAATGAGAGTTGCTAAGGAATTTCTGGGGAGAGGCAGATTTGAAATTTCAGGCATGGACCTCCTTGATTTGCACGTTTGGCTCTGAATGCAATCTTTCTGAAAGGTGCAGAATTGCTAAATTTGGGTGGGTGATGTGGGAAATGGAAAGGGAGCAGGTTAAAAAAAAAGACATTGGTCAATGAAAGTTGTGCGCACATGTGCAGGCATGTGCCCATGTATGTAGAGCACCCTTTGCCAACCTGCGTGCTGTCATGGACTGTTGGGAGTTGTAGTCCAACAGCACTGAGGGCACTAGGTTGCTGAAGGCTGGTGCAGTGCGTCATGTGACTAGAAGGCTATGTTTAGGGGACAGAAGTGAGCCTGACTTTCTGAACAGGAACTTCTAGCACATTTGCTAATCTCTTTATTTTATAACCAAGTACCTGAGCACTGCAGCCATGCAAACCAAGGCTTCCTAGGGCCACACTAGGGGAGGGGTGTTTATCCCTCCCCTCCCCTTTTCTTTAGCTGACTCTCTCCCCAGCTACAAGGAGGAAAATACTCAACAAACTGGCCTTCAGGGAGTGCTTCTGATGGAAAAACAGTGTGGGAAGTGAGAGTTAAACATCAAGCAAACATACAGAGCCCCTGACTGCATTTCAGCTTTTGTTCTTAAAAGCACCAGGAGTCCTAATCAACAATATCCCACATAACATGTAGCTTGCCCTTGCACTCACAGCGATGAAGCACATAGTTTTTAATTTTTTTTCTTTACACATTTTGCAAGCGCAACCCCTTTGCTGTAAAAAAGCCAAGGGATAACAGCAGCAGCTTGTGCTATGCTCTTCTTGTTGTTGTTGTTTAGTTGTTTAGTCATGTCTGACTCTTTGTGACCCCATGGACCAGAGCACGCCAGGCACTTCTGTCTTCCACTGCCTCCCGCAGCTTGGTCAAACTCATGTTAGTAGCTTTGAGAACACTGTCCAACCATCTCGTCCTTTGTCGTCCCCTTCTCCTTGTGCCCTCCATCTTTCCCAAGGGAGTCTTCTCTTCTCAGGAGGTGGCCAAAGTACTGGAGCCTCAGCTTCACGATCTGTCCTTCCAGTGAGCACTCCGGGCTGATTTCCTTCAGAATGGATAGGTTTGAGCTTCTTGCAGTCCATGGGACTCTCAAGAGTCTCCTCCAGCACCATAATTCAAAAGCATCAATTCTTCGGCGATCAGCTTTCTTTATGGTCCAGCTCTCACTTCCATACATCACTACTGGGAAAACCATAGCTTTAACTATACGGACCTTTGTTGGCAAGGTGATGTCTCTGCTTTTTAAGATGCTATGCTCTAACTCCAGTTAAACCCCGCCAACCAAATGCCTGCTCAGAAGAGCTGAAAGGGAATAGCGCAGCCTCAAAGAGTTCTAGAAACTTGCTCTGTTTTCTTTTTTTGCAAAATGGAACCCGAGATCCTCAGGCATCCCTATTTGCCTCCTTATAAGCCACGTGGAAATTCTGCGCATGCAAACTCGTCTGGCATGGTTGGAAGAAAAGCAGGCCTTGCATGTAAGCAGCTTCTGTCTTTGGCGGATAGAAGCAACTCTCTCCCCCTTCCTTCCCCAGCCGATTTCCATTTCTTCCGTCAGACAGAAGTGACCCTGAGATGCTGCTAAATCCACCTCGGCGACCTTGTCAGCTGTTGCCAGCAATGAAGGTTTCCACCCTTGAGTAACGCCAGCCGGGGACCAGCCTTGCAAACTCCCTTCCTGGCTTTCAAAGTGACCTCTAGATGCCAAAGAGAATAGCAGTCTCCTAAGCGCTCCTTTCTTCCTTTTAATTCTTCAGCCGAGCTGATGGGAGTTTCCCCACAGGGAAGGTTATTCTGGTTGCATGTCGCAGACAGCGTGTGCTTCCCTCCGCCTTCGCGCAGTGCCGGGGCTGAGCAAGGTTTCAGCTCTCTTGCCAACAGTTATTAATGCAGCCGCGGAAAAACCCGCCCAGCCATCTGCTCTCTGAATCCAGTTTGGGGGAGGCACGAAGCTTGCGAGTTTTTCTCCTCCTCCTCCTCCTCCTCCTCCTCCTCCACCTCATCTCTTTCCCCTCCTCCCTCCCTCTCTCTCTGCCAACAATGTGCGACCTCAGCTGTCATCTTTGGTTTCGTATGGGATTAATCTTGAGCCTAAGGACAGGTTTGGACATGTCTAATGCAGAGGAAGGACTGGCAGGGGACGAAGGACAATGGAGCAATTTACTCAGGCTGTCAATAAAGGAATATAGGGAAGGAGGCGTTGTGACTAAGGGCACAGGCGGAGACTTAGGGAGTTGCTGGTGGAAATCTAGCCTTGGCCAGCAGTTTGGAAGGTAGCCTAAGGCCCAAACTAGACTCAGTCTCAGATCTTCTCTAATCCCAGACAAAGAGAAAGAGCATGAGACAGATTTGCTGCTTTTATGAGCAAAAGAGGAATACAGTGGTACCTCGGGTTAAGTACTTAATTCGTTCCGGAGGTCCGTTCTTAACCTAAACTGTTCTTAACCTGAAGCACCACTTTAGCTAATGGGGTCTCCTGCTGCTGCCGTGCCGCCGGAGCACGATTTCTGTTCTCATCCTGAAGCAAAGTTCTTAACCTGAAGCACCACTTTAGCTAATGGGGCCTCCTGCTGCTGCCGCGCCGCCAGAGCACGATTTCTGTTCTCATCCTGAGGTAAAGTTCTTAACCCGAGGTAATATTTCTGGGTTAGCGGAGTCTGTAACCTGAAGCGTTTGTAACCCAGGTACCACTGTACAGAATAGAGTATATAATTCACCCACATAATACCTCATTTTTTCTCTCAGCCAAGCAGAATTCTGGATCTTTGTTGCCAATAAAAGCACCTGGGAAGAGAGGCTGTGGAAGGGGGGCAGTTTAGCATCATGTGCCCATGGACCCTCTTTGCGGTTTAATTTGGGGGGCTGCTTTCTAAATCACTGGTCCAGACCTGGGCTTCAAGATATGCATCTGCTGCTGCTCCATTCAGTTTGACTTGGAGGGCAAGCCTCTCTCTTTTCAGCCTTCGTCTCTGCCATCTCTTGCCTGCAATATGGAGATGATGGTTTACGGCTTGCCTTAGATTTCGTAAGGGTCGTTGCGACTGGTCACGGGGAAGGCTTTGAACCCTGAAGACGCACCGTGCAAACGACAAATATCCTCAAGCCTGGAAAATGTCAGCTGCTTCTTTTGTAAATGCTCCGTACTAAAACAAGATTGCACAGCTCCACGGTGGAATAAGTGTGGGGTACAGCCAGCAACCCAACATGCCAAGTGGAACATGGAGGACCAGTTCTGTGACTACATTTAGGTTCCCAAAAGACAGTGGTACCTCTCGATGCGAGCGGGATCCGTTCCGGAGCCCCGTTCGCATCCTGAGCAGAACGCAACCCGCATCTGTGCGGGTCGCAATTTGTTGCTTCTGCGCATGACATAATTTTTAGTGTCTGCGCATGTGCGAGCGGTGAAACCCGGAAGTAACCCATTCCGTTACTTCTGGGTCGCCGCGGAACGCAACCTGAAAACGCTCAACCTGAAGCGACTTTAACCCGATTATGACTGTACAGATGTGCTTTTACACTTGCAAGACTGGATGTTTTGCCATCTGCGGTACTTGAGGGTCGATTCCAAACGATCCCGCCTGAGAAACGTCTTTGCCCCTGTGGAGATGGTAGCACCGAAACAGCGGCTCACGTCCTCCTGTCTTGTACTCTCTACAAAGACCTGAGGAACGAGATCATCATCCCACTTGTACTAACCATCCCAGGGCACTCAACCACTGCCACAATGTCCTTTCTTCTATTAGATCAAAATGAGCAGATAACAGCAAAGGTTGCTAGGTTCATAGCAGCGGCAATCAGAATAAGGGCCACTAACTGACGGCTGATTCAGGACTTTAAATTGTGCTCTTATATCAAACTTCCTTTTCTGCATACAGTGGTACCTCAGGTTACATACGCTTCTGGTTACAGACTTCGCTATCCCAGAAATAGTGCTTCAGGTTAAGAACTTTGCTTCAGGATGAGAACAGAAATCGTGCTCCCGCAGCGCAGCAGCAGCAGGAGGCCCCATTAGCTAAAGTGGTGCTTCAGGTTAAGAACAGTTTCAGGTTAAGAACGGACCTCCGGAACGAATTAAGTACTTAACCCAAGGTACCGCTGTATACTGTAATGTTTTACTGTTGCTATCGCCATTGGCTAATGCGAATAAAGTTTTATCTATCTATATTTAGGTTCTCTGTGTGGCTCATGCTTCAATAGGATGCTCTTGCCCATTTTCTCCTGCTGCAACTTTGAGTGTTCATGCATTGCCCATCCCCCACCCCCTTGTGAATTGTCCATCCGCTCTCTCTGTGGTTGAGCCCTGTTTGAAATTAAATCCTTGTGTCGGGGGCACCAGGGCTTAAACTACAGACATCCCTGCAAGGAGCAGAGAGCTGAGCCTGGTGAGTTTGGGTCTCTGAGCCCTCTTCATGTGCAGAAGGGAGCCAAGTTGTGCAGAAGCTGGAAGCTTGTGGATTGGCCTGCTCTGAAGCTGGCATCTGTCTGTCTTGGGAGACAGTGCAGTCAAACTGTTGGAGAGTTGTTGGGTTGAAATAAACGACAGACGAATGACAAGTGTCATACGGGAGGCATCTCCCGAGCATGTGTCAGGGAGTCCCTTTTATTGAATATTACAGCATTGCCACATATGTGCTTGTTGCTGATTGGTTAACACAAATACAATGCAAGGGTTGCATATAGGCATTAATCATCAATAGATTAAAGGTTGGGAAAGGGAACACAGAATTGGACAGGCGTGAAAACCTCCTTTAAACTATTACTAATGATTGATATAGCAAGACTTAAAAGAACATAACTATCACATTCTGTAGATGTGGTCAACCATGCATTAAGAACAGGTCAGGGTACAATGTTCCATGAACTCAATGTGAACTAAACAATCTAGGGCGGATAAAGAAAGAATGTACAGAAGGAAAACTTCCCATCAGAGAGTTATAGTGCCTGCTGTGGCTGTTGAGACCGATACGGGACAGACAAGTTTTGTTGCGGATGGAGGCATCTGGTTGTGTGGGAATGTTGTAGATACTAGGAGAGCATATATTGATTTAATAGTATCCTTCCTAACACGCTTGTGAGTCAGTAGCAGAGTGCATTCTCCAATATATAGCAGTTGGTAGATTCGTTTGAATCTCTTTACTTAAGCAATCCAATCTGGCTTTGTTCAGATTGGATTGTGTTCCTGGTAAGTCTCCTTTTATATCTCCTAAAAAGAATAAAGAGACAAGAAGCTTCTTTTAAAACTAATAAGAAGTTTACTCACATTCAGTTCACAGTTGGATCCCTGAAGGAAGGCTTTAGCTTAGAGTTACAGAAGAGGGTTTGAGGTCATCCCATATGGGAATGAGCCCATGTCCTGGTAGCTGAGAGCCAGCAGACAGCAAAATACATCAGTACAGTCAAACCTCATTTTGCAGATGGGATCCATTCCGGAGGCCCACCCGCAAGCCAAAAATGACACATGTTGAAGTGCCATGTCTGTGCACATGCATGGCGCGATTTAGTGCTTCTGCGCATGCGCGAGCGGCAAACCCGGAAATAACCTGTTCCAGTACTTCTGGGTTTGCCGCGGACATTCGCTGAAGCGGACGCAAGCGGAGGCGGATACAGAACGAGGTTTGACTGTATCAAGAGAGCATGTAATCAAGAGGAAGAAGAATCAAAAGAGAGAGATGGCTGTGTGACCAGCTCCTTTTATGGGGTCTCCCTGGTCACACGCAGGGGGAGGAAGCTCCAGACCAGGTATGACAGGAAGTTCAACTAGTTGGATCAACATCCCCCTGTCTGTGTCCACTCTAGGCAAACAAGGAATGTTGTATTTGACTGCTCCAATGGATTACATCTCACAGGTTGTGCTGCTGCAGATGCACCTCTCTGCGTTTCTCCCAGTGGCCAGTCCTCCCCGGGTCGCTGGTGTGGGTATATGTCTCCAGTTGTCTGCAAGGTTTTCCCACAGGCTGGGGTTGATGTTGCCAGCCTTAATGTATACCCTCCAGGCCTTCAGGAGTTCCCTTTTTCCTTTGTCTCTCATCCAGCCTGACCTGCGCCATCTAGCAGGTTTTAATACATATAAGGTGCACAGGTAGTGATGTATGGAAGTGAGAGCTGGACCACAAAGAAGGCTGATTGCCGAAGAATTGATGCTTTTGAATTATGGTGCTGGAGGAGACTCTTGAGAGTCCCATGGACTGCAAGAAGATCAAACCTATCCATTCTGAAGGAAATCAGCCCTGAGTGCTCACTGGAAGGACAGATCCTGAAGCTGAGGCTCCAATACTTTGGCCACCTCCTGAGAAGAGAAGACTCACTGGAAAAGACCCTTAAATTGGGAAAGATGGAGGGCACAAGGAGAAGGGGACGACAGAGGACGAGATGGTTGGACAGTGTTCTCGAAGCTACCAGCATGAGTTTGACCAAACTGCGGGAGGCAGTGTAAGACAGGAGTGCCTGGCGTGCTCTGGTCCATGGGGTCATGAAGAGTCGGGCACAACTAAACGACTAAACAACAACAAGGTGCACAGGAACCTGTATTATAGTTTGGGCTCGTCCACCCAGGAATTTAATGTGGATTTGATCTGGAAGGGCTTCATTGTCCGCTTGACATTCTCCTCAGCTACCTAACAGTTTTTGAAACAGTAAACTCAGATTTCCCCAAATCCAAGAAAAATCTGAAACGGGTAAGTAAATTCAACATAACTTGATTGTGGATGCATTGTAGGAGTGCAACGTGTCAGCAGGTTCTGGTGTGGTTTGGTGCCAGCTATCACTACACTCGGGTAAGAACGCAGGTTCTAGGTATTTTTTTTCTATATTAGAAACAGCTCCTTCGTACAGAAGAGATTTTGCACAGAACAGCTGTGTCAAAAATAAAGCACGTCCTTGGAGGTGCCAGGAGGCAAGGAAGGAAAAGAGGAGGAAATAGAAGTGACAGTCTTTCCTG